GCCTTTGGGCGACCAGTCAACAATTTCATGACCCTTGGCCTGTAATTTCTCAGCGACGCTCTTCAGTGCCCGCCTCACAGGTGGCGTAGGCGTTACTATGCCATTGTCCGAGAGAACAGCGATTACTAGCCTTGGAGGTAAATTGACCTTCCTGTATGGAATTTCTAGAGCTTTCGGATCTCGTAACCAAGCCCCAGAACCCGCAACGATCTCCATCCAGAGCTTGAGGTCGGCCAGACTGCGAGCTATAGGGCCGTTAACGCTACCGATAGCTTCTTGACCAGCGAGCGCAGTTCGTGCGTCATAATGGGGTGAGCGACCAGCCGAGGGACGAAGAGCATAAAGACCCACGCAGGCCGCTGGAATGCGCAGAGAGCCGCCGATGTCTGTTCCTATACCCAGACAACTGCCTCGTAAGCCTATTAGGGCTGATTCACCTCCAGATGAGCCTCCTGGTGTTAAATTGCGCCTGAATGGGTTCACCGTTCTGCCATAGCAATTGTTGACCGTCTCGGAGAACATCATAGCAGTCGGCACATTTGTTTTTACATAAAAAATGGCTCCAGCATTTTTGAGAATGCTGACTATCGTGCTCTCTTCCTGCACTGGATCTAATGCCCAGGTCGTAAAACCAACCGATGTTGGATAACCACGAACATTGAAGCAGTCCTTCAGGCTGACTGGTAGGCCATGCAATGGACCGAGGGTTTTGCCAGTCGCAGCGAAATGCTCATCCACCTCTTTTGCACGTTTAATGGCATCATCAAACATGAATGCTGTCAAGCAATTCGTCTGTATTCAACGGTCAGTCATTTCGCGGAGATATATCAACCATACTTACAAGCTGGTGGGCGATTGCAGCTCTCTTGCAGAACGCAATTGTGACCTCCTGGGAACACCATTCTCCGTTTTTGAGACGTTGTACAATATCGGTCGCAAGACTTTCCGTAATATCAAGCTCGTGTTCTGATAGAATCCCACTTTCAGACGGACAGCTAGTGACATCCAACTGGCTATCCGGGGGCAATTTGTCTAGTGGAATTCGCCATTCTGAAGGAATGGTTTCAAGCAACTCTGACTGGGCCTTCCCTGAGATCTGAGCCCAATCGGGCATTTCTGACATGATTTGAATGCTTCTCTGTGGCTGGCCAACTAGTAATAAAAGATGAATGAATTAGGTACTGTACACGATCTGGGAGATGGGCTGCACCGTTGAAAATCCTTAGTGGTTGATTGTAGGGTGTATTCAAGATGGGGCTTGGTTAGACTGCTGCACAGAATAAAGCCGCCGTTCTACTGTCCTCCGGGTGGGTGTCTACCCGGTTCCTCCCCATATTTCCATAGGAGAAGATATGGAGTTGCTTGCCGCCCTGGCTGCCTCCTGGCTTGCCGCGGCCTCCCCGTGCCCATACGAGGCGTGGAGCCATCACCCTCTATACAGCCGAAAGTCTTACCAGGTCCCCGACAACAGAGCAGCCTTTGCACAACACTTCGGCTTTTTGAAAAAAAGGCAGGGCTTCTAAAGGATTACGGTGAAAGAACGGGCTAGTGGTAATCAAGTATCGGAGCAGTGGAGCTTCTGGGGCACAGTTTCCACTTCGTCACCGTCACATCATTGACTAATAGGACCCAGAATCTGATGAAATGTTTGCATTGTATGCTCTGACAGATAATGCTTTCTTTGCTTCTATCCATTCAAGCTTAAGAAGACAAGAAAGTCCTGAACGGGTGATGACAGAACGGTACTGGTGGGCTCGTCCATCTGGGAGTTGCTTCAACGTCCGTGTACCGCACCACTGTCCCAAGAACCCTAAGATCCGCCCCAAATACCGAATCTGAGAAATGCACGTAGTATTTTTCGTCGGATAGTAGATCGCTGTTCGCCTCCCATGCTTTCATGATATCATAGTATAGCGGAGCGACGTGAGCATCGCTAGACCAAGGTTTAAAGCGATAACGATCCTGAATTCTGTTTACGACTTCTCTTTGGTAAAGTCGTACATCGGAGTCCAGGGTCGCCATGTTGTAGGCTGTTAGTGCGCTGTGACCGTGATAGGAGCCTCCATATTTGGTGCGATCTCGAAGACCACACATTATGGTTAATGCCGTCACGAGGCCAGTCGACATGTCTGAAATTGGCAGACTTGGAAGGACGCCCTGGCCCTTTGGGCATCCAAATGCTTGGCCCATGATATATGAGCTTCCTGCTGCAGCATCGGCGACTTGTTGCCAGCCTGGACGCTCTGCATAGTAGCCATCAGGTCCATAGCAATTCTCATCCACATACACGATGCCTCTACCTCGCTTATTCGCCATCTGCAAAGCGGCCTGAAGGCCAAATCCGCGCCGCTCTAAGGATCCTAGACGATAGCCCTGAATAACGACATCTGCTTCTTCAAATAGTTGCGTCAGTCGTGCATGGTCAGCAGGATTTTCTAGATCAAGATCCACAGTGGTCTTTCCCGCCATTAAAGAGGAGGGCTGCGCGGGAGTATAGTCCTTCAACCTCGAGGAGTTCACCCGTATCACCTCTGCACCCATAGAGGCAAGGATGGCGCCGGTGGCAGTTGCTGCGATGATGCGAGCTAGCTCAACCACCTTAACTCCTGCTAATGGTCGCTTATCTTCTAGTCCATGCAGTGGGGTGGGTGGAAGAGAAGGGCAATGTGTCTGTTTGGAGTAGTTAATCAGCGGATGCCTTGCGAGAGACTTCCCTGTTTCAGTGCGACGCCAACTTTCTGGAGAGTGGACAATGGATCCTGATAAGCCATGCTCAATCATAACTTGCTCAATCTCCCTGGCACGGTATGTGAGGACACGTTCTTTGATGAGTGCGTACGCTTCGTCGTTGGAGCGGATACTACTTTCGACATTCCTGTTGATTCCAATTGTTCGTAAGACGGTCCAGGGGTCAAGAGATCCATGAAGCTGGAACCAGATACCCTCATCTGCTGTCGGATAGATAGCGGTGGCTCGATAGACAAGCGGGGAGCCAGATTGCCGGTCTTTATCCCACTGGGGTACCGTTGGCAGTTGGATGACAGAGGGTCCCGTAAGACCATCAATCACCACCAGAGCAGGAGTCGCAGGATACAAGCCTGCATGATCTGTACATATCATTGTTGTTGTACTGGTTGACTGCCCGCGAAGATGGAGGATTTCAAGGCCCACTATGCCCACCATTGCATGCAAGACTGCGGTCACCACCTGTGTCTTGATCGGGCCGGGAATACAGGGTAAGTCATCACCTTCAAACACGACACCGTCAAGCAAAGCTTCGTCCTGAGTGAATCCTGGAGTTTTGGCTGCGAATAGTCGCAATAGGCGTTTGCATTCTTCGGGTACAGTGCTGAAGCTTGTGTCGACATAGGTCCCTGGGCCATAGCCGCCCTCCGTATGGCTTGCCTGGTCCGTCATGGTGCGCATAGGTTGGTAATTCCACCAAGTTGAATATGCTAAGTAAGTATGATTGCTTGAATTCTGGCCGGCCTCATGCAGTGGCAAAGGCACTTCTAGAAGAGCACCAAGAGTCAACACAACCAGCACCATCCACTAATGTGGTTCTTCTTGGTGTACTATTTTGACTCTTTTCCCATAAATCTCTCGGGGAGCACGGCTGTTCTCATCCGGTCTTTCTTCATGTTGCGGATGACACAGTTTCATGCCCAAGACTGCAGGAGAATCTCGGTTGGCTGGCCGGCCTTGCCTTCACTTAATTGTTGATCTCACCCTGTCGCTTGATTCCCCCGAGCCTTGGGAAAATTCTTGAAACTCGGTAGGGTCTTCATTCACCTCAACATCAATTTGAGCGAGAAACCCTCTGGAAGTCAGGCATTACAAGATGGAGCCAAAGATTTCCTGCGTCGCAATCATTGGTTGCGGTGTTATTGGATCGAGTTGGGCATGTTTATTTCTCTCAAAGGGTTTGAAGGTCGTCATCTACGACCCTCTCGCAGGCTCCAAGGAAAGATTTAAGCAATATCTACAAAACACGTGGCCGGTGCTGCAAGCAAATGGAGGCCTCGATAATTCACTAGCAGAGAACTATACGTTTGTAGACGATTTGATTTTGGCTTTGCCTGAAGTGGATTTCGTCCAAGAGGTAAGGATTTCGGCGTTGCTGCAACGAATCTGTGTTTCTGGCCTGCTAATATCAATCCTGTTGTCAGAATGGACCGGAGCAAAAAGAACTCAAACAACAGCTTATGAAGACGCTGGATCAGCACACAAGACGTGATGTCGTGATCGCTTCATCTTCCTCGGGCTTACCATCGTCTGAATTCATTCAAGAATGTCGACAGAATCCAAGCAGGATACTTGTCGGCCACCCTTTCAATCCACCATATCTCCTCCCCTTAGTGGAAGTCGTGCCTAACCCTGGCACCGACGCCACTTCGATTACCACAGCTCTGGACTTTTACAAGAAACTCGGGAAAAAGCCAATCCTGCTTCACCACGAAATCCCCGGCTTTGTGGCCAACCGCCTTCAAGCTGCCATCAACAACGAGGCCTACAGTCTTATAAGCCGTGGAATCGTTTCGGCAGAAGATCTGGATACTGCAGTCTCATCGGGTCCAGGCATTCGGTGGGCTTCGACAGGGCCAATTGTCACGAATGCGTTCGGTGGAGGAGGAGGCTCTGAGGGGTTTCTCCATCGGCTCGAGCGCCTTGGACCATCTATACAGCGCTGGGAGGAGGACATGTTGAAGCACAGATTTGACTGGAGTGATCGAAGAATATCCTCGCTGAAATCGGCCGTTTTGAAATGGCTAGAAAGACTGGATTGGAAAGATCTGGAACAGGAGCGGGGCCGGGTCTTTGTGCAGTTGCTAGAGGCGAAGTCCAAGACCTCGTCAACCAAATGAGACAAATACCTAATAATGAGCGAGCTTGGATTCTGTTAGCCGTAAAATACTGCATCCTTATTAGCTACTTAGCGCTTCTACCTTGTATAATACCTCATGGAGAGGTTTAATGCTCGCTATCTCTATCATCAAGTTTCATGCCATTGAGAGCCAGAACTCAAACCATTCCACAAAGCTCTTAAAACTCTGCTCTTTTGCCCATTTTTCGTATGGGTCGGATAGGAATGCTCGCGACTGGAATTGCTCTCTTAGCATGCACCCCCAAGTCTAAAGAGGGATGGGAATACTGACCGCAAATCCATGCCCAACATCAGAAAATATCTGCATGTTGAATCTTTTACTTCTCTTTGTCATGATCTCGATCGCCCTGCTACGTGATTCGGGGAGGAAGAGTTGGTCGGTGTTTGGGACTGAAAAGAACAAAGGTTCTTCCATAATTCAGTAGTGGACAGACATAGCTAAGTGATTCGCTTACCGTCGACACCATAAAGGTGACTTTCACTCATAAAAGACGGATGTGCGATCGCGCCGACCTTACAGATTCCACCCTTGGATAATTGACCGCATACGAACCGAGCTCCCCAGCTGTTAGACAACCTTGTTAGCTTTTTTTTGTAAGTGACTAGGCAGTGCATTTTACCAATATCCAATGCAAGCAAACTTGACTGCCCCGGCTTTCCCATATTTTGCTTGGACAGACTTCACCCACTTGGCGCCCACCTCCTCGCTTTTCGAATAGTGTTTGTCTTTCCAAGCTGGAAAGTTGAAATTTGGGTCATTCAGCGGTGTTTTGGAATACTTCCAGACCGGATCCTAGTTCGAAGTGTCAGCGTCTTGCTTCGCAGTCATGCCTGTATACTTACCCCGAGAAAGTAGTCTACCCCCAATGTGAGAAAGCCTCGAGCCGCAAAGGCATCCATCATCAGGAAGCTATTAATGTGCAGGCCAAAGGCATCGGGGAAGAACAACAACACATGTCCATTTGCGGTCTTCGTGTCGGGCTCTACTACATAAGTGTCCACTCCCTCAATCTGCTCAACCTTTCCCTTTGATTCTCCTGAATGTATGGAGCCTGAGAGGCAGCAGAGGCTTGCAGGGCCTGCAAGAACAGCATCCATCCTTAACATTCAAAGTCTAGGGTAGGAGTAGAAGTCTAAGGGAAACTACAAGGGAGACTGGACAGATATTTGGTCGCACCTTATATCGTCTCAATCAAATGCACCGGGGCTGGCTTCGGGAATTTCGGAATCAAGATACCGTTTTCTCACTCAAAGTTATCACATTATTACGTTGTCTCGTGGGGCTAGTTTGGCATTCCGCCACAATCAAGAACATGTTAAGCTAGCGAGAAGGCGGCTTCGACACATCATTGTTGGCCTTTTAAGTGAGTTCATCTAATGCCAGGTACTTGCAATTCCTGCACAGGTAATGAGAGATCTTTTGGGTGAGCAAAATGCTCGTATATAGGCATCTACACGGTGAAACTACGCGAATGTGGTCTGCCATTCGATTGCATCCTTCACGGCATCCGCCAAAGTCTGTACACCTTGCTCCAAGCCGAGGACGGCGTTGTCTCGATAGTCATAAAGGGTGCCACCTTCGGCCCAGATTCGTTTGAGCGTGGCTGCTCCCGCCATCGGGTCTCCCTTCGCCCATCCGTCAGCCTCCAGCTGTTTAAGATCTTCCAAGCTGGTGACGGAAACATTCCAGGGCTGGCCCCCTGTCTGTTTCTCATACTCGGCCACAATATGTCGAGGAGTGGTCGTGAAGGAATTGACGATGAGGGTGCGATTGCGAGTCTCTGGCAGATGCGTCAAGGCGGCAGCCACAAACTTGCCAGTGTCTCTCATTGTGGTGAAGCTGATCTTCTCGTCGCCAGTGCCGAGTATGACCGCACGCTTGCGTTTCACATCGAAGGTCCCAGTCTTTTCCTTCTCGACAGGGGTGGCGCCAAAGTACAAGCCAAAGTCGGCGTTGGCGTATGGTCCCGTTACAATGAAGGTATACTCGAGGTTCTTGAGTTCCCGGATCTGAGCGCGGACCTTCAGCTTCTGCTGATGAGGCTTCTCGTTGGCTGAGGATGGTCCGTACTCAATGTCAGTGCCATATTCCGAGGGGAAGAATCGCTTGACATCGGGGTGCTTGTCCGCGACTTGAGCAAGTTGGATCTGTGTGTGAAGCACAGTACGGCCCAGGCATGAAACGATAGTGTTAAAACCGTTGAAGGCGCGCTTTAAGTCTTCCTCTGAGGTCACATCTCCGGTGACGATCTCGGCTCCGCGTGATTTGAGCTCGGCAATGGCAGCAGCTTTAGTTTTCAGGCCTATTTACTTGTCAGCATAAGTTCCTTCCGGCGACCGCCTCATGACCAGGCATTTGAACGAGATCAGAGGCCTTATTGGGTTGAGGACTAACTTTCTGGAGAAGTGAAAACGGCAACCTTGCGAAACTCTGAAGCGATTTTGAGAATCTCATCACTGATGTACTTGCCAACGAGGCCTGTTGCTCCAAATATGAGCACTGCCTGAGCCTTCGACGACATATTGATTGCGCAGGCGTTGATTGCACAAGTGAGTTCTCAGACGAGTAATCGAAACCGTTTGGCAGATAACCGAGTACGGTCGACCCGAAACTTCAATAGTCAACAGGAACGTATACCACCGGGCACTAGTTTCGAATATATACCCATGACTTTGCTACCGGTCTCTCCGAAGATTTATTCAGCACACAGAAAGCAGATGCAGTGGCATTGGATCCTCTTGGACGCTGACGAGTATATTGTCAAGGCCGGCTCGTACCCGAAGCTCCACTGGAATGACTATCGGGTATGGGCGCGTTACCTACGGATCCGAGTCATTGGAGGGGTATCTGTCCACGGGGCATGATCAGAGGGCGGGGCCATTGAATGAAGCTTGGGGGAATGTTACCGGGGAAACATTTGGGCTTGTACAATGTCATACGGGGCAAAAGTGTTCATCTTAGAGAAACTGACCCCAACACAATGATTGTGCGCTTGTTGAGCCTCCGAACGCGTGAGGGATTCGCTGTATGGCCTCATGTAAGCCTGCAAGGCTGATTGACACCTCGACATCGGCCTGAGTGGACGACTGCAACGAATATAGGTAGAGCAGTACCATCCGGGTGGATCACATTGTCTTTGGGGATAGAAGGAAAGCTAGCAACAGGTTTTAACGCATCAGTCGTGGATCACTCTTTCGTTATCATTTGCAAGTGATAGCTAGACGCTCTAGAATTTGCTCTTATCTTGTTCCACCAGTATTTCGTAGTAATTGTGAGTAAGGTCGAATGAGATAGCGGAGTTTAGCGAGTGACCTCGTATGTTAATCTACTCCCCCGGGGAGAGCGCGGACATACGGTTCGGGTCAGCACCAGCAATTACCATGTCGTTGATTGAACCGCTATGGTGATAAACAGTCCTTGAGCCCCAGGTATGTTGTTGAAGATAGGACCGATCTGCATTCTTGAAGCTGTCTTATGAAGAAGTAGTACTGCTATTCCTCTGCACGGAGTCTTGAACCAAGGTAGACTTCCAGTCCATCAAAAGATTGATATTAGAACCATGCACGTCTTGATTGCAGGGTGTGGAATAGTCGGTCTGACATTGGCCCACGGTTGTCAGCGACATGGAATTCCTTACACAATCTTCGAGAAGGATGACTCTGCCAGCGCACGCACTCAGGGCTGGTCTCTCACGCTCCACTTTGGACTTGAACCCCTGGAGAGGATGATCGGTCCGGAGTTGGCCAAGAGGATTCCAGAGGTAAGTCACCCATCAAGCTATTACTTGCCCAGATTAGGGTTAATCATAGTCTATAGACCGTCATTGGTAAGCAACAGGCTGGACCTGTCGTATAGCCCGTACTAAGTCTCCACACTTGCAGATCCTCGAATCAACCAAGCAGCTGGCCACTTCCTCCATCTAAATGGTGGCACAGGTGAAGTCCGCCACAGTATCCCACCAACAAAGAGGTTACAGCAGGTTGATCGGCAAAAGCTGCGCAGTCTGTTGATCGAGGGTTTGCCAATTCAATGGGGAAAGGAATTAAAGACCTTCACGAAGACGGAGGATGGTGGTGTCTCGGTGGAGTTTAAGAACGGGACATCTTTGAAGGGCGACATCCTCATTGGAGCGGATGGAAGTGGAAGCACAGGTGAGTCCGATCCCTCTCCTAGTGTCGCATTATGGCAGCTGAACATGTGTTAGTCCGCGCAATCCTCAACGGGGCCGGATTGGAAGAACAGCCAGTGACCCTTTTAGGAGCCACACGCCATTTCACAGCGGATGAAGCAGAGCCGTTTGCTGGCAAGTTCCTCTTCCACACGACTGAGCCTATCAAGAACACCTTCATATGGTACGGGGCCCAGAAAATTTACACCGGACGCGATGGACGCGACTCTATTGATGCGTTTGTTGCTATCAGCTGGGCAAAAGAGGCTGCGGACGACGCTTTGCCGTCCGACCACAAGTCGCGAGTTAAATTTATGAAGGAGCGAGCTCAAATATTTGCCGAGCCCATTCGAAGCATCATCACCGGTATGCCGGATGATTTGAACACCACAGCTCGCATCCGTGTCGCCGACTACCCATGTCATCCTTGGAAGAACGGCGGTATCGCGACGCTAGCGGGCGATGCTGCCCATGCAATGACCATGTACCGAGGCGAGGGAGCAAATCATGGAGTTCTCGATGCTGCTCTCATTGTCGACCAACTAGTCGAGATCAATGCTGGGAGACGCACCAAGAGCGAGGGTCTAAAGGTTTTTGAAGATGAACTATTCAGTCGGGCTCCGGATGCAGTGTTACGGAGTCGTCAGGCTGCCCTTGATGCACATATCTTCGAGGCTATCATCGAAGGAAGTCCGCTTGTTGGACCACGGGTAGTCCCCGAGGTGCTGAAAGGTGCCCAGGCTTAGTTAGAGATATAAACAGTTGGAATGTCAAGCAGGACGAGAACCAACAGAAAGAACAGAATCTGGGTTGCGAACCAAGTCGCTGGAAGGCCCTTGACAAATGAGACGGTGGAGACAAATCTGTCACAATTAGAGCGGCAGTGTGATGGTTGGGATCCAGGCTTGGAGTTTTGAGTACAGCATCTCATAGATGTATGATATGATCTTTTATGTATGAGCTTTTGCCACAGTGGGAGTTTGCCTCGCGTCCAAGTACTACGACGGAACTACAGCACAACAGAACATCCATACAGAAGAGGTAGGCTGATCTTCAACCACTCTTAAGCCAGCCGACAGCCAATAGTAGCAGAGAATGATTCCATGCTAAAAGTGGGGCTGCTCGAGGGTCAAAGTAGATTCGTCAAAAGGAGCATCGAATAACCCCGACCCTGAAAACTGGACCATGTCCAAGTCATCTCCAACGAGGCCTGCGAATGTTGAGAGCTCCAAGGAAGAGAAGCTGTGATCATATGCCGAGATTTCGCTTTCCCTTTCCGCTTGAAGGCCAGGATGATCTCCAGGTTCCTCTTCTTCACCGGCTAAGCCACGACTACTGTGTTAGTCTCCGCAGAAGCAAGGGAAACGACATGCTTTCGGACTTACCCCGACCTCTTAGCTGTTCGGAGACATTCCGAATGAATTTGGCGCAATCATACACCAGGCTATTGTCCTTGTCTAGCTTGTCAAGAGCTTCGCTCGTTTTGGCAAGATAAGTATTGCCCGAAGCATTGGTGGCATCGTCACGATCATAGACCCCATGATGAGCTAAAAGACTGCAGCCGAGTATGATTAAAGACGAAGTAAACACTTGATTCGACGCAGTTAGCTAGAGCCGATTATCTGTGAACTTTCGAATTGACTCACCGTAGAATAAGGTGAAGAACCAAACACCTAAATTGCTGGAGCTTTCGTTGTGCGCAGTGAGGACCATATGCACTATATCGATTGTGGCCTCTGCAGATCTTATGCATTCTTGAGCCTCTGCCATGGCAAGTTGAATTCGATAAGGAAGAGGTTTCCCTACAGATTTGTCTTGCGTGGTCAAGTAGCGAAGCATGGCACAGAGCAGTGGCCGGTGGATGAGGATGCTGGTGTAGTGATACCGCAAGGTTAGAATGACGCGCAGCCGACTAGGTCCTGTGCCTTTCAGTGATTCAACTGATCCAGGCTCACACAGACTCAGACGTGGTGGTAAGCCGGAAGCCCACTGTCGAAGCTCCTGGCGCATTGCGCTTGCTTTCTGAACTGATGTACTCTCGTCCATGTCTTGGTCTGTCAGGCCGAGGTTCAAGCGGTACTGCGTTGACATAGACCGGCCTATGATCTGATACAACCTCACGGAAGCATGGAAAAACTCAGTATTAATGTCAACATCCGCTAGATGTTTTGGGCTATTTTTGATGGAGGTCCACGGGGAAGGGAGCGGCACCACAATGTACTCGTCAGGTATCGATGGCGGCCTCCCAAAGGCAACACTCAATATTTTGTCCAAGCAGTAGATTGTCAACCATGTACGTCGGTGAACCTCTTGCTGTATAGGGTCAAGACATAGTCCTGATCGTGCGGAATGTAAGCCTATGGACATTGCTGCTCTCACCAGGACTCCATGCAAGTTCCATGTTTGGATTGACCTTTGGGTCCCTTGCAGGTAGAGCACAGCTAGTAAGAGATAATGGACAATGTCGAGACTAACTGTGCGCATTGACGGTTCGCTGCAAAGAGACTCTGCTCGCTTGAGGAAGGCAAATGATTTCCTGAAGCGATTCTTTGCTGAACATTCTCCGTTCTGATCGGCGTAGCTTGCCATAGCAAAGACCATATTTAGCACACCGAGCCAGGGATCACCAACTTTGGGGTTGCCTCCTGTCTTGCATTCATCGTATCTTGCTCTGAACGTGAGCTCATGTAGAAAGGGAAACATTGATCCGTAACCTCGGAAGTAAAGCTCGATCAGATAGTCCATCTCATCAACAGGTGGCAGCAATGAGGGCAAGCGCTGGGAATTCGTGGGAGACTGAACTGTTGAGGGGGATTGATGTTGTGAAAAGGTAACTGAACTACATTCCGAAGGGGCGTTAGCTTTGCGTGGTAGGGTGATTGTCGAGTCCTTCCAGATGGCTTGAAACAGATAGCGAATGAATGCAATGTTAGACGATTCGCCATAGAATGCAGGAGATTTCTCATCCACAAAGATCATCGCAAGTCCATCTGTCTTTGCCTCGTCTGATTCTCGACTCTCGTCCTCTTCCAGTGAATGTTGTTGACTTTTACCCGGTATCTGCCTCAGCATGTTTAGGCCTGACCCTCTATGGTACAAATCTATGCAAGTAGCTTCCGTGGTCGTCAAACATGCGGACAGACGCCCGGTCAGAAGGTCGTCATGGCGCTGCAGGGAGCGCTCAACATCTTTCAACCTCTGCTCCAGATTCGAGACGTATTCTTTCTTAACTAGGACATTGGTTGAAGAGTCTGATGGTTCGTATTCGCACTCAATCGAGAGTGTGTTGCACGTGGAGCATGATGGTCGTTGCCCATCACATCTAGGAGGCACATGGATCTCAGTCAAGCTCGACGTTGGTCACGCGACAACAAGAACATCAACCTTTGAAGTTGCCATACCTCGACTTGCGTGCACGACAGGCACTGCATGCTAGAGCAATACGCCGACGTTTGTTGAGCGGCTCGCTTCGTTTATGCGACCTAGTGTTAATACCCAGTTCTTCGGAAGCCATGAAGACGTGAATCTGAGTTGAGGATTCAGAAAGATAGAGTAATGCGATGGAAGATTTCTTCTTCGGGAGGACAGCCGTTAGCGATGAGACATTCTGAAGGTTTGAAAGAGCGCGAACTTCATCGCCTGTGAGCAGGAGGATCAGGTTGATAAGGAGGTTTCAATACAAGTACTAGTACTACTCAACACGATGGCGATTGCTCCTGGTCTCTATCCACCCGAGTTCATGACACACTCCATGGGTGAATTCAAAGAGGCCCACACGCATATAAATCAATCGCTAGAAACCCTGCTTAGACCCATCATAGGACGACTTTGCATTTTACTGAAGATAACGCAGTTCTACCGAAATGAAAGATCAACATCATTCGGAGCTATTTAAGCCCCGAAACCCTGGTCGGAGGTCAGAGGCTCCTATGACCAGATTGGGGTAATCCTCTGCACTAAGTACTTAAGGTAGCATCTCATCATTCTCCCAAGCCGCCCTAAGGTAGGCATCGGTTGCATAGGTGATTTCGGACGATTATTGTGCTCGGGGATGGCGATCGTGACGATTCAGTGCGCCGAGGCTTGCAACCACTTCAAAGGATCCCATCTTGTCGCGGGTCTGGGACAGAAAGTCCGTTTTAGAACTCCAATCTGCTCTTCTAGGGCTTGCAGCCGCTCCTCATTGGCTTGCGCTAATCTTATCAATTCCTCCCTGCGCTCTTCCTTCCTCAACTTCTCTTCTCTCCGCTCATCTAGAAATATTCGTAGATCTGTAACCAGATCTGGATCGATATCAGGCGTACCCGTAAGTAAATCCTCAATAAGAATGGTTATTAAGTCGGGTTCTGTTGGTTGTGGTGAACTGGGCGACGACTCCGTCGTCTCGGTATCACTACCGATGGACTCAGAGCTTGAGTCTAGGAGAATGCTGGCGGAATCTTCTGATTCTTGGGACATGGCATCCTCATGGGACATGGCATCCTCATGGGACATGGCATCCTCATGGGACATGGCATCCTCATAGCTGTCGGATTCCAATGTTAGTCGATTCCGGCACGAATGTCAGGGTGGACAGGTTATCAAGGATAAGTCATGTCCCCCAACGGGTGAGCTGATGATATTAGGGAATGATGTAGGACTTACTCGTCATTAGTGGGGCGTTGTTCCGACATTGTGAAAGATGGAGTAGAAGAGGAGGACTTGCAGGTTTTGCAGGTAGATGGTGATGAGGACTGTTCAGAAGGTCCAAGATGTCGTGAGAGTTGGAAAGGTGAAAGACGCAGTTATAAGTGAAATGGTTTCGTTGGGAGTTGATCTGGCTCAAACTGATACAGGCAACAGTGAAGCATATTGGTATAGACTTTGTCAATGGAGGCTATTGCCTCAAAACAAACTCCTATTTCACATTGTCCGGGTCTACGGACTATAGCGTCGGACTATAACTTAACCACTATTTCGATCATTGTCTCAGAACTCAATTGAAAGTTAACATCTGACTTCGACTTGGTGTCAACGACGTCCCGGGACATGAAGAGGTTTGATAGTCTCGGAAGGCAGTGTCAATGGACTTCTGGAGTGAAGTGTTAGTTGCATTCCCACGCTCACAACTAAGAGCCTTCTCAGGTTTAGAGTTGGTGGAATTCTCTTAGGACGTAGTACAGTCTTCGTCGTCGGGGGCTTGCCACTAGATCTCTGTGGTAAGGTGGTCGAAGGCTCCTCACGCTCGACGGATGATGTTTCCATGGTTAGTGTCGACAGATTTGTCGTGAGCAGTGTACACGGCTTCCTCAGGGGTAGTGTTATTGAATTCCAGGAGTAAGGTACTAGTAGTAGGTTAACGCTCATAGATGGTAGCGTTTTCATGGACGATATCAATTGCTTTCAAGACGCTGGTCTTCTCAGATCAGAGGCTCTCTTCAAATCCCCGACTATACTCTCGAATCTGCCTGCAGATGCGCTACTCTATGTGATGGCTTAGGTCATAGTCTTCCTCTGGGAATAACCAGCTTGGGTCAATGGCTACACTTGGCAAGGCCATTATCTCGAATTCTGACCAGATGTGTGAAGGGTCGCCTGCTCCACCTACTGCAGCGAGCCCACAGCTATCCAATGGAGGAGGTTGGAATGATGCCTCGATTGCTGCTTCTTGGTTAAGACTCACCAGATCTATTCCTGGTTCCGTGGTACCTGGTTGCGTTAAAGGCCCAGAAGATTTGATTTCCGTTACTAAGATAGCGTCCATGTCGTTGGGAGGGATATCGCGTGATTCTCCTGGGCGTGAATCAGGGACTTGAGCGTATGGTGTGTCTTGCTGTTGTGTCTCCACAGATGGCGATAACAGCATGTAGTTTGTGACTTTGGCAAGCGAAGCCAGAGCCATCCGAGGGACCTGGAAATGATCGACGCCTACCGCCCGCTCGAAGAAGTCCTTGATCTGGTTTGCGTAGAACTTGGCAACAAGCGTTTCTTCTCCAATCAAGTCAGAAATGTGTGAGTTCTGGAGCTTGACGGACTTGTAGAGCGTAAAAATCATCTGCATTGCGTACAGAGCCCGAACTGTGGTCACAGTAGGGCAGTTGAGGTACGTTGGAATGTCGAGGTGGATGACGGTATCGAGGATGCTGTGACTAGATTGGATCAGAGACATGACTACACGAATGTACGCCATGTCGGGGTTTGCCTGTCGAGGAGTGACGTGGTTTTGGTCTCCCGTGCGAGGAGGGAAGATGGGCAAAGAGTGCGTTTGTGCTTGAGATATAAAGACGGCAAGTTCATAGAGCTTGGTGCGGCAATAGAAGAAATGGATTTGCAAAGAGCCTTTCGGATCATCTAGTCAGCAAAACTCCAAGGCTTTTTGGATCCACTGATTCTACTTACTGTTCGTCACGGACTGGTTGGCGTATCGCCATTCGGCGAGTTTTCCCTCGAGAGTATTCATGAAAGAACGGTCTGCAGGGGGAGACTCAGTGCCAGTGCTGCGTTCTTCAACTCCCATAAATCTGACCCGAAGGGTTTCGATTTCTTCAGCTATAACTTGAAGTCTAACCCAAGCAACCAGACGTTTGTCATTGACATGGTCACACGAACGGTCAAACTCGTCGAGGACGTCCGACATCGATTCGCTCCAAATCAGGGTAAATGGCCGACGAAGACTAATTGCAACGCTGGGTCAGGCCAGGTGATGTTAGCCCTTCGAATCGTTCCCTCTGGATTAGGCGACGGGTCGGGTCACTTACGTCGAGTTGGACAAGAAGACTGCAAACGCCGTCCGCCACTCACTGAGCGTTTTCTCATCACTACCGCCACTTGGTCTCGCGAGGCTCGTGGGCGATGTCGTCTTGCTCCATGGCCACAATCCTAACTGCTGGACCATGATACCAGCAATTCGAATCCACATGTAGAAGTTTAAACGGTCCATATCGTCTGGAGGGTCATACCATACCTCCATAGCGAGAATTGCCTGTACCAGTTCAAGCGACCGCCGACCGAGGACTAAGACTTGGTGGCCGACATGGCTAAGCAACCGATAATGGAGTTTCCTGAACAGCGCAGGGTCCGAGCCCCTCGATGCTGAGGTTATCATCGCCAATAATAGCGTTGGATGCGTTCTTCGTAATGAGGAGAAATCGTGATTCGTGCCGAGGGCGAGGACAGGATACTGAGGAACGACATTGTCGATAAACTGGGTAAGCAAGGTGTTTGCTAGCTGGAAAGGAAGTTGTGTTGCATCGACTAGGCCTGGGATTGTCTCATTCGAATCTGACGAATATCCATTCTCTGTGGCTTCTTGCCCCAGTTGGGGCTGTCTAGGCTGTTCACCCACGGATATCTCGTCCGTGGCATATTGAGTGACGATGGTATCATTTTGCCATACACTGTCGGGTGAGCTGGCCAAGGGCGAAGACTCGTGTGCAGGATTTCCAATAGCAGCCTTCAACCCAGCAATTTCCTTTTCCAGCGCTGCAACGCGAGTGTCGGTCCTCTTTCGCCGTTGTCTAGGCGCCCTTGAGTCAAAGACACACTCTGCTCCAGCATTGTGGCAGCGCCTACACTTGCCGTGTTCAGCAAAGGTGTCGACTAAGCACCGAAGTTTCGATGCGCGACACCGAGAACATGCGTGCTTCTGGCTAGAGTTCATTTTCTTACTCTCTACGACGGGATTGAGGTTCATGGGATGAAGTTGAAATGTGGAATTCGGGTCATAGTTGGCTCCGAACTTTGGCCAAGCTTTACTATACGAACAAAGCGAGCGAACATTGGCGGTGGGGTTATGATGATGGAAAGCTTCCGCTCTGACCATCTCTCAGAACCAAAGCTACCAGAGTCACCTTGTTGAAAGCGTCTTTACTTCCTTGTCAAAACAAACTTGATTCCCATCGTCAAGTTCTCGGCAAACACGCGACTCAAGGCGAAATCGGGAAAAATCCAAAAGATGTGCGGCAGACCAGGGTAGTGGTCATGCTTGGTTGGTACACTAAGAGACTTCTTAGCATCGTCCTGTCAACCGTTCAAGATCAAGGAAATCATGACTTACCCAGCCTTCTCCAGCATTTTAGCCATCACCACTCCATCGTCTCGAAGAGGATCGGCTCCACACGTAGCAATGTATGTTGGCGGGAAGTCTTGAAGATTTGGGGACAACGCAGCGAAGATGGACGAGTCGTTTGGTACTGCGTTCACAGCCTCTAAATTTGATGTCAGATCTGCCATTTGTTTTGACCAGGGCGACTCAGGCTCAGGAAAATACCGAAATAAGTCATCATGGCAGCAGCGTCCATAATAGGGACATCTGTGCCATTCTCTTGATATGATTTGTACACGTCGAGGTACTCAGGGACTACATGGTGAGGATGGAGGGTTACGGGTGTAAGTGCGATGACGGCTGCAAGGCGAGTAACAGGATTACCAGCTTTACGCTGCTCAGAGATGTGGTTTGCAAGGGACAGAGACAGTGCTCCGCCAGCGGAGGCTCCCATGGCAAAAATTTGGGTCTTTTCTGTTACGAACCGGTTGGATGGATCCCGCACCTAAGTGAAAGATTGTCAGTATTCGCAATCAAGACTGAAGATATTGTTGCAGGGCTCCAACCCAATCATATGCAGTGATGACATCCTCAAGCATGGTTGGCAATTTGTACTTTGGCCCAAGACGATAGTCAATCGACACCACGACGCAAGGAGTGGATTTGGCAATCCATCGGCAGAATCCATCTTCAGAATCAAGATCCTCAGCTATAAAGCCGCCGCCGTGAGAAAAGATGCAGAGTGGAATTTTCTCAGAATTGACTGGCTTGTATACTCTGATTGGAACAGATGAGGCGGATGAATCATCTGTCATTTGCAGTAGAAGATGTCCATGTCAGCACGCCAATTCTTCTTCTTTTATGTGATACTGACGTACAAATCTGAAGATTTGGATCCGTATTGCGCTGCGGAGGTCCAACTGCTGTAGCCAGCTTTTGCACTTGTGCAATGATCTCCTCGGCATTTCCAGTGAGGCAGAAACGTCCTCCATGAGTGGCCTCGTACTGTCAACCCAATCATGATCAACATCGATATCTTCCCGTGTCTAAGGTACAGAATGTTGACATACCTCGAGCCAGTCTTTAGATATCTCCGGCATCTTGTTTTCTTGCGGAGAGACTGGGCGTTGTTCTGATGGGTCGGTGCTATGATTATAGAAGTGAGATACAACTATTGGTTTCTGGAACGGTGGACCGACTTCCGAGTTGATGACTGACTCAAAGACAACCTATACACACCTCTCGATATTCCGACAGCCTATGCTCTAGTCACTAACCATGGAGATGTCACCAAAGATGGAAATTGTAATCTCGGGTCACATTCGAGCCCTATCTAGCATCTGTGAGAATGACCATGGATCAATTACTTATCTCATGCAGATTTGCCCTTGCGAAGCCGTGGGTTCCACTATGGGCTGGACGGATAGCCTGTTCGGAGCATATTATTACCCGAATCATTCTTGCTTGACCGCAAATTCGCCCACCCCATCTGGCTTCGGTACGGAGCGGTCACGAGGGAGGGTCTGTTTCATGGGATATCACCTTCTCTTCCGATCGCTAATTTGGCGTTCAGTCGGATTTGTTCTTAATGTCTTCCTGGTTTGACATCAGTAAAAGCCTCCTTGACTACCAACTACACCCTTGGGTCGATTTAACCTTGAACGGAATAGTTCCTTGGTTACAACAACAATTCTTCACGGTGTCTGTCATAGTCCACCTTTGATATTTCTTCTTGAGCCTCGAGTCTATACTTTGCGACCAGAATCGTCACAGTAGCTCTTCATGGCAAAATTTTCTGGGCGGACCAGAAAGGTCTTGGTGCTCGCTGCCAGCAGTCCACTATTAGGTCTGGCTGGGTGGCGGTTCTGGACACGACATTCCTTTTTTGAGCCTTTCACATCAGAAACCGATCCTCTGTTTCAAAGCGCCTACCTGCAAAAGTTCAACCCTCATCACAATCCAAGCGAAGATGATTGCTGTGTGAGGCTTGTTCCTCTTACGAGATTGAGAGCCGATCTCGGGGAAGATGCCCTGAATGGTGGCCCGAAGCTTATCGAGGCTTTCGCAGCAGGGTTATGGGGCGGATTCGGTATGTTCAACGATGTTCCTTAGATCTTCTAGATTCATAACTGTCATCTGAAGCTTTGACTGGGCTCTCTGTGAGCACTCCCAAGTGGCAATGGGAAGACAGTCGCTGAGCTTGGATATAGGTTTTGCAATCCAGAGGGCGATTATGAAGCGAGCTTTCCTGAATGACACCAACAAAAATGACCTGTGGGAAAAGGAAGAACTCCTGAAAAGTTTATATGAGCCTGGTAATGTTGCTCGCAAACAATTGGTCGTAGGCACGACGAAATCAAACCTTGGTCTAACTGATGACAGGCACCATAGTCTCAGACCACTTCATTGTACTGGAAAAGACACCACGTGCAATCATTTTGAGGGGAGGTCTTTCGCCACGCGAGTCACCCAACGAGCCTCGCGAGATGGACAACATCTGTGAGATGACTGTGGATGTTAACAAAGAGGGGAATGCTGCGGTATTTCGATACAAGAACATATACTTTCAAGGCTTGGGACACCAGAAGTCGAAACCTTTCTCACCGCCCATGGTCTGGCTCCACCGTCAATACTGCTTGCTGCTCATTGAGGCAGCGGTTCGAAATTGTATAGAATAAGAGAGACGGAACTGTGAGGGGAAAAGGGGTAGTCCAGAATGGCTCCTGGCGTTCATTGGGCCAAGGCGCAGGACCATGTGATCTATGGCGGAACACCTCCGTGTTTGGTCTATCGACTTCGCCCTACGAAGCTCGCTGTGGAATACTCCAAACAGCGTCTATAAATAGATCACGTGGATGGGAGGTGTTGAAGAATCAACAACCACAACTTTTAACTTCTCTTATCTATAAATGCTGGCTCTAGGTGCTGGCATTACTTTTAATCAATGTGTTAGTTCCATGGCAGTTACCCAAGAAAGTGGTACCACAACATCCCGATGATGAAGGATTCTGCTTGGCCTGCCAAAGCAGTCGTCGAGTCGTGTACATCGTCAAGAAGTAGATGAAACTACACAGTCCGTAAGATTGCTTCTTTCCCATCGTCACTCAAAGTATTGTCCTTAGACCCAACACATGATAGTCATGAAGTCATGTCATCGTACAAACGTACGGCATCCAACTTGAATAATATGTACACTGTTGACGTTCGGGTCAATTGGTCTTTAGTAATTTCGGCCGTAGCCTCCAGCAGGAGCCGACGGAAGATAGCCACTAGGACCTGCCGAGGGCTGTGGAGGTTGGCGAGAAGTGTGTTGGGTTGTATTTGGACCTGGTGGTCGATGGAACATGCTGGCTAAGCGTCGACCAACACTCGGCTCAATTTCTGTTCCATCTCGTGCAATCTTCACCTCGCGGTTGGCATTCCAAGGGTTCCGTAGTCCTCTAGTGCGGTAGAATGGTAGACGTTCAGTTGACATCCATCTAATTCTGAACGGTTTGCCAAAGGTTTGTGGCACACCAGGGCTGGGGGTTGAGGAATCTTCATTTTCGCCGGATAGATTTTCTCGATCGTCTTCGGCAGCGAGCTCCTTCTCCGGAGAAACACTGTCAAGAGCCTCCCAGAAGATTGTTCCTCGGGCTGAATCATCAATAATGCGTCCCCGTGGCGCGGTAGACGTGGGTGGAGTAAAAATCGTCACCGGTAAATCGGAGAGACTGGGACTCGGAGCTTCTGGTCTAGGCTGATAACCGATATCCGCAGCCGACTCATCATCAATGGCTGATTCCATTCTCGCGTAACCAAAATATTCGCCGGACTTGTTGGCTGAAAATATGAGATATACATTCTCTGAAGCCTAGACTTGGTGTCAGTACAAGAAGTGGTGCGGTTTTGGGGCAAAAGTTGAGATTTACCTGATACGCAGCATTGAGCGCAGCCTCGTTGTGAGCTTGGGTGGCCCAAATACCACTTTGTACGCTGCGCTCTAGGTCTTCTGCTGTGAGACTCTTGACCACAAAAAACTTCTCCTTGACTTTCTCGGCCACTTTCGGCTCGGGTGTAGCTTCCAGGGTATCATCTACTAGGGGGGTGCTTTCATCATTGTCGGGTACAGCGTCTACTGTGTCGGCCTTCGGTTCGACCGTGGGGTTTGTCGAAGCTGTGGCGGTCGCAGAAACGCTACCCCGTCGTAATCGACACACCAAACGTACCCCATGGAAGCGTGAATCGTGGAATCGGGCCATTGCTGCGGTACAGCTAGCCTCTGTCTTATAATTCACAAATGCACAATTGCTCTTGGAGATCAAAAAGACGGATTCGATCTCGTCGGTCGCTTCGTTGGAAAAATGGTCTTTGAGGTCGATAATATGTGTCGAAGGCGGCAAATTGCCAACCCATAGAGCATGTCCAGATTGCTTTGGTTTCCGTGGAGGGCCCCGAAGTACAGAGGTCTTTAAAGAGGAGCTCGAAGAGGTTCGCTTAACGGCTTTGAAAATTAGCAAATGTTATATCCACGTTCGAGAAGAGCGTACCGCGTGTGTTTTGCGAAGTGAGGTGACTCTGGCCCTGAGATTGACTCAAACTGCCATCGATATGAAGACTAGGCAGGCCTGGGTAGGCGCCTCCCATGCGACCAGAATATGCCCCGGCAAACATAGGATTAGCGTGCGGTTGGGAGAACTGGCCTGGGATGTGATGCTGTTGTGGCATAGACTGCTGGAGCATCATGGGCTGATTCATCATATTCTGAGATGCAGGAGGAGCCATTTGACCGGTCATAAATTGAGGAAATGTCATTTGTTGTTGTCTTGACTGGTGAGGGTGTGCGAATTGAGGAGGGTAATGTGGGACAAAGGATTGATTGTAGGAAGTGGCCTGTGGGTGTGAAAATTGAGGATTTTGTTGGTAATGATATATGATGGGTTGGTTCTGGGACGCTTGCGCAGGAAATTGATGAGGAAATGATTGCTGAGGCTCGTAAGATCTCCTATGATAGTCCGGTAAAGCTGCCCCGACATTCGACATGTTGAAGGAGCCTGGGGACTGGTAAGCAGCAATTGTCTGCTGGTGTCTCGTATAGGGATCGAAATCTGCCGAGGTCGAGTGCTGAGTCTGTGGAGCGTTGTCATCCTGGTTTACAGCAATATTTCGGTCTAGAATGATCAGTTCAGTGAAGCAGATGTAAAGGTTTGAGAAACTGACCTTGTGATGCTTGTCCAATCTCGCCGGAGGTCCTCACTCGACCAGGTGGCGGCTCGTCAGCCATTGCGATATGGTGAGGGATGATGAAGACTGTATTGTAATGCTGAATCCAAAACACAGCCATTAGTCTTTGGATGGTGAATTCAAGGAGGTGTAAGAGTGCGTACCTTGATAATAACGACCCGGGCTACAGGCAGGCCAGCCTTGCCCAAAGCGAAGGGTCAATAGAGGTCGAAAATGAAGTGCCACCCGGATGTCTCTAGAAATTGCCCGTGAGGTGAGATTCATTCATGGCACCAATTCGGAGAATGCAGGGTCAATGGGCCGAGTTGCATAAGTCAGGAGAACAAGAGCGAATGTGGTTGAGAGACAGACCCTTGAGATGTCGGGGATGCCACCAAGGGCGACAACAGGAGCCGGTCGAAGGTCGAAATAGCAACAGCGATTGGCTCGCCCTGACCAGGTAAGAGAGCAGAAATAGACCAGGAGCGAGAGATCGAGGGGATGAAGTAGTGAATGGTGGCTGTGACTGGCAGAGCGTTGTAAAGAGAGAAGGAGTCAAGGTGATTGGCGCGCAGCGAGTCAAAGTCGAAAGCTGGGCAAAGAAAAGGACCTAGTGCTGGTCTGTGGCAAAAAGATGCAAAAGAAGATATACGCTGGAGGGCTTTTGGTGAGAAGCAGAGGGATAGAGGGAAAGAATAGCTCGAGAATGGTCTGAGAAGTGGAGGCAGCGGCGACAGGTTAAGTGGCGCTGTCGAGGTCAAAAAAGACACCAAGCAATGCCGGAGATGCTCTGTAAATTCAGAACGAAGCCAAAGGAAAAAGAAGCCAAAAGTATTTGTTGTGCGTTGGTATCAAATTGCCAGGCAGTCAGTCAGGGAGGAATGGTAGGCACGTTGGCACAGGACAGTCTATCAGCAAGGAAAAGAGTTGCCCATACCCAGGGTGGCACTTTCCTCGTGCCAGAGCCTGAACCAGGGCTCCTGCAGACAAGCTCTTGCCATGTTCATTGGTCGGAACTACGAAGCGATGTTGAACCCCAGAATCGGCAGGTGGTCAGGAAGGAACGACAAACAGCGACACTATTTGCACTACCTCCACTACGGTACAAAGGTCCGGTTCGCTCTTGCCCGAACCCAGTATTGATCTGGCCCTGAACACCTTGTCTGGGCGGGCGGCAGTGGCTTGTGACTTGGCCCACCGAGCTTATTATTACCTGCTGTGCCTTCAGGCAATCCTGTGTGGATGAGGAACAACTTTGCTCTACGCCTACGAGTCAAGTACGAATTGTTGGACCCATGCTCTCCATATTGGGACCCACCAAAAAAAAAAGATAGACGCAAAGACAATGGCGTAATTTTCGGAAATGTGATTCACCCTTGGCCTTATCAGTGTACTGCCTGAGCGCAGGTGGACATTCTGTCATGATGATCAATTAAAGACGAGTGGACAAGCAAGCTGAGGGTGATTGAGGGAGAAAATGAGCGAAGTGATACGAATCCAGTAGGATATGCGTGCCTTGGAACCGACCGACCGAGGTACTAAAAGAGAAGCCACCGAGCATTAACAATCATGACCCAGCCAGCAGCAAAACAGAAGTGGCAGATTTTCCAAGGACCACAAGACAGAGTGTGAGAGTGCAAGGCTAGAACGTCCGAGAGTGGGTTCGCCTAGCCACAAGGTCTGAACTAAGTGTGGCAACTTGGTAAGTCGCGTAGTCAGACCTTACACGGGGGGCTGCTATTCGCCATGCCCACGCGGGTCCTTGTGTTGCCCGCTCGACTACGTATACGCGGTCCTTGGATGGGAAACTGAGATCCATTCGTGGCGCATGTGTCCTTTCATCGATATCACTGGAAAGTATTTTGTGATGGCGAGGATCGGCTATTTCCGAACGAGATGGCTGTGGTGGCTGAGCTGTAGAGTACGGGAACACAAACTCCGCCTGGAGAAGACACAGAGAGGGTCGGAAGCGATATGCGTACGGCGTAGCACCACACGAAAGAGGTAGGTACCTAGGTAGCAACCTAGGTACTGGAGCCACACAGTGGTTCTGGGCTCTGTCGATCCCTTCATGGCGACTGCGTCAGCATTGTGCTTGCCTGGTCCGGTTTTCCAGTAGGAGCGATTTGACGGAATCCATTCCCCTCGATCGACATGACAGAAGATTCTGAAGAGCTGGTCGATCAATCACCAGTTGAGTTAGATTGCCACAGCACCACAGTCATGCACAGTACTCCGTATCGGTTGGGCTGCCGTGGCTGCCAAGGTCATGACTCAAAAGAGCAGGGAACAATAGCGTGCACTGTAGCCTTATTCCGAGTTACACGCTTATCCTTAGGGTGGCAGTGGACCTGGTCGTGCTGGTGCAATGGTGCCGTGGTGCCGGGGGAAGCTAATGACAGAGGCTAAAACCAACATCACAAGCCACAGCGGCTACTCCACTTGGGCCTTGGAATGTTCTGGCCTGTGCGTGCCTGGCACCTGGATACTGCCACCAAGCCCGGAACCCCGGCCCTGACTCTCCACGCGCTTCCAAGCACATTTGCCCTGCGTGCCTGGTTCTTTTGCTTGTCACTTGAGTGAACTCTAACTCGAGTATGTGGATGGAAATACACGTGGAATTTGTAAAGGGTCCCAAGGGTCCCGAGGGTCCTCAACCACGGGAAAGCTTGGAAGGCTATCGTGGCTGTCACTGCTGTCCAGAAATTAATGTTACCATGCCGTGCATGCTTCGCACAGTGGTGAAATTACTCCCTACCTAATGAGTGGTCGCTGGAATGGCCCCAACTCCTCACGCCAAAACCAAACGACCAGCGCGAACCCCACATGCTACTGGAGACCAAGAGCGATTCATGCCCATCCCTGCATTTTCGGGCCTGGCGGCTCCCGCATGGCCGAGTTTTTTTGGCATCCACGGCACCCAGCAGACATGCGTACCATGCCTATGCATACCTAACCTAACACCGACTATTAGCTACTAAACCTACTGTATTTACAGTACTCTGCCTCTACAAACTTCACAATTGTGGAGCTGGGATCGGCTACCTCCAGCCCAAAAACTCCCCAAGTTCGACGACTCGACGCCACGCTTTGTTCCACTGGTATCAAAGCTGAGACACCTCGTTGACAGTTTCGACTTTTGGGCCTTGGGCAGCGACGATCGGGCAACTTCCGGAATCTGCTTCCATGTCACATGTACAATGCGGATAGGTCGACAGCAGCTGACACAAAATAGGTCCTAATCGGCCATCTGGCCGCAAGTTGAGCTCTAGCGAACAGACTAGTCAGAGTCACAAGAAGCCATTGGCTTGGGCTTGTTGATGGTGGAGATGATGGAGCCATTAACTCCTCAGGTTTCAATTGAAATTCAGGACCTAATTCTCGGTGTTGTGTGCCAGGTGCCAGGGCATCATCTTTATGCCGCCGTTGCGAGGGTCCTGGGGCCGGACGCACCCAGCCGCATCATGGGAAAAGGGACAATTTGGACACGCAGCGAGATGGGAAATAAGGATGCGGAAGAGACAATCCCATCCATCAAAGTGCGGGAACCCGGTCGAGTGGCTGAGTTCCAACTTCCAAGATTTGGACCAGGGGATGACGCGCGGAACGGAAAAAGATTTCGGCGGAGAAATGCCAAGTCCTTTTCGCTTGCGTCATCCAAACCCCCACCTGCCCTCTGGCAGGGTCGTGGTCATTCATGGTCGCGCCTTCCAAAGTGCCACATTATGCCTAAAACATATGATCGCCCTGGAGCGAGCAGAATTCATCTTCTTCCCCCAACGGCCTTTGTTCCAATTCTGCAAAGATCTTCCTTCACCTGGTGCGCCTCTTACCTCTCTCTGCATAGACTTTTCTCTCATGCTCTAGATTCATGCATACGTACAACACGAGCACGCATTACATTCTTCTTGCGTCATTCACTTCCTACTCTAGCATGCCTATCCGTTCGAGTCCTCCGCCAAAAATAGGCCCACCCATGCACCCAAGCTGATCACCGTTACCACCACCGCAGGATCGTCTTCCTCTACACCATTTCGGTCTTTGGTCGCTGTTCGAACCTGGGCAACTTGCGTACATTGCAGCTGCCATTTGATGATCGTCTCGCTTCTACCACTTCTGACCATCTCAGGTGACTGTACCGTTGCCCAGCCCTGCCAGTTGAGAGTGGAAACTATACATTACTCGTAGGTACATACGGAGTACGCGTTGCCGAGTGGGATCGACATCAAAAAAAGATCGACACAAAGAATCCCAGAAAGTTCCAGCCCTAACCTTGCTTCTCGGAAAATCCTTGCCTCAAACTTTGCCACTGACTTGTCCAAATGACTCGTGTCTAGAGTATCACGGCCTGCACCCCATCCGAACCTACCTTTCCTTACATGCATGCCACCTGGCCGCCCAGTTCCCCGTTCTCCCTCACAGCAAGTCTCGCGACGTGCCCATCGACAAAGACTCTGGGCTCCATCCCTCGGCTTAGGATGCCACATCCTCTACGGGAGTCAGACTACTTGACTCGGAGATTGACAGTTCTCTCGGCAGCTCCGAAAACCACATGCCAGTGTGTATTTTTCGAGAGTCGAGACAGGGTCTTCTCCAACGGCTGGACCAGTTCCTCGGTTCCGAGTGGCCGTTGACATGTCGTTCAGCAACGTCTACTGTTTGCAATCGTGCCCCCTTATTCTGGGTCATGTTTGCGAAGACGACCATGGTGAGTGAGGAGCCGGTCTAACAGTTCGAGACAGCGTTGTGGGAATCGGATACGTGGCAAACATCTCCCTATATGAATCAAGCGCAATGCAGAGCTGGCCATCTAGTCGTGCACAGCATGCTGTTGGCATTTGCCCTCGACCCCAGCCTTGCAATCTAGCTTGACCTAGCAGGAGTAGTGTCACTACCTGGAAAGCCATTCACCACCCCTGAGCGATGCCAACGCAGTAACAGCATTATTCTGCTCCGCATCGCGAGAAGTCAGGGGAAGTCGGGAATCAATCTTACATGCTGTTAGTGATCTCCAAGCTTGACCACTAAGAACGCGAGCAAGGCATGCTCTTTGGAGAGCGATTCATAACCGACCCCTTGACTAAATCGAAGGCTAGTAGTCAACGATGGCTACTCACCTTCTATAGGTACCATCGCCATTTACCCTGCATATGGAATACCCGCATCTATCCACCAATGGTGTTCTAAGACTAGGTATGAAAGATAGGTAACACGTGTAGATGCCCTGTATGTAGTGGAGTCAGATGCAAGTAATCTCTATAGTGTTTTATCTGATGGGTTCAAAGTCGAGGTCAATGCAATTCCATGCTCATTATTGATTAATCCAATTGCCCATCAAGGTTTGTAGACAGGTCATGTGGTCAGAGAACAAGAACCCAGTAATGCAGCATCAAAGATAGCGTCCCATATCCATGGTCATAAATCCTCCTGCACCATCGGCGCTCATCAAACAATGGCCCAAGCCTGTCCCACACGACAGCTTCCGTCGCAATCATTGACATCTCTTCACCACGTGCTGGTCACTCAAGCCACAGCTGCTCTTGGTCGTGGCCATGTGCCTTCTGTCGTCTCTAACATTACACCTTCACTCGTCGTAATACATCAGTCGTCATCCAATTCATCAAAATCACTTGAATCGCACAAAACTTCAAAATCCATCGTCCGTCGGTACCGATGCTATCGTTCTCCTAACCCACTAACCTTGGCAGAGAACCTTGACCCAGTACTACTGCGCTTTTGCAACTTGGTAGCCCCGTCTGACGACAACGAGGCTAGTGGCGGGGCTTTCGTGAGCATGGGCAGTGGCCCAAGCCGGTCTCCCAACATCCCTCCAGTTGAAACGCTCGACACGGCTCTTGATGTCCGCTGGTCAATGTACAGTTGTGCTGCTGGAGAGAGAGGAATCGGAGGGGGTTCCACCGGGATTTCGGCGCCGTTTTGCATCAGTAGCTCGGCAAGAGGAAAAGCTTTGACCGTCGACCCCGATGATGGCTGTCCTGTGTTGGAGTGAGACGAGGCTGGACGAGCGGGGTCTGCAGCGGCTAGAGCAAGGAATACAGCGTGGGTGTTCCGGGATCGATCGTGGGCATTGACATTGGCCTTTCTGGCGATGTTCTGAAGCACTCCTTGAATGTCGTGGCGCTTGATTGAGGTCAACATGGCATCCTCTGCTGTGCCATACTGACCGACCGGTTCCACATAAGCACGTTCGACGTATTTAGCAGTTATAAATCTCAGCCGTTGATCCCTTGTGGCCATGGGACCTGGCTTCAGCGATCGGTCAAGGAGGGCCTCCCAGATCATGTTGCTGATGCGATTGCCAATGGCCATTAGTAGCTCAACGATGTCATTGGTAAATGAGTGGACGTCCAGTGTCAACGATCGGATCTTGGATACGTGTGTGCCAAGCGAGCGGTGGATGCCACCACATTCAATGCACAAGATGATGCCCAGATTCAACGACACCCACTCAACCTTGGAGGTTGAACAACAGTCGGCGCAAAACTGGTTCCCTTGATCGACATTTCGGATCTGATCGAGAAGTTTGGACGGGTTTTCTTCGTAGCTATTGCTACTGGTACGAGTATAAGTCGGTCTTGCGCCGACCGTGATCCTTCGCGACACCCCTACAGAGTCAACCTTTTGTGCATAACCATGCGGGCCGGACTGTGACGCGCTTTTGCCGGTCAGGACGTGCCCATACTCGCGCCCATGTGTCTCTTTGCGTGGCTGCTGGGAGGACTGTGCACCAAGCTCCATCGCACTCTGCAAAGCATTGTTGATGGAGGTAATCCAATTGTTCATCTCATCCTCGGTCGTCGCTTGATAGACCCGTTTATATTGTGGAGTAATGACTTCGAAACAGAACCTTCGCTCAGCATCGCGGGCCATGCGTACAGAGGCCACGCGCAAATCAGTGGGCTCTCGATGCAGGTCTAATTTGTCTTTCCAGTTGCTATATTCAGAGAGCTTGCCCTGATCGAGGACGATCCAAAATCTATGCACATCAGCCGAGTCCAGTTTGTGTTTGCCAGTGCAACTTACTTATGCCAAGCCTGTTTATTGATACCCTTGGGGTCGATATGTGAGCCTGGTTTGCTGAGGGCCCACAACAGGCCCTCTTTGCGCATCTGTCCAGTTGAAGACTTGTCGCTGGTGGCCACGGAATTTTCATCTAGGTCGCGAATGCCTTTGAACTTGCTAGGAGTGATAGCCGAAGTTGGGTTGCCAGGTGAGCTTGGGAAGGTGTTGTTAAGGAGGCCGCCTTGTAGGGAGTTTGTTGTCGGAGACAAGGTCTTGGATGGCCCTTGTGCGAACTGAGAGCTTGTACTGTCAGCTCTGCTTAGGTCTGTGTCCGATGTGTATCCCGCGGAGCCGTTTTGCACCGGGGGTGCCTGATTTGGTTGGGCTCCGGCGGATTGTGGTCCGGCGTCAGTCTCAAGCGCCACGGGACCATTTTTCTCGAGATTTCTGCGTTTCTCTTCCCTCTCTGTTCGTTGAAGGTTATACTCTTTATCGGCGTTACCAACTTCCTTGACCAGTGCGTCCAAACGTGGAGTGTAGGTATCCACCCTCTTCGAAGCGGACAGGAATGATTTGGTATGACTTTCGGCATATTTTGTTAGCTGGGACAACAGTTCTTGCTCCTTGCGGCCACCGTGAAGGTCCTGCATGAAGGTCGAGTAATCAAATCGCTTGAGCTCAAAATTCTTCTTTTTGTTCTGGTATTTTGAGTCGCTTTCTGCGCGCTTTTTATCCTTTAGGGAGTCCTGACGTTGGCCAAGATACCTGCTAACATAAGCATAGTAGTCTCTACTTTCGTCCTCGAAGTCTTTCTTCTTGGCCTCGGCTTGTTTAATGTCTAGATTGTAGAGCTTGGAAATGGGGTCGATAATCTGCTTTTGCAACAAGACGCCAGTTTCTTTTTCGTACTTGAGTATCCTTTGAGCGATGTTGGTAAAGTAATGATCGATTGCAGGTTGGAATGCAGAGGCGTTTGAGCTGGAAGCCTCTTGGAGAGCGAGGTGAAAGGCGGACATGGCAGAGTTGTATTCGACCTGGGCTTGCTGGGCGGCCTCGGCCTTTTTGAGGACCTTTTTAATCTGAACTCGCATGGCCCCGGTTTTCTGCTCGAGGGCTTTCATCGTGGCTCTGAAGACAGGACCGTCTTCGACAGCGCTAACATCTTCGCCGGGACGGTTGCAGTGAACGTCAATGACCGGCAGGATCTGAGCAGGGTCAACAACTGTGGGAGCGGTGGAATTGTAGTCGCTAGTGGAGATATGGGGAGAGGCGGGAGCGGCCAAATCGGTCTGCGGGCCCTCAGAATCACTGACGGTGGATTGATAGGACTGCGAGGAGGGCATCCGGCCTCTTTGATTTGGGACCAAAAGTTCGAAGCCGGGAGATGCGAGTGGGGTGGTGACAAGAGGAATGTTGTTGTGAACCCAAAATGAGAAAGATGCCAGAGTATTCAATCTGTGAGCCCTAGAATCGTACTCGAGAAAGCTGCAAGTATTCCGCCAACCTCCACCCTTGTCTTCCATTGCTTTTGGGGGTTTCCATCTCCAGCTCCACTCGTAAGTGATGGCGGGATTGCCATTAGTCTGGAAGTCGCCGATAAATTGTACATTTGAATTTTTATGGAGATTAGGGTCGGCGTGGAATTCACGTGTGATTAAGGTATCCAATTCTTTGGTGTTGTGCGCATAGGCAAAAGTCAGACCGGAGATGTTGGTATCGGCGGCAGGGGTAGCAGTAGAGGGAGTGGAGGGCGGAAGGCCGGGAGTCTGGCGAGTGGCAAAGGTAAAACGAAGGTCAAGTTCATCCTCGAGGTCCAGCCTGGGGATGAAGGAAAGGGAGGCGGACTCTGGATCCTGGGCGAGTAATCGGTCAGCAGGCGGGCGCGGATGGTTCCTAGGCGCAGACTCACCTGAATATACGAAACCGGCCTGTAGTCTTGAGAGTCCGGTTTGGCGAGAATGCGCGAGGCAGGATAGGAGTTAGGAGTGGCGGTCAAAAGGACCTTTCTACGGGCGTTGGTCACCGTGATGGATTGGATGGAGACTAGATGTCGAGGGTCAGCGGAGGGAGGCTTGGACCTGTGTTCCAGGGCGGGCGACACATACAGCGCGATTGATCCTTGAGGTATAAAACGGAGCCATCCTCGAGTCTGCTTCCTATATTGCCCATTGTTGAAAAGGAAGGCCTGACGTTCAGGCCAAGGGGTTGCGGGGCGCCAGGGTGGGCGGAGGGAGGGGAGTTGGACCAGGAGGGGCGAGAAAAAGGGCGCAATGACCGAGGCGGAGGAGGAAGAGAACGTTAGATTGATGGTGGAGGGAGAGGCGGAGGAGGAGATGAGAGCAAGTCAGGAGAGTGAAAGAGAAAATAGCTAACAATGTACAGTGGAATATTACAAAGTGCTGGTGCTGGGGGTTATTGTGGTAGCGGGTGTAGTGCAAGTTGTGTAGTTGGCGGAGGAGGATGTTGGTTGGTGACAAAGAGCCAACGAGGATGTGGCAGGAGGCAAGCACCCGCCTCCAGATGGAGAAGAGTCGGAGGAAGGAGCCCCCAGCAGCCCAAGAAGCCCAAGAAGCCCAAGAAGCCTTTAGGCCGCCTAATAATTTGTTACTCTAGGCAGGCAGATTGGTTGGTGGGCTACCTAGTAGGATTGGGTTGGTTAGGGCAAGTTTTCCGAGATTGGTTGGAGGTGCTGGTGGAGGGATTCAAGAAGGAGCCACTGACAATTGGCGCTTTCCCAAGTCTGGTGGTCACAACAGAAGAAAGAAGCAAGGCAGACAGGCACCGTGGCTCTTTTTGGCCGCCTTGGGAGATTCATGTGCTTGTTACGAGAATCTCAAGATTGGGTACTGAGAGACTGGTTGAAAATAAACCTATGATCCTTGAAAGGCAGGGCAGAATTTCAACATGTTTGCCTGTTGCAAGGCTGGGTTATGAAGCCTACCTGCATAGACTGCCACGCTACGAGCACGAGTACGCGATTGCCTCTACAGTAGTAGTTTGTTCGCTCCTTCCTCTACCATCATATCGTCCCTCTGCCAAGCCCCTCCATTTGTCAGCTTTACTATCCTTACAACAAATCTCATTCACAGGAAGCCACCAAGTATATCATATCTTGGCTCAAAAACATGTGGGTTGCGCAATCAGACCACGGAAAACGCTGATATACATCTGCCTACCCATTCCTAACAAGAATGCATGGATGCCTGAATGTGGTCGATCAACCCTCTTCTTGACTTCAGGCTTGCCGTTTGCATCCTTACAAAGACTCACCCCTGACTCTTCGGACAAAAGCAATGATATGATGCATTGCATAATTACATAGATAAGTATTTGCTCGGGCATGGGTATCAATTTTCTTCTGGGATATTCATCACTTCGTAAAGCCTTGGCCTCTGTCAATGCTGTATCGCCCTGCTTCTTGTTCCCGACCCGTCTCAAAAGTTCGCCATCTCCAACCACGTGCCAATGAATCCCAGTCGTCCAAGTTCAGTGCTGCTTTCCCAGATATGTGAAGGGTCGCCGTCCTTGCTTGCAGGTGGCAAGACATCGTCCTCTGCCACCATCTTGGCGCGGAATTCCTGCAGGTCAAGCCTCCCGTACCCTCCTCTCTTCTGACACTCTTCTTCGACCGCATCCATCAAGGTCCATTGCGTAAACAGCTCTCTGGCCGCCTCTGGATCACCATCAAATGGTCCTAGCGGTTTCGCCAGAGGTGCTGTAGAGTTGCTCCCGGTACCATTGTTGGATTCGACTATGGCATCATCGCCTTCATTGGGTCGATGTTGCGGCAGAGTGGGATCCTGGTAGAACGCAACGGATTCTGCCTTGTCTCCCAGCAACGGGTTCTGGTTTTGCGAATCATCCTTCCCACTTGTCCTCTGACCTCCAAACATCAGTTCAATATGATCATCCATGTCCGCCGCGTCCACAAGGGGCGCGACGGCATCGCTATTGGAATCTTGCGCCGCCCCCTCTGGAGCATTTGTTTCATCAATCTCCTCAATCTCCACAGCCGTCACGTATTCGACCTCGACCTGGCTGCTGGATCCAGTCAATGCTTCTTCTGTCAGTTGCTTGTCTGCTCCCATAGAAGTCTCCTCTTTCTCCGCATCGGTCTGTTCCAGGGCTTGTCGGTATTTTTCCATCTCCGCACGATGTCGATGTCGTTCCTCTCGAGTTCGGCAGGCCATCATCCATTCATCCTCTTTTGATTTGAATAGGTAATCCAGCAATTCATTGAAACCTTGCTGAACCGCTTGGTAAAGGATGTCTTTTCCAAGATCTGCTTCAGCCTGGCCCAACTCAAGTCCACCCCAGCGTTCGTTGACAGGCACGCTACGCGATGAGGCGTTCGATCGCGTCTCGTAGTCTGTATCTATCGCACTGTCGTCGAAGCGCACTTTGGAAGACGACCGCGACTGCATAGATCTTCGTCTTGGACTGCCTTTGGCGGGTAGGCTGGGCTTTGGAGACGACGGACCACCCACCTCGTCATCAGAGCTGTCAGGCTCAGCATATCCAGCAGGCTTGGTCATGCCTTCTTCCTCATCGAGATAGAATGCCCTCCTCTCCCATCTTTCTACCAATGCATGCTCACGGGTTGCTGCATCCTCCGCGTCAAATTCTGCGTCAAGCCGTCGAGCCTGTGCATAGAGCACCCTCGAACGGTCTACCGAGTCCGTGATATCTTCCAATGCAACTTGCTGCCCAAGGGCATGGATGACGTCTTCGGGCTCTGGTAGTTCCGCAGGAGGCCAGCCATACATCTGCGTGGGTTGGACCGGCTCATTCGCCTCCGACTCACTCCCCGAGTCTCGCTCCTCGAAACCTGCTTGCATCTGACTGGTGCTGGGAGCGTGAAACAGCGGCTCGTCTTCGGGGTCTGATGCACGATATGAGCGGAGGGATGAATTTCTCGTCCGGTCTCTCAACGCAGCATTTCCAATCGCTCTTTCTCGGTTACCGTGCATTTCTGAGTCGGGTAACAAGACTCCACTGGCGGCCCCGTCCGAGATGACGAGATCACCGTTTGGACGACGTTGCTTCCCTTGTCCGCCCCTCGACTCATGCCCAGACAACATACCGCCTCCAAAAACGGCGCTGATAGGCTGACTCCCTTGCACCACCTCCTGGATTTCTTCTTCCACATAGCCAAAGTCTTCTTGGTTATTGACCATCTCGCGGCTGAGCTCCTTGGTCAACGCATAGTACGCTCTAAACATGCGCAGGAAATCCTTGCGATCGACATAGCCATCGGCATCCAAGTCATAGCCATTGAAGATGCGTTCCAATCTGGCTAAGCGTGTCCTGTCTTGGAGGAGGTCAAACCCACGAATAAACTCTTCAAAGCCAATGAGGCCATCCCCGTTGGAGTCGTAAAAAGCAAATATCCGATCGTAGATCAGATTCGCAGGGGATGGTCGGTCCATGGTGGTTGGAATGAAATAGGCGTCAAATGCTTTGCGGTCAATGGCCAGGCAGATTTTGGTGGGATCTTCGGCCCAGTATGTGCCGGCAAGACATTTGAACTGGTCGTAGAGGGCAGCCAGCTCCATACGATCCATGCCGGTCTCTTCTAGCAACGGTTTCGATACTTGGTCCGATAGGGTTCCCATGAAGCGATTCGGCTTCCCCGGATACCATGGTTTGGCGACTTGCTTAATGTGCCCTCTGGATGGTGCGGGAATTCGGATCTTGTAGAAAACGTGACTCTTAATGTGGGGGCTACCAGCCTCACAGCTCTCGCAGAGGTCAAAGTCGAAGCAGTTGGCGCAGTGATAGCGAATGCCCTGGATCGGCTGCACTCCACAATTGTTACACTCAACTCCACGATGTATGTAGCCTTGTCTTCGGGCCTGATCGGCGGCGATGTGATAGAGGAGGTCTAGCATGTTCTGACCCCCACCCGGCTCGTCATCGTCCTCATGCAATGACGGCATCTCACTGTCGGCATCACCATCGTCATCGTCTCGACGACGATCGGCCAAGGCGTGAAGTGCCTCTCGGGGATCCAACTCATCGGCGCCACCATCGGCTTGGGCTGTTTGAACGACCGGGGCCCAGGTCGCATCGAAAAGGACGTGTCCATGGTCGTGGGCCCTGACAGCCTGGAAGACCACTTCTTCAATCACGCCTGCTAGAACCATAGCCCTAGCAAGGTCGTGCACATCGTCCCCAATGATGAAACCTTCTGGATATCTGACGTCCAAGAACCTCTGAACAAACATCCCATGGATATGCAGTCGGAGGCTTTCTCTTAGTCGTGGCGTCCAGGCATCAGGGGCCTGTTGTATCAACAAGTCATAGATGGACTGCAAGTTATTGGGCCTCAGTCGTAGATCGGCGTTCTGCAAATTCTGCTCAATGATTGGGCTGAAGAAGGTATTGACATAGTCTCCAAAGCCAGGTTCATTCTCGTTGCGCATGTCCAACTCCTCCAGCGCGGCTTGAAGAGGGTTATAATCTGCAGGGAAGTTTCGACCAAAGCCTGGTCGCCAACGTCCACGAGCTCTGGGCCTTCGGACGGCATTGCTGCGGTGGAGGCTTCTGGATGCGGAGGTTGTCGAGTGGGACTTGGTGGAGGCATAATGGACGACGGTATAGTAGGAGAGGGTCAGGGTCACTGCGCCAGCGAGAGCGAACAGCAGTGGTCGTCGGTAGGACTGCTCAGCCATGACAGCCACATGTTGCGCAGGAGGATGCGACTTGTAGGCTGTAGATGGTGTATATGTGTGAGGGTTTGAGTAGATGTTTCTGTCGACCTGTCAGATTTATGATCAAGACGCAAGACATGTCAAGTCAGGTGTGTTGCAATTGATGAATAAATTGAATGCGTCGTTGAAGTGAGATGGAAATTGATGGAGTGTCTCCAACTTCCGGCAAATCTTCGGCCAGAATTTCCACAGGCAACAGACTAAAAGTACCACATGTCGATGTTATTTTATTTTATACAGATGTAAGACCCTTTCTTCATTGTGATACATGTCCTACATATCCCGGAACACACAGCTGTATCACCCTTTATTTACTCAATCGTCTCTCCCGGATGAAAAGACTGGAAATAGTCGCACCAAGGGCAATCGCCAACATGAATCCATAGCCACAAGTTACGGCATCCCCATACGCCAGCCTGACAATTTTCTGGACACTTGGTTGCAGCTTCTTGAGATAATCAAGACTTCGTCTCACCCCTCGTTCAATCTGCGCTGCATCCTTGCCACTTCCCAGCTCTCGCGCCAATGTATCCCTCAGCCTCTGCTGGATGACGGTTGATGATAGCGAGATGCCGATGACAGATCCAAGGGAGCGGAAGAGATATGAACAGGCAGTCGCCACAGCTTGATCGTCCGGGCTGGCGTTGGAAATGATGGCAATAAGGCTCGATGTCACACCGATTCCGTTGCCAAAGCCGCAACACATGGTCCCAATGGTGATGGCAAGCGTGCTATTCTGGATCAAGCCGGAGAAGAGAAAGACCAGTAACATGCCCACTGCCAGGAGTGTGTAGGCTGAGACGGTAAGCCAATAGTACTTCCCGGTCTTGCGCATCCATATCCCACCGAAAAGAGACCCTGAGACTCCGCAGGTGATAGCAGGGAGTAGTCGGACCGCCGCCCCGGTCGCGCTGTAGCCATCGACTGCTTGGTAGAACAATGGGAGGTAATACAAAACAGCAAGCCAGCCGCCAAAGCTAAAGAAGTTGCACAAATAACAGGGAAATAGCGTTCGGTGGAAAATGATGTGGCCTGGTGCAAATGGCTCGGCGGCCACATGTCGCTCCACAACAATGAAAAGGAAAAAAAGGAAGATGGATATGATAAGTGGGCCATAACTGATGGCATGGCTCCATGAGGTATTACTACCTCGATCCATACCGAAAATCAGGGTGAAGACAGCCGCCACTAGAACAAGAGCGCCGACAAAATCAACCCGACGGAGTTTCTGCCGCCAGTGATCGGTATCAGCTTGGGGCAGCTGCAAAACCAGACCAACAGCAAGGAATGCGATCGCACAGAGAGGTGCTTGCGCCAAAAAGGACCATCGCCAGCCGATTGTGTCTGCTAGAAGCCCACCAAGAGGCGCTCCGGAGCCCGCACCTGCGGCATAGATGATATTGATAAGACCCTGCCAGACACCTCGATCCTTAAGAGGGATGATGTCGCTGAACATGATGCTGACCACTGTTGTCATTCCTCCTCCACCTATCCCCTGAAAAACACGAGCAGCAATGAGCTGGTTGATGCTCTGTGAGAGTCCGCAGAAGAGACAGCCGAGGCCGAAGATTGCGTAGGCATAGAGAAGACAGGCTTTCCTTCCAAAGATGTCACTGAGCTTGCCGTAGAGCGGCTGGAACGAGGTCAGGGTAAGGAAATAGGATGTCGCAATCCAACTCGTGAGGTTTAGAGCGTCTAATTCGGACCCAATTCGTCCATAGCTAGACACGATAATGGTCTGGTCGGCCGCCGAGAGGAAAACGCCTATCGATACAGCTGGTACGATGTACTTGAGTTGCTTCTGGACTTCAGCATTGCCCTGGTATTGTGCAGCCCGGTTGGAGTCAACGGACTGAGTGCGTGTAAGGTCATTGCTCTCAACATCTCTCGCTTCTTCCGGTGTGGCGGTGATGTTACCTTGGACGCTCGAGGAATCTGGGGATGGCCGACTGTTTGACCCTAGCAAAGGTGCTGTTTCCGATGATGCATCATCGACCGTCATTATGAGGAAAGCAGCAGTATCATGTGTCTTAATTGAAGGAGAACAGATAGGCAGTTTTTGAGTCCCAGAGCAGGGTGTCAAGTTGGTGTGATCATTGAGTGGTAAACAGAGAACTGAAGTGAGTCACGACGTTGGTTTGACAAAGAGTTGTAGTCATTCCCACCAACAGTCAACGGATCACGTGACGTACATACACACGAGATCGACGTCAGCTTATCTTACGGCAGGAAGCAAGTTGAATGACGATACAGATTCAGTGACAGGATGACAGATGACATCAATGCAATAGGACCTGTCAGCGTCCATCACAACATCGTCATTTGCAAAAGGCAGTCATTTTTGAGGATGATGCCAAAGGATAGTATTGATCGGGGCCTGTCTTGCGCAGTCATCCTACATACATTGTAATGGATGTTACATGGCTGACATTCTGTGCAAAACCTGCCCTTTGTCGCGTCCATGGTCTTGCTGAATACCTTAGGATTTCCACTTCCGACCATACTTGGTGATCACTAGATCTAACATGAATGCTGTCTCCCAAGGCTATGGTGAATGTGGGGTACTCTTGATAACCCCCTGATTGTGGTCTTTGGCTTGAGGATAGATACACTCCATATGTCACACCTTTGTCTCACCATTTGTCGCAGGGGGAGGGAATTCGATTGGTTCACCAGGCGAGTCGGGTAACCTTGCAGTCAGCACCTCGACTCCAGTTTCGGTGACGAGTAATGTATGCTCAAATTGGGCTGAACGACGGCCGTCTGCTGTCACCGCGGTCCAATCATCGGGCCACGTCTCGTCTCGATATGTGCCTAGACAGATCATGGGTTCGATTGTGAAAGTCATGCCGGCTTTGCATCTCCCCACGGCTTTGTTCTTGGCATAGTGAGGGACGTTCGGGGCACAGTGGAATAGCGAATTGACGCCATGGCCACAGTATGTTTTGACAACCCCGAGATTTTGTGTTTTTGCGTGTTTCTCAATTATGTCGCCAAAGTCTCCAATCTTAACTCCTGGTTTCACATGATCGATAGATTTCTGCAGGCATTGACGGGTGGTCTCGATCAAGCGAACGTTGTCCGGATCTGCTCGGGCCTTGTCACCAATGTAGTACGTTTCATTGAGGTCGCCATGGTACCCCTCGTGGTAGAGTGACACATCGATGTTGAGAATGTCACCATCTTGCAGAACCCTCTGATCGGGAATGCCATGGCAGATGACTTCATTCACCGAGGTACACACGGACTTGGGGAAATGGTTATAGTTCAACGGTGAAGGGTAAGCCTAGTGCTCTCGTCAGCGAATGCCACAATGGAAAAAGCAAGCCTACGCACTTTTCTCTCGATACACGCATTGTGGACGATCTCATCAATATAGTCGGTGGTGACACCGGGTTTGGCGGCAGCTGCGGCGATATCGAGGACTTCGCGTGATAACCGACAGACTTTGCGCATACCCGCGATGCCTTTCTCGTCGAGAATTTGGACATTGTTCTTTCTCACGTAGGGGTATCTAGGGATGCCGTCTTGCGACCATTCAGGGTGGGGTATTGACTTGGGCACTTCGCGTTTGAGTGAAAGAGGATATACAGGACGGAGGGGGCCGGTAAATCGGTAGGTGGGAAACGGGTTGTAGTGGCCGCTCTCTGGATCAACTTTAGAAATGACGCTCGGAGGGAAGAAATTGCGAAGAGGGTTCGTACTTTTGTGGAGGGTTTTGTGCTCAGCCTAAATTGACATTCGTCAGCGTGGTCCTCTCAGGATTGGAAGACCAGTCTTGGTCTTACAAAGAACTCAGGGTCAGCCTACCCAACTTCGTTTGAAGCAATCCTGCGAACAGAAGAAACTCTCGACTCCCATTTCTTTACACTTGGGGCATTGCAAGGTCGAGGCATCGTTCTCACAATTGAGGCCGGGGCATTTCCGGGGTTGTGCCGCCTCTTGATCCATTGTCGGAATCTCGAAGAGGACCACGAGGGATTTGGACTACGGCGAGAGGGAAGGTTTTCGCTACGTGGGTGTTTCGAAGCAGGAGCTGTTGTGGCGCGATGGTGCGAGGCGTTGCGGTAGATGAATGAGCCTGGACAGGCGTGTAACACAAAATAATTGCCAGAGGCAATTATAAAGCAGGAAGACCTGTCAAAGTATAGAGACCTCTGTAGTCGGTAGAAAGATCTGCAAGAGAATATACAGTAACGAAGGAATAGGAACTGCACGGTCTCAAAGACTGGCGGGGAAACAAATTGGGTCCGTCTTTGCGGCTTTCTGCGTGAGTCGGTCGATAAATTAAAGTGGGCAGACATCGAAAACTAGGCGACAATCTTTGCATGACTAAGCTGTTCGCAAGGCTGAGTGGACTGGGGGATGGAGGAAGGTGCACAACACAAGGCTGAACTTGAACTGTTCTCACCCCTGATCATCTACACAATCTCCGCAGCAAGTCAAGATATGGATATACATGTAGATGTGTGAGTTTTTATTTGCCGTCAGTATTTACAGGATGCCTCCACCCCAGGATCAATTGTCTAGAGGCCACAGCCGAGGCTGCTCCACCTCTGATCAACGTTGCATAGATGGACCGTATTAGAAGCTTGGTGCCTGTTGCTCGAGCTATCATTGTATATCAATACTGAAGGCAACACCAGAGACTTGGTCCCTTCAATTCCAAACACCGTGCTGCATAGCATCTTGAAGAATGGCCCAGCAAAATTGTCACATCGAGTAAAATAGGGTAATCATGGTCACCTCCATGGCTTCCTACCCGGCTCAGGCTTGGCTAAAATGCCACTGGAATACAGCGATAGCCAGATGGCAATCAGTGGCTGTTATAGAGGGTTTTGCAGAACTGGATACCTCTGCAGAAACGCTTCGATCCTTGTCCGGGAGAGGTCAGCACAGTGTGGAAACCCCAAGCGTTTGGTCCTGCGAAGTCTGATGGGGCCGAGACTCGTATTTGAAGAGGTGTATTGACGTCCAAGATGAAGGGGGTAAATTGCATCTTTTATCAGTGGTGGCGCTGGCTCCGTCAAGCGGGTTCGATTTTGCCACCTAGAACGGTCAGTGTCAACTGGATAGAAGGGTTCGCACACATACGCCTTCCCTGTAGACGAGCAGTTGTCATTGAAATAAGTTGTGCGTGTGTCATTGAGTTGCGAGAGACCATCAACCTCCTGCCCCTGGTGTGGATGATATAGGTAGGGTGGCTTTGTACGCTGAGTGGATTGAATTACAAGGATAAATCCCCATAGTCGGACACTCATGTCGTCGCTGTCTCGGGCTTTTCTCCCTGTTTCCATTCAAATTCTGTTGCTTGGGTTAATTGCTAGAGTTCAGCGCAGTTGAATAGGTGCCACGTACTTTGACGACACATAGGACATAGACCCTTTGAGGATTCTTGATGGATCCAAGTGAGAAGGCAGTGCTATACACATTGGTCAGCTGGATGTTTCAAGACTCGACGGCAGGCAACATACCATGTGAAAAGAATGACCGCATTTTCCCATTAGAAGAGTACAGTCATCTCCAGGGAATTTGCAAGTCGGACAAGTCCCATCAAACTGGACGCGACAGATTCCACAGACTTCATCCTCGGGCATGTCCCAACGCCAAGTGGCCACAGCGTGCCACTCCTTGATTCTGACTTTCATCGCAGGAGGATCGTTGCTGATTGACGGGCTCGGATGGTTGAAAAAGGATTTTAGCAGGAGACAACCCTATACGGGCTCGACGTTTTGATGAATTTGAGGACGATCAGGAGTTGTCGATCATAAGTGTCAATGTGGATGGTTGAAGGGTTGGTTGACGCGGTTGACACGCCTCCACGCCCATCATGGGAATGACGCGCAGGTCACCGATGATCTGCCGTAGAAACCCCACTACGTCAGAGCAACCAAAATGTTCGAGTTGCAAGTCCAAGCAAAGCACGCAAAGTTGCAAAAGCTCTAAGCTCCATCCAGGTTGAAGATAGCAGAACAGCCGATCACTCACTCCCTTTTACTTTTCCTCCACTCCGAACATGTGCATGCTGCACGCTTAGCTTCTGTTCCATGTATTAGCACATCCAACAGCATGGGAACTGCTGCAATCTTTCTCTAATACTTTTCACAGTGTACATCACGGCCTATCGCCCATTCTCGGATCGTATCGATCACCATGGCAGCAACAGCCCTGCGCTTCGGCCCAGGGATTCGTCTGTTGAGTCACCAATTGCCTAGGCCCTTCTCCTTTCAGCGTTTTGCATTCTCATCCTACGTCGTAACACCCAAAGAACTCAAAGAGGCTCTCGATAAGAACGCACCTACGACCATCTCCACCGCACCCAGGACGATACCCTTATCTGCCGCATGGTTCATGCCTAACGATCCGGAGAAGAGAACAGGCCTCGAGTCTTTTAAGAAGCAAAGAATCCCTACCTCCCGATTCTTCGATATTGACGCCATCAAAGATCCAGAGTCAGAATATCCACACATGCTACCTACCTGCGATGCCTTTGCAGATGCCATGTCACACCTAGGCATCCGGAGAGACGATGAAGTGGTTGTCTACGATACAGCGGAACTGGGCATCTTTTCAGCACCTAGGGTTGCTTGGACACTCCGGGTCTACGGCCATCCTAAGGTGCACCTTCTCAATAACTTCCGTATCTGGGTGAACGAGGGCTATCCAGTCGAAAGCGGTCCACCTGATGTACCCAACCTGTCCAAATACCCCGTCCCAAGCTACAATACAGACATGGTGGTGAAATTTGCCGAAATGAAGACCATTGGTTATGACCATGGGAAAGAAGGCGCCGAAGACATCCAGATTCTCGACGCTCGCTCAAAAGGACGATGGGATGGCGTTGACCCAGAACCTCGACCTGGCTTGAGCTCAGGACATATGCCTGGCTCGACCAGCTTGCCGTTCCAGGAATTGCTCGATCCTGAGACCAAAGCATTTCTGCCTCCGGAGCAGCTGAGACAAGTTTTCGAAGCAAAGGGTCTCGATCCCAAGAAGCCTTTCATCACATCCTGTGGCACTGGGGTGACAGCCGCTATCATCGAGACTGCTTTGAAAGAAGCACAGTTCGGATCCGATGAGGATCGCCGGCTTTATGACGGAAGCTGGACGTAAGTACCACTTGTGACTATCCCAGTGGGAATTTTGCTGACAAATTTTAGCGAATGGGCCTCTCGAGTCTCTCCCACCAGCGGACTTATCAAGAAAAGTAAATAAAGGACAGCCGTCGAAGCAATCATCTGGAAGCAATATGACGGCCAAGTATGGCCATCCCAGCTACCTATCGCCAGGAATCCCTTATGCGGCTTTGCACATACCAAGGTCGCGTACTTGGTCTTGTGATCCCTCCTTCAGGAGGTTTCACTCGGACTCGCGGCCATCATCGTCGGCCATCAAAGTTACAGTGCCTTGTAGTGGAGATGTCTTTGATGTCATCTTTTCACGTCGGGGGACACGCGAGGCCCCTGCACAAACACCTGTGTTCAGGTCCAACGGATCTATCTTGCCGGTTCTCATTGGCGTTTCATTCGACTCTTGATCTTAGCGCCGGCGTATGGCAACGCAGTTATGTCATGGAATGTTAGAATGCCAACCCAAATTTTGCGATGGGGGTAAATTGATTCTTCCTATATACGTCACCTGAATCGCCCTTCGTATCTGAGAGTTGCTGTCATAATGACCCTGCAATATAACAAGCCACGCCCCGATAGATATAGTCCATGAATGACAAAAGTTCGCCCCTTATTTTCTTGTCCAGTCACGTGCCGACGCGTCGAATGAATCCCATATTGCCTGAACCACGCTAAATCACGTGCGCGGCGGGTTGAATAATTTAGTAGCAGGTCCAGCTTGACGTCTGGTTCAAGAAATCATGCAGTGACAACTTGATCGGGTACAATCTTCATGTCACGGCTGATGTCCTGGTGACTAGGGCCTGGTCAAATAGTGTCATGACACAAGCGGCGAAGGATGCCGCAAAATACTTGAAGACTACGCTTCGACTTCCGAGCTCGAAATTTCCTCCACGCCCACCTCCAGCAGATCTCGCCCGCTACCTTCCTCGATGCGCTGACGCTCTTTACGCCTGGCAGAAGGAGAATCGCCCTGCCTCAAACAACTTCATCTTGCACGATGGACCTCCATACGCCAATGGTGACCTTCATGTTGGACATGCGCTAAACAAGATCATCAAGGACATCATATGCAGGTCCAAACTCGCAGATGGCAAACGGGTCAACTACGTACCTGGCTGGGATTGCCATGGACTTCCGATCGAGATGAAAGTTTTGGAACAGCAGAATCTGCACAGTGGACAAGATGTTGACCCTGTGGCGGTCCGAAAGATGGCCCGGAAATTCGTCTTCAAAACGGTGGAGAAACAAATGGCGGGCTTTCGTTCTTGGGCAGTCATGGGCGACTGGAATACTCATTGGAAGACGATGGACCAAGACTTTGAGTTGCGACAACTGTCTGTGTTCAAAGCCATGGCAGACCATGGATTGATCTATCGTAGACACAAGCCTGTCTATTGGTCTCCATCCTCACGAACAGCTCTTGCAGAAGCTGAACTCGAGTATAAAGATGACCATGTCTCAACCGCTGCACTGGTCAAGTATCCGCTAGACCATCCTTTCTCGTCAATTCAAAGTCCAGTTCATCTTCTCATTTGGACTACAACCCCGTGGACATTGCCTGCCAATCAAGCAGTCGCAATCAACTCGGCTCTGAACTACGTTGTTGTGAAATCGGACACCCACGGCCATCTCATTGTGGCCGACACGAGGATTGAATACCTCGAGTCTGCCATTGGAGAAAAGGTCGACATCGTCCAAGAAAATATTCCAGCAGAAGATTTACTACGTTCCACATATTCCGGGCTTGCCCAATTTGGTGTGGGCGCTTCGAAACGGCCAGTTGTCCACGCAGATTTTGTATCCGCAGCAAGTGGTACAGGTCTAGTCCATTGCGCGCCAGGTCACGGAATGGAGGATTATGAAGCACTTCAACCGCTAATCAAATCGTCCGTGGTCTCGGTCAAAGCACCTATTGACGATCTAGGGCAGTTTGATGACACAGCTTGTCCTGATCGACCAGAATTATTGTCTGGGCAATCGATATTCGGAGAAGGCAACAAGGCCGTCCTGAATATGCTCACAGCCAAAGACCTCCTTGTACACCAACACGACTACCAACATAAATATCCCATCGATTGGCGAACCAAGAAACCTGTCATCATTCGTGCAACTGCACAATGGTTCGCCGACATCTCGAACATCAAAAAGGACACTTTGAATGCGTTAGATGCCGTTGCATTCACCCCGGATACTGGCAAGACCCGGCTACGCAGCTTTGTGGAAAACCGGTCTGAATGGTGTATTTCACGTCAACGAGCTTGGGGAGTTCCCATACCGGCAATATACCACAAAGCGACTGGACAAGCAGTGGTCAGTTCTCAGAGTATTGAGCACGTCATTAGTACCATCCAGGATCGCGGGATTGATGCATGGTGGTCTGATCCACCACATGATCCTCGATGGATCGCCCCTGGCTTGGATCCCGCGGATTATATCCGAGGCACCGACACCATGGACGTGTGGTTTGATAGCGGAACAAGCTGGTCATCAGTGCTTGGATTGAATGCGGTACAGACTGGACCGCTTTCTGATATCGTTGTCGAAGGAACAGACCAGCATCGCGGATGGTTTCAGTCTAGTCTGTTGACAAATGTGGCATACCAAAAATCACTTGACGCTACTGCTATTGCGCATGCTCCTTTCAAATCGGTGGCCACGCACGGCTTTACGTTAGACGCGCAAGGCAAGAAGATGAGCAAATCCTTAGGAAATGTCATTGCGCCAGCCGAGATTATTGCTGGCCTTGACAGTCCCCCAAAAGTAATATCCAAAGATACAAAGAAGAAGCCACGTGAGGTTCATGCTCTAGGACCGGATGCACTTCGGCTCTGGGTGGCCAGTAGCGACTGGACCAAAGACGTGGTGATCAGTCAGACCGTGGTCAAAGCTGTTCACGCTGCTTTGGACAAGTATCGAGTGACGATGAAACTGTTGCTGGGTCTGTTGGGAGATTTCCAAATTGAGCAAGCGGTGTCGTACGATGAGATGCCCTTGCTTGATCAAGTGGCTCTCCTTCAATTGCATCGTGTTAGCCAGACGGTGAAAACGGCATACCAAGACTTAGAGTTTCACAAAGCAATCATCGCGATCAACAAATGGGTCGCTACTGATCTATCTGGCTTTTATTTTGAGGCTATCAAAGATATCCTATACTGCGACTCACCTTCGAGTTCTCGACGCCGGAGTGCTCAGACAGCTCTTCATCAGATATTCACCCAGTTTCAACACATGCTAGGTGCGACAACACCTCTACTTATTGAAGAGACCTGGGAACATACTCCTGAAGGATACAAAACGGACCTGGAGCATCCTCTGAAACGGGTGTGGGCGCCTGTGCCGGCGGAATGGAACAATTCAAGTCTTGATGTGATCGTCCCCAAGATCATAACCATTAATTCGGCAGTCAAGTCTGCACAGGAAAAGGCACGATCCGAGAAACTCATGGGACAGTCACTAGGGTCTGACGTTGCACTCTACCTTTCTCCAGATGAGACCTTGGCCAGTATCCCGACTGAGACGTGGCAAGAGATCTTTGTCGTGTCTGGAGTGGACGTCCACTTCCACCAAGATTTCACTGAGAAAGCTCAACACCATCTCCAACACCACAACCCGGTTTGGGCACATTCGAGTGTTATTGAGAACACCGACGGCAACGGTGCTATGGGAATGGCTATTGTGACATATCCCACTGGGGCTAAATGCGCTCGGTGCTGGAAATATGTGGTGGAAAAGACAGAAAAAGCTTCGGAACAATCAGGATCTGCCGATGTCGTCAATGAAACTGAGTTGCCACTGTGTCAGCGATGTACGGATGCAGTGACAGAATATGAGAAGTGAATATTGGATATATATATATATATATATATATTCAGGTGTTCGGCAAGCTAGACAGCCCGGTGTACAAAAGATCATGTATAGATACAGTATTGTAGATAAATACCATGTACCAATAAAAGCAACACCACTATGAACTAAGAAGGCGATGAACAATCATTCGGGAGCTAGTACCTAAGTTATGTGTATTTATCAACAAACACATCACAACTCCACCATTGGGATAAGGAGACCAAATGAGTCATAGGGTCAGCTCGAATGACGCCATCTCACAGGTTGATGACTTTCGAGAGTCTGACGCCCTTGTGTAGACGTGCGGGGTTTTGTATCTACAGATTATGGGACGCCGATAGCATCATTCGACGTGGAGAATAAAAATATACACCGTTGGCCGAGTAAAATCAATCTTGTTGTGCTCTTAAACCTACCTGTATATGCTATCGACATTTACACCACGTGTGAGTGCCAGCTCTAGATCATTATTCCTCCAACACCACCATCATCATCGAATTCCCATCACTACTACTATTAGTACGATTACTACAACCCGCCACTTCACCCTCAATCAAAGACACTTCCAACCACCCAATTCCAATTCCAATTCCAATTCCAAGTTCAAATCCATCACTATGCCATTAATCCCATCCACCACCGCACTGGGCGGAAAACCACGAGTCATACTGGGCCTCATGACATTCGGACCACCAGGCAGCGAAAGCAAAGGCGGACGCATCACGGATCTGGACACGTACAACTCTCATCTCGACCACCTCCAATCGCGAGGGTACAATGAAGTCGACACGGCTCGAATGTACATCCAAGGCGACCAAGAAGGCTTTACACGCCAAGCACACTGGAAGGACCGTGGCTTGAAGCTCGCGACCAAATGCTACCCGGTCAACCCGGGCGACCATGCACCGGCCAAACTGCGTGCCACTTTTGAGACGAGTCTCAAGGAATTAGGCACCGATGCAGTGGATATTTTCTACCTGCATGCTCCAGATAGGAGTGTTCCGTTTGAGGAGACGTTGAAGGAAGCGAATGAATTGTTCAAGGAAGGCAAATTTGTCGAGTTGGGTCTGAGTAATTTCGCGGCTTGGGAAGTTGCAGAGGTTTGGAATATTGCTAATGAAAGAGGTTGGGTCAAGCCCACAATCTATCAGGCCATGTATAATGCCATCACCAGGGATATTGAAAAGGAATTGGTGCCGGCCTTGAGGAAATATAAGATTGATTTGGTGGTTTATAATCCGGTGAGTTACCTAATTGACGGCAGCTCCTTTCAGGGTTTCGTGATTTGTGTGAGATGAAAAGAAGAAAAGCTAACGTCGTGTTGTCGATATATACAGCTTGCCGGCGGTGTCTTCAGTGGCAAGTACAAATCCAAGGCTGAGATCCCTGACTCTGGTCGATTTGCTACCACGAATGAAAGACAAGGCAAAGTAAGTTCTCTCTCACACATAACTCCCTCACTCAGACTCTTTGTCACCCCTCTCTGATTGGCATACACAGATGTATCGAGATCGGTACTTCCACGACGAGACCTTTGAGGCCTTACAGCTGATCGAACCCGTGGTGGCTAAACATAACCTGACGCTGATCGAGACAGCTCTTCGCTGGGTGCGCCATCACTCGGTCCTCAAATTGACCGATGGTGGTAATGACGGTATCATTATCGGCGTCAGCAGTTTGAGTCAACTTGAGACTAACTTGACGGATCTGGAAAAGGGCCCTTTGCCTGATGAGGTTGTCGAGGTCTTGGATCAAGCGTGGAATACTCTCTTCAAGGGAAAAAGTCCTAGTTATTGGCGATGATTGGGGGTTAGATCCAGGTATTGATGAACATCAATTGGTTTGAGTTAAACTGATGGTCCAATAAAGAAGTGGGCGTCTAAGCAGATACTCAGATATTTACAAAGAACAGTGGATGCAAAGGCTATGTACTCAAGCCCACCATGGAGGTAGCATATGTAGCCTTGATACAATGGCAAGCTGGGAACAAGGAACAGGCTACTGTCTGCACGTGTGACCAAGCTACTCTATCTCTTGAGATACGCCGAAAAGTGCATGTTTCATTTTTTCAGAGGAAATCGCCCTGTGAAGTCTGCTCTTTATCTCGACCGACTCATCAAGACTTCATGACCCCGCCCTGGCACCCCTGGCACCCCTGGCACTTCTCCCCCGTCGTGCACGACTCCCAAAGCGGAACTTCATGTCATCGCTATCATCTCCCTCACTATCTGCCTCCTTTGCCACCGTCACAGGTAGAGTCTTCTGTCTCTTTGAAGCACTTGAGCTAGCAGTGGAAGGCGCCGTTCTCTTACCCCTGATACTGCCAGATGCAGTGGCTGATCTGCTTGTCTGCGTGTTGGTCTGTGTATGAGACTCATGCAGGGGAACAGTGTCTTCGTCCTCGTGGTCCACCGTCGCAGCACGTCTATCTGCAGCTCGGGTTCGTCGGGGTGAATCAAGGTCGATGTCATGTTCGACTATCGCGGCCGCCTCCTGTTGAAGCCGTGATGTCACAGGGCTGGTGCTTTTCATGCCGGACGAGACTTGGTCTCCCTCTTCAACGTCATCAAGGGTAATGCTTTCTTCTCCTCCAATGGTTCTAGCACTGGAATGCTGGGATTGGTCTTGATTTTGAAGCCGTGCTCTCTGACTTCTGGCTTCTTTTTGTCGCTTCTTCTCCCGCTCCCGCTCTATTTGCTCTTCGGTCTTGTCCCAGTACTTGTCACCGATGCCAAAATCGTTCAATTTGATTGCCACTAAAGGAACAATGACTTTGGTCGCATGCCCGCGCCGCTGTGGGGCTTCTCCTTTGCGCCGAAAGCCTTTGAAATTCTTTCTCCCATTCCATTTGGGATCCCAATTTTCACTCCTCTGGGTTTCGGCAGCAAGTCTGAGGTTTTTGCTTTTGTCGCGTAGTGGGAGGTCCATGGTTAGCACCTCGACGAGATTAGCCGGTCCGTCTTCGTCTGCATCGACTGGTTTGAGGGCGAATTCTTCTTCTCGCTTGGCGGCTTCTTCAGCCTCTTCACGGCGAGCATCTAAGGCTTTGCGGACATCAAGCTCTTTTTCGACTCGGCGTTTTCTCACCGTTGGAGGCGGCGGAAGATCCTCGGTATCGACAGCATTCCCACCATTGGCCTTTTGTTCGGCAAGTTTTCGCTTCTTAAATGCTGTGGCAGCTGGCAGCAAATCATCAATTTCTTCGGCAAACTCGTTCTCGGGGTCATTGCTAGGAGAGCGTGGACGCTTGCGAGAAACTGTTTGTGGTTCATCCTTGATGGCTGTGAGGGGGTCCGCTTCAGAGTCAAAAGCAATTGCATCGTCTTCGTCGTCTTCATACTCGGCGACAGCATCAGGGTCGAAACCATCATCAAAGTCTTTCAGGCGGCTTGCTTGGGTGAGTCTGGAGGGTTGATATGGTCGAGGAGGAGAATCTTGTTCCTTGACATGAGAGTCTTGTGCCGGTGGTGACGGCGAGGCCAAAACCTCTGTGCGAGCTTTGTCCACTTCTGGTCTTGAAGGCGTTGGCTGAACGCGGTCTAGTGATTTATTAGAAGAGTCAGAACCATCAACTTTTGTCCCTTTTCTGTTCAGATGTTGATCACTGTGAGTGTTGGAGGAACCAGGTTGCACAAGGGAACTAGCCGCAGAAGGAGGTGGTGGGACTCTCCCATCGGTAGTGCTTTCATATGGAATGGGTTGTCTCAGTGAAGACGGGTCATTGGTTAAAATAGCCCCGAGGAACTCGGACTGATCGATGGCACGTTGGTCCATTTTCAGAGCGGTCTCGTTGATGAGGGCATTGGTCCATTCTTGAACATCGTCCTTGCCTGTCCACCGAACCAAGATGGGAAGGGGGCTTTTTGTGGTGCTAGCCTTTTGACCCGCGGCATTATGAACAAATCGCAACAAGTCATCAGCTAGAGTACTTGTATTATCGACCTTGAAGAGAAGGGCTTTCCCATGTCCGGTAGTGACGACCGGTAACAAATTGTCAAATTGGGTCTGGTCCCCGAAAATAAAAGTATATCCCTGGAAAATGTTGATTCGGTTTGGATTAGGCTGGTACGCTTCGACAGGACTGATTGTAGGCTCACGGCCTGGTGGAGGAAGATGAGCTTTAGGGTCGGGCCATGCCGTATCGAAATCGAGTTCCAAAGGGGAGAGGTTTTCTTCCTGACTGAGAGTGGTGGGGGTGGCAGCATAGTCAAGGGCGTCGAGGTAGGATTCGGACACAAGGTATTTGCCGGCAATGAGAGCTTGCAAGCCTTTGGCCGTGTTTCTCTTGCTCGCAACCACATGTGTAGTCTGGTCTATGATGAAATCACCCGTAGCTTTGATGTCGAGAGGCTGAACTCTGGACTGCTTTGTCTTGAGAAGACCTGCCTTGACCTCCTTTTTGAGCAGATTCACAGTCAAGTTGCATGGCTCCCATCTGATAACGATCTCGTGAGGACACGAGCCAGGTCGAACGGAGTTTTCGAGGGATTTGAGCTCTCGTGAAGCATTCTTGATCAGCTCGCCATTGACAGACGTGCCACTCTTGGAGTTTTGGTCCTGAATATGAACGCAGGATCTGACATGGAGACGAGCAGCATCACCGTCGGCCACAGGGTCGACCTGAATGACAAAATGTTTCCTTGAGACGGTCTTGTGATCAATAGCAAAATGTACACCCTCTCTTTTGACTCGGCCGAATAAATACTTTTGGCCGGGCTTCAACCACATTCGTTTGCCTTGGAGGAAGTCTCCATTGGACTCGAGAATCCACATGGTAGACTCATGGCAGAAGGGAGGAGGGAGAAGGAGGGGACGTGGCCGATATAGTTTGGATGATGTTGAGGACAAGTTGATCAACCACTTTTTATGGATACAACCAGGCAGCGCAGGCAAAAAAACGCGATATGGGAAGGAGTGACTTTCTCGACACGCGCTAGGTTGTCATCTGTAGGCTGCAATGCGGGGATCCAGGCGAATTGTGGGTGCCGTGGTGCCTGGGAGCCCTTGGAGACGTCGAGTCAAGGCGAGTTGGCAGGCGGCTGTCGGTCACTCAGGCAAGTCGTATGTATGCCTAAGAGGTCAGAGCCAGAGAGGATACAAGATCAGGACATAGTGTGTTAGGCGTGTCAATGGCCTAGAACCAGGAACCCCACGCGCCAGACTCCTAAAAGTTAGTGTACTTATACTCATTGTTAAATAGGTGCGGAGCATTCCAGATAAGGCAAAGTCACTCCTTGCTGCTCTACTCCAGACCTGTTTTGGTCTTTTGGTGCCTTTCAGAAATAATTAGGCCCCTAAGGCCCTTGGAACGCTCGAGCCCCAGAACCCTTGGGGCCCCTCAGCCCCATCGACGACCAGGTTTATGATTGAACAACAATGGGTGGCCATGACCCTCACGACGTCAGCACAAACACATGTGTACATGCCGCAGGAAGATGTCACTAAGCCGGTAGCGGTTGCTCGTGTTACAAAGTTCCAACGTTCCAACCTGGTCAGCTCCTCATTCTGACCATCAATCCACCTGACCACCGTTCAAGACAATCACTACAACACAACAACACCGTCCGTCCTAGATTGTCAGCTTTGTTGCGACAACACGATACAGAGAATACCATTTGTTCCATCATGTCTGACCCCACTGGCACTTTCGTCAACACCGACAAGGCGCCTGTACTCAGGGCCGATCCAGACACCATCTCTCCACTTGAGCGGCGCAACTCTCTTGAGAAACACCTTCAACATCGACCAGATGCCCAAGACCTCAAGAATCGACACATCCTACTTGATACCAAGACTGCGCCGTAAGTTGACTGACGTATAATGGTGGAATTGGAACTCCCGTCTCACTATTTACTTCTAGTGCCCTTCAGGCCAAGCAACTGGAACTTGAACGCCAGCAGCACAGCGACAGTCTCCGGAAGCACCTGGAAAAACGTGCCGATCGAGACGAATTGGTTGAACGTAAGTGATGGGGTTTTGTACTTGACTGGCCAACACTAACCCGTCATCTAGGCAATATCCTCCCCGAGGGCAACGCTGCGCCAGCCTTGCAAGCCAGCCAAAAGGCTCTAGATCGACACATGAGGGCTGACAGCCTCGAACATAAGATTCAGACCCGGCCAAAGCCAGAGCAGTTGATCAAGGAAGGCATCCTAGAAGAGAGTGAAAACCCAATCAAGGAATAGGTCAAGTTGCAAACCCAATGCAATATGCCAGTGACATGTGCTTCAGTAGCTCCATGAGAGCCCAGCATGTGAGATGTGAGACAAACAATGGTTAGGACAGAGAGTAACAAAATATACTTCTACATGATCAATACCCCTCGATCTGGTCGCTTTCTCTCGGTCCCTCCGAGAAGTTGGTGTCGGGCCTCCATCCCTTGGGTCGTTCTTGACCTCGCACAATCATGCTGTAGACTCCGTTTTCCACCTTCTCGACTGAAGTCCTCGTGACAGACAGCTTCTTGTAGAATTCCTTGGATAGTGGATAAGTTCCACTTGGATCCATGAGTTCTAACGTATTGCGCAAGCTTTGCATGTCTGTCAATATGGACGACTTGGACGAGGACTCTGAGTCTTGGGTGCTTCCTGGCAATTTACCATTGGTAGCCATATATGTGATGGCAAATCGCATCAACTCTCCAGTCATGTCGAATATACCCAGTATATAGTCCTCGTGCGTCAAGATGATACCTTGGGGGAGTTTAGCCTGCGCTGCCTCGGGGGTCAAGAGACATTGGGTTTCGAGGTAGGAATGAAAAAGAACAGCCTCCATGAATTCCTGGATGCCGCCTGTGATGTTGCCCCGATATCGATGTGCATTAATCCCTTGGAGGTCGGGGACAATGCTTTCGAACAGCGTATTTATCGTTGCATACATGGGATCTATCTGTTTGGCAATTGAAACATGGACTGGTCGACCAAGGTCACGAACTCTAGTTCACAACAGTCATGAGTTCGTTTTTCGGTCTTTGTATCTGACGAGTGTGTTCTTGGACTTTTTCCCTTACCTCTGTAATGCAAATATACTAGGTCGTGTGAGCAGAGATCACCGAACGAACGTAAGGGGTGGGTGGGCGAGGTCGAATACTTACATTTTCTTACTTTGTGCCGTTATGTCTCTCGATGCCTTGATGATTTTCTCCCTCCGGTCATGATGCTGGTCAAGTTCTGATCGATAAGACTCAAACAGCGAGATGTATGGAGATGGAGAGCTGGAACTTGATGCAATCTCCATGCCGTCATGAGATCGTTTTACTCCAGCCATATGCCGTTAATGATTAATACAGTAAGGAGAATGCAGTGTCGAAAATGTATGATACTCAGACCTTGCCAGCCTTGTGGTGCCTTGACACGTAAAAATGGTTGGTTTTGGGGGTTGTGGAAAAAAGCTTGCGACCCTGAGAATTGATTCAATTGGAGATGCTGGGATGATGGAGAGGATGGAGAGAAGAGAAGCCTGCAGCTTTGTCGGCCAACCTGCTTGAACAGGCATTGACAACGAGCCTTAGGACGCCGTCTACCACCGCCTTTCACCATAAGCTTTAACCACGTTTCAACTGTAATGCACGACGTTTAGGCCCTTCGGCCCATTGCAGTGTCAAGTTGTGTCTCAATCTCAACAAATTATAATCCTACTAGGTATTTAGTATGTAACTAGTAGTAAATACCATGATATTCGACAAAAACTCTACATTTTCACCAACGTCAATTAAGAGCGAGAACGACAAATCACCACTTCTCAAATGCACTAGGCAATGGTTTTCCTTTGGGCCTTCTATAGATAGTCTCTAACTTTTACATATCGTTACATCCTCACTACTCTCCCGCTGTTGACCGCTGCACGTGGTACTGACAGTACTGTTATAGAGACCGCGAAATTCATCCTTGAACCCTCTAATTGGTGCTGAGGGTAGATTTGCTGTGCAGAGCGTTGAGGAGACTTGTTTATGGTCATCAGTCATGTGGCTACGCCATTGATAGTCCATCGTTGTGGCGCGATACGCGAGCCGATCTCCTCCAGATTCCTCCAGATCCTGGGAGTGGCAAACCCTCCAAGGCCTGTAGGGCCCAATGTGAGCGCTCTTTGATAACCCACCTGTTCCACAACGGCCCCAACCGACCGCCCGCTGACTGGCGCCTCGGGCTTTGAGTGTCACACTGACGTAGGCGCATTTCATAAACTCGAACAAAAACTTGGTTTAGTTGTCGTTACCTAACTACCCTGGTAGCATTTGGCCCAGGATAATAAAAGTTAGCCATGATGCCTAACTTCCCTACCTACTCAGCCACTCTACATCTCTCAGAACGAGATATTCTCATAGCAGTGGGATCTACTCAGATCTATCTGTGGAAATGCCCCCCAAAAAGCTGCCACCGCGAGCGGCATCGCAGCAGAAACCACAAACACCACAGCCACAGCAGAAGGCGAAACCACAACCACAACCACTGAATAAACCCTCCAGTGCACCAAAACCTCAACCCAAGAATGCATCTTCCCCTCCCACAGCACAACCGGCCATTCCAGAGCATGAGATCAAGCAAAGCTCCTCCATGAGCGCCCAGCTCGCCCTCGAAGCCGCAAAGAAAGCCTACGAACTCCGTCAAGCAGCGTATGGGGCTGGTGATCCTAATGCACGCGAAGAAATATTGGCCAAAGCGGTCAACAAGGAAATCGAGGCCGAGACCTTTGGCAAAGCCGCAAAATATACTCGCTCCGGGGCGTTTCAGGGTCTTGCAGCCGGTGCTGGTCTCGGTGTCCAACCCGGTGTGACTCTGGGGAAATTGACTGGAGCTCTTGTTGGGGGCGTGTTGGCTTCAGCGGGCGCAGTGCTAGGTGGTGGCATTGGATCCGCGTACGGGGCCATTAGTGGTCCTTTCTGGGATTTGGGTCAGATGGCAAGTCGCGGTGTCAGAAGTATAGTTGGCGATTTCCCCAATTGGGAGGCGACATCCAGCCAGAAAAAGGCACTAGAGAAGATGGTGATCGGGGCACAGCAGACTGAGGCTCCTAGTCAACAAGAGCTAGAGGAGATGAGGGATGATGACGGTGGACTCGGCCAGGAGGACTATCAGCAGTGGGCCACCGACCTGACAAGCTATCTCCCAAACATGCCGTCGATGCCATCCATGCCTTCAGTGCCTTCACTGCCGTCGATGCCAGGACTTTGGGGACAGTCAAAATCGAATGATCCTCCTCAGCGCCCAGATCAGTCAAAGAACGCGTCGACATCAAAACAAACCCAACCATCCAGACCGCCATCAAAGCCTCCAGCGCCTCCAAAACAGCAAGCAGCCTCTCCCAAGCCCAGTCAGCCCAAGAAGAAGCCAGCTAAACTGGAGCCCAGATCAACAGGGCTGACTTCGCCATCGAATCCATCAGCCGCTCGAAGAAAACCACCCAAATTGGAGACAAGGTCCAAACCTGCGACAGTCAATGCATGAATCAGCCATCGAAAGCGGTAGTATAGTAAGTGCTTGGATTATTCCCCGAATTTTGCTGTTGGGCGGTCAAGCCGTGGGGTGGGAAAACTGCTCGCACCTCATGTGGAGGCTCATCTCAGACGCCACCGCTTTTACAGCGGATGAGAGTGGCGATAGGTTGAGGTATTCATGATGATCTTGAATTTCTAGCCATGTATGTACAAGTATAGTTATGATTTACAGATTTCAAGACTATGTGCTCGTCCGGGGAAGACTCGGCTGATCCAGAGCCCACTTTTTATTACTCCTCCGTCATTGCGATATCTTTCATGGAATGTCCGCGGATACTCTTAAGCTCGCATCACCCGCTCGATGCCCCTCGATTCTGAAGCGATGGAGCGGAGACACGCCAATTATCGCCAATTTCAACCAGCCTCATGGCAATTCGTATGCGTATCAGCTCCCCAAATGGAGAATAGAACGTGTGGAAGGCCTGAAAGAAGAGGGCTTGGTAGGGCGGAAGGGTCGAGATCTTACCCGTGTCTACGCAAATGTTTACTGGTCGAGTTTCTCGTGTCCCCCGTATTCGAATAAATCCGCCCAAAATAAACATGTACGGAGTATGTTTGGCACATCGAGCATCTTCAAACTTTGTCACGGTCTGCGTTATTGCCCTTTGTTATGAAGCCCTGATGGGCTCCAAAATCACAAAAAGACCTATATTGTTAACTACAAGCTCTCGCTACGCTGCTGCACCCGATGCTCCGGCCCAAGGCTCGTAGGATCTGGTTGTCAGCCTAACTTACGAGCGCAATATGCCAATTGCTTACAAATCGTGTTTCTCCACTCGCTTGCATGTGTTGAGTAAAGAGTTCAGACAATAATAATGGTCCATTTGTGGCCACTATTTGGACCCTGGCATACTCCGTACATGTTAAGACTTTTGTCGGTCTTTGTCGTTATGGCAGATCCCTGGATCTCTAACTGCATGCGGACAGCATCATGGCTCAGCTAAGATGCGATGGATGAGAGCCACGGCGGACATTGAACAGCCTTGGGATGTTTCATATATTCAATTCGTTTATCCATTTGTTCCTTTACACCTGCCTCCAATGATTCTGTCGTAGCATCCGTCCTGAGATTATTGTCTTGGATAAAAGCTCCTTCCTCATAACTTGGACAATGGAGCAGCTGGACCTCGTTGTCGTTGGCGCAGGTAATTTATCTTCACCTCTGACCCTTGTACCATCACTCGTCACTCACTGACAACATTACTTGGTGTCGTAGGGTGCTATGGTCTCGCCGCCGCCAAGCAATATCTCAGCCAACACCCCTCCGCTTCTCTCGCCATCATTGAGACATCATCCTCCCTCGGCGGCGTGTGGGCTACCGAGCGCCTCTATCCGGGTCTCAAGTCCAATAACCTTCTAGGTACATATGAATATGCCGATTTTCCCATGACAACGGAGCGATTCGGTGTGCGGCCGAGAGAGCACGTGCCTGGGAGTGTAATTCATGAGTACATGGAGGCGTACGCTGAGAACTTCGGCATTGCCAAGTGCTTACGATTGAACACCAAGGTCATAGCAGCCGAGCATCTCCCTGAAGGTGGATGGGTGCTTGAAGTGAGAGATTCTGGTGACGAGGCCGGTCAAGTTGTCAAGCTCTCAACGCAAAGGTTGATTCTGGCCACGGGTCTCACTTCCGACCCGTTTATGCCACATATCCAGGGACAGGAAGACTACGACAGACCTTTATTCCACATCAAAGATCTCCAGAAGCACAAGGATACACTGGTTCCTGGTAAACGGGTTACTGTATTCGGAGGCACAAAGACGGCTTGGGATGCGGTGTATACATACGCTACACGAGGTGTACACGTTGATTGGATTATTCGGCGTAAGTGAACTCTTCGTCTGGTCGTTCTGCTCCCTTGCCGTTATTGCTGATTCTTCACCAAAGCTTCTGGGCATGGCCCGGCATGGATGTCACCGCCTTTTGTCACACCGTTCAAGAAATGGCTCGAAAAGCTCGTCAGTACGTTGAAGTGCGCCCCGGTATCCTGCTGCGCTGAATGCTGATACCCGGATAGATACTCGTCTGCTTCACTGGTTTGCCCCTTGTATATGGGCTCAAGACAGCGGTTACAATGCCATCCGGTGGTTCTATCATCGCACTCCCATCGGGCGCGCTATCACAAACGGTTTCTGGAACACCATCGCCAACGATGTTATCAATCTCATGGGCTTCGAGAAACACCCAGAGTGCGCCAAGCTCAAGCCCACCGCGGAAGCCCTTTTCACGGGCACGAGCTTCAGTATCCTCAACTACGACACCGACTTCTTCGAACCGATCCGTAACGGCACTGTGAAGATCTACCAAGCAGATCTGTCACATCTGAGCGAGGGAAAGGTCCATCTTGATGATGCTGAGGAGACCGTGCTCGACTCGGATGCTTTCCTCTGCTTGACGGGCTGGAAGCAGAAGCCTCGACTCAAGTTTCTTCCCGAGGGCATTGATCGCAAGATCGGGCTTTCATATGCTCCTACGACCGCCGATAAACAATGCGGGCCGGATGAGTGCCTTGCCGCACAGACTGACCTGATCGAGAGAGCTGACGCAGAGATCCAAGTTCGCTTTCCCCGGCTCAAGGTGCCGATGAAGTTCAACCCAAACTATGTTCCCCTCACCCAGACCAAGGCATTCAAGCAGGACCCCAGCACTGAGGCCCAGACAGAGACTACCGGATCATCGAGCTTGACAACTTTCATGCTCTACCATTTCATGGTCCCCGGCACCGCAGAATTCCTTCGCACTAAGGACTTCGCGGTCGCAGGCGGCCTGCAAAATTTTAGCAACATCACGACCGCACACATTCAAGGTCTCTGGATCAGTGCTTTCTTCGATGGCAAGCTCGCTCGAGACCCTAGCTCGGCTGTCACGCCCAATGACGTTGATTCAGAGAACGTAAAGGGTGAGCATGCGAAGACGATGACTCTGGACGAGGTACACTGGCAGACGGTACTACACAACCGCTTTGGTAAGTGGCGGTACCCAAACGATACCGGGGCGAGACATCCGGACTTTGTATTCGAAGCGCTGCAGTATATGGATATGTTGATGGTGGATTTGGGATTGAAGGTTCACAGAAAGGGAGGATGGTTCAGGGAGATAACAGATCCATATGGACCGGAAGATTATCGGAATATCAATGAAGAGTTCGATGCGCTGTTTGAGAAAAAGTAAAGATACTAGGTACCTTTGTCCTTAGCACTTAGCATTTGCTAGTTGTTCTACCTAGAGCACAGAGCGGGCGGAGGAGAAATGCAAGGGTTCTGGAAAGAAAGGTTTGTGACTTGAGGAATGACCTCTTGCGTCGATCCTCAAACCAGTCCAACAAACCATAGACAGTCCCCGTGTAGAAGAGATTGAATTCGAATTCCAACCATTCCAGACATCGATTTATCCACCTCATGCTCCCGCCTACTACTTCGTAAAGGGCCCCTCTCAACAATTGTATCCCCCATCTACATTCCACACTGCACCTGTGACGAAGCTGGCCTCATCACTAAGGAGGAATGCAACAACATTTGCAACATCAATTGGTTCAGCCGCGCGCTTTTGAACCTGTCGAGCAACCTCGGTGGATGTCTCTACGGGCTCATTCTCCATCATCGGAGTCCTGATGACACCTGCGAATCGAGTGTAAGTAAGCCTGAAAAATCTCAGTTCGTGTAATCGAGTTTCGGCATACCAGGAGCCACACAGTTGACCCGAATGTGAGGATTTTCCTTCGCCGCGGACCTGCTGATCCCAATCACCGCGTGCTTGCTGGCACAATAGGATCCAAGCTCCTCCCATCCCATCTGACCGTTTACACTTGCCGCTGTGACCTTTGTTGTGAGGGCACCCAAGTCAGCTGAAGGCCTGCTCTTCATCTTCGGGAGAGAAGTGTTCTCGATCAAGGGGACTTGGGCCGAGACTTACAATACTTCCACCCGCGCTCATATGTCTGAGCTGAGCCCGAGTGCAGAAAAACACTCCTTTGGCATTGACATCCATTTGGAACTCCCAGCCTTCGTCCGTTTCGTCGATGACCTTCGCCTGTCGCCCAACTCCAGCAAAATTCACCGCACCGTCGAGTTTACCACAGCCGTGACTTGACCGGTGGCCGAGGACACCGACCCAATCACAACATTACTCAGCTGTGAACCTTGACGCGCAGCTTCACATCATCTAGTAGTGCTTGGGATTGAGATCTCTTGCAAGAGGATTAAACATCCTCCTTCTATAAACCTTAATCTCTTCGTGATTGCTCAGCTATAAGTGTAGCATAAACAGTCGTCAAGTTGAAATATCAGGCCCATGACAACTTTGCATCGTCTCCAAATCAGCTTCAATCATTGAATACTGCCGCAAATATGAAGGTTGCCGTCGCCGGAACAGGCAATGTTGCACAATATCTTTTTGAGGAAATCCCAAAGTATGGACATGAACTGGTTGTCCTGACGCGAAAGGCGAAGCCTGGGAAAAATTACGTTCAAAAGGAGACTGACTACAGCCTGGCATCCCTGGTCCAGGTTTTGGATGATTCGGGAGTCGAGGGTCTGGTGTCAACCATCGCCGACTTCGACAATCCTGCTGTCGCAACCCAAATACAATTTGATATGCTTGAGGCATGCAAGCAGTCGAAAACATGTAAAAGCTACGTTCCATCGGAATGGATGAGTGACGTCCTCAACTATCCAGAGCAACCCATCTTCTTGGCCGAGACAAACGAAAAGTTCTACAACAAGCTCAAGCAAGAACATGGTGTTCGCTGGACCATCCTCTGTAACTCATGGTTCGCGGAGTACGTACTCCCGTCCTCACAACGACACCTTCGCGAAATTGGTGCCCTTTGGCCCATGGATAACGAGAAGAAGGTCTTTACGATTTATGGTCCAGGAAATCAACCCTTCTCCGTCTGTTCGGTGAGAGATGCCGCTAAAGCTATTGCCGCTCTTCTCGGCACGACAGATGCTTGGGAGCCATACACCTTCATCGCTGGCCATCACCTTACACTCAACGAGCTCTTCGCCATCATCAAAAGGAGGGATCCAGAATGGAGGAGCGTGAACAAGCCTCTCCAAAAGACCATCAAGCAAATAGTTTATAACCAGTCACCAGAGCTTGTGCTAGGAGGTTATTTTGAGCTCTTGATATACTCAGGCGCTTCAAAATTACCGGAGGACGAGGTCCTGAGGCAGCGCACAAAGTACTTCCCGGAGGTGCACTTTCGGACGGTAGAGGAGCTGCTCGATCTTGCAGGAGCGAGACCTACAGTAATCATTTGATCAAATAGAACCTAGTACTGGAACAACTTCTCTCTCGGGGCTCCATATCATCCGAACGTAGCACATTCGTAAAAACTGTTGTTTAAGCAAAGTCAGTTGTGTCTTCGTGCTAGGATTTATGTCGTCTAGATACATCTGTCCTTCGTCAACCAAGTTTCAAGATGTAGCCGACTCTTCACGGCCTACCAAAGCTCCATTTATAGGAAAGGCGGATGCAAGCTTCTCAACGCAGAACCCCCTTAAGGGCAGAAATCAGCACAGCACGGGTATATGGTTGGAACTTGTTCTTCGTTCAGAGCTTCCCATGGGTATGCCCATGAGTTCTCTGTAAAGTATTCAAAAGTGCCAACGGCCGAGTGTTTTCACAGACGGGTCCACGTTGAAGTTGGTTGGCTATGTTTGTAGAGCACCTCAGAAGAATGTCACCGCCGTCAAAAGTCACGCAGAACACAACCCGTCCGCTTCATCCCACTCTGACTCCATCAAGAGTATTTTGGATAGCCTCAGTATCGTTTTGAGAATGATACTGGCTCACAACCTTTGCCATACTTGCTCAGTGAGCATGCAACCGCTCTACATAAATAGGATTTGGCATCTGGTAGCCGCCTCTGACCACGAACCAGTTACCCATGATGGCGATCAGGAACCCGATGAACACAACAGGTGACCAATTCATACCGCTGGCTGTCACCGGATAGTAGCTTGGAAGGGACAGGGTAACCTCAGTTAAAGTCAACCAAGCCAGGGCCAAGATGTTGATGAAAGGGCCTGCTCGCCCAAGGTTGAATGTTCGTTTCTCTGGGAGTGTTTTCCGATTCTTTCGCAGCACGAAGAAAATTGGCACCCAGTACGTAACATTCAAGCAAAGGATCGAGCTGCCAAATATGCCGTTGAGAACCGTGTATGGACCGAAAACCAGGAGAGAAAGTAAACCGGCAAGCGTGGAGCAAGCAACGACGGCAACGACAGGCAATTGCAGCCTCTTGTTCGTACGCCCAAAGATGCGTCCGGCTGGAAGCCCACCAGTCTTCGCAAAGGCCCACAGCAAACGACTTGCGCCCGTCAAGAGAGCCGAGGTAGCATTGCTGTTGACGATGATCATGATTGCAGCAACGGTGACCACCCATCCTTTGTTGTTCCAAGAATCTACGGCTACCTGTAAGGCCGCCTGGTGGCCGAGAGGGTCCAGTAGATTTTCAGGATGAACGGTACAGAAGATAATCGCGATCACCATGATGAGACCGGCGAAGGCATTGAGACATGTGGTGGCAAACATGACCAGTGGGATCGTCCGCTCCGGGACCGGGACCTCTTCCGCCATGTGGGACGCAGCGTCTGGGACTGACATGGTAAGAAGGCCTGGGAGAAACCCGAGGAGGAACACGAAGCCATCGGAGGACCATCCAGTTTCGTTGGTCACATGAAGAAATGCGTCGTGTGCCGAGTTTTTGGGCGAAGTTTTTGCGAGCAACACAACAAAGACATAAAATCCTGCACAATTCAGGAAGACCACCATGGCCTTGTTGATTCCAGGGAGAAGGCGCACGCCGACTGTATTGAGGAGCGCAGCGATGATCAACGTCGCAACGGAAAGAACGTAGATTTGGTAAATCTGGGGCACAAACGTGTCGGTGACCACCATTCCGAAGGCGATATAAAAGTTTGCGCTGTATACCGCTGCCCCTGCAGCGCCTAGCGTCCATCCAAGTGTCGTCAAGGTGCCGACCACGTAGCTTATGAATCGAGCATAGCTGACTGGGGCCAATGAACCTGCCCAGAAGATTTGACCTGTTATCGAGCGTGAGCGATTCGAATCAAAGCGTACAATAGTGCTCGGAGGTTACGAACCTGATGCATGAGGCAAAAACGCAGCAATCTCAGCCAGACTGGTCGCGACGGCAATCTGACCGACCATAGAGGTAAGGAAACACCAGAAGAAGTAAGAAGTACCTCCAAAACCAGTGACCAGGCCTGAATATAACAAAATCCCTATTGGGGCGGCGGTTATCGAGAACTGAATGCCAATCACGCTCAATGTACTAAAGCGATCCTGCTTCAACTCAATCCTCTTGAACATCTCCCCATTGTGTTTGCTTGTTTCCGTCAAGGTACTCTCAAGGTTGAGATCCGAGGATGTGACTGCGTCCTTCTGATCCATGTTGTGTGGGAGGCTGTTGCTGGGCTATGATCTTCGAGGGTGTTGGTAGGCAAAGCAATTTATTCGCATCTCATCCTTAATCCAGTTTATATAGACTCATGACACGAGACTTGGTACACTGTGCCACAAAGCGGTCAACAACGAGCTATCGCGCACCGTCGGTAGAAGATAAGGGTGAAGTGGGTATCATCGTATGTTCTCTCTCAACAAGTCCATAGTGGGAGCTGAGACTGAAAACGACCTTGCGGTTAGATAAGATCCTTGGTCTGGGGTAATGGAAGCATCAGGCAGTCCTGTGGACCGACTCTTGCCCCACGATCGCAACATCGTTTAGATTAGCGGCCAAGAGGAGCAGATAAACGACTGTAGAGGTGTCTCGGATACATGGTTGATGGAATGTCTCCACTACTGGGAAATAGGGAGATAAGGACTAAGCAATTAAACACAATGTTCGAGAGAACCTCTGGAGTCAAAAAAATGCTGCATCACTTTCTACACAGACGGGCTTATTCGCAGAATCAAAGAGGCCGACTGGTGGGACTGTGGGATCGGGAATTCTCCATTCCGATCTCTCACAATAAAGATCTAGCATAACTAAGGATAAATTGATCAGTAACATTATATTAGCCATTAACTACTTAGTCTCTCTATTGAAGAAGGGATGGTAGAACGTTGGTAGCTTGACCATCAAGCTAAGTATGAACCCTCCTAAGAGATTGTATCGAGTCACGGATCCCACTGAGTTGTTCATGTCTATGTGAGCCGTGAGGACAGGAAGAAGCTTGACAACTATCATGACTCTGGGCTGCCAGACTTTGTAAAACCATACCCGGTTCAAGTAGATATAGGTAGCCATTGGGCGTACCTGGGACGTTCGTGGTGCCCGGTTCGCACGCGCCCGGGGTGAGCATAGGGCGGCACCACCCTCGTCCCGAAGCGGGGTGAGCGTCGAACAGGTTTCCCTGCCCTTGGCATTCGACTTTAAGAAATGAATAATGGCAAGAGGCCAAACTACAACTTCACTTGTTGTATCCCGTCAACACTACCTCGACGATATGTTGTCAGGTCGCAACCAGGGACTTTGATAGACCTCGATATCCCCCGACCAGACATGTCTTATCAGTCACCATGTCTCTCTCTTCTTCTTCTTTCTTCTCATCTCCCACCGCCGTCTTCACCTCAGCATTCCTCCTCCGTGCCATCCTCCTCGTCTATGGTATCTACCAGGACTCAGTCTCCGCCCTCAAATACACCGACATAGATTACTATGTCTTCACCGATGCCGCAAGAGCCGTCTCTAGAGGCCTATCTCCCTACCACCGCGATACATATCGATACACTCCCTTACTCGCCTGGATTCTCCTCCCTACTACCTGGGGTGGCCTGTGGTTCCATTTCGGAAAGGCACTCTTTGCATTTTCAGATCTTATTGCCGGTTGGCTGTTACTCGTCCTTCTGAGGAAAAGAGGTCTCGATCAACAACGTGCTCTCAAATATGCCAGTGTCTGGCTGTTGAATCCCATGGTGGCCAATATCAGTACTCGAGGCAGTAGTGAGGGTTTCCTTTGCGTTTTGGTCCTCGCACTGCTGGCTGCTTTCGAATCTCAACAACTCATCGGCTCCGCGATCCTTCTCGGAATTTGTGTCCATCTCAAGATTTATCCATTCATATACGGGGCCAGTATGCTGTGGACACTCGAGAGCACATCATCATCATCATCATCATCAGCATCATCATCCACTGTTTCTGCATCTACAACTCCAGCAGCGTCCCTTCAAGCAGTCTTCCATTTCTTCAACGCCAAAAGATTTCTCCTCCTGGGCATTTCAACAGGCGTCTTCATGGTCCTCAACACCATCATGTATTATATCTATGGACAACCATTCCTCCAACACACTTTCTTCCATCACCTGACCCGTATCGATCATCGACATAATTTCTCCCCTTATAACACTCTACTTTACCTCTCCTCTGCTACTCACTCGTCAACATTGGGGATCAACGGCTCAACATCATCCAGCTCTATATCTTTCGAATCGCTCGCATTCATCCCCCAGCTCCTCCTCTCCACCATCCTCCTCCCCATCACCTTATCCAAACACGACCTCCCCACCACCATGCTCGCCCAAACCCTCGCCTTTGTCACATTCAACAAAGTCTGCACATCCCAGTATTTCCTGTGGTATCTGATCTTCCTTCCACTCTATCTACCAACCTCATCTCTGATCGCCCGGCCCAAATTGGGAATCACTGCACTCGCATTATGGGTTCTCGGCCAAGCGGCCTGGTTACAACAAGGATATCAATTGGAATTCCTGGGTCGGAGTACTTTTGTCCCGGGTCTTTTCGGGGCTGGACTGGGGTTTTTCCTCGTTAATTGTTGGATTCTGGGAATTGTGGTTCAGGATGTTTTGATGAATAGTAGTGGTGGTGGTGGTGGTGGTGGTGATGGGAAGTCGGCGGAGGCGACAGTTCCGAAGGTCATCAAAAGTCAAGGGCAATAATATCATAGCGAGGATAGAATAGAAAGAGAACCAAAAGGAGACACCGAGATAATAAACAACCAGTATGAAAGCAAATCAGTCGCTCAATTGCTCGCTTAAAACTATGGAGAAGAGAGGAAAGGAAGTGATTGAATGTGTAAGTGAATCAATTCATAACCCTCGCTCGTGTCCATTTCAATAGCCATCCATGTCCATGTCCATATCCATTTGCACTCCATTGCTGTGCCCATTCCCATATCCATTCCCGTATCCATTTTCACTCCGACCGCCCAGTCAGGCGCCGTCCCATTGCTCTTTATAAATGTCTCCAGTGCATGATGTGGTTCATTTGACCCGCTCGCAAAAACAAAACAAGACATGATGGTCCTCGCTGAAGAAACAAACAATCACTCCGCGCCTCGCCATCTCTATGCGCGAAACCTCAACCTCAACCTCAACCTCACCTTCAAGCCCCCCTCGCATCGGCCACGATCCTGTACGAACTCGTCTTGATACTTCGAGGTCTCCACTTTGGATAGAGACTGCAAGACCCTTGACCTCCTCCAACCCCAACACCGGCGCCCATGTTGTTAACAGGCGAAGTCGCCCCAATTACAGGCCCGAGTCCTGTTGGTGGTCTGGAGACCGCGTCGTCAGCATCGTCACCACCGGTGTCGGCAGATGAGGTCGATCCCATATTTCTCGCATGTCCTTTCTGCCATCCGGCATATTCGATTCCATCGCCCAATTCCTCGTATTGAACGTTCGGTTTCAAGGCGGCCAAGCGCTCTACAATCTCCTCGTTCCATATTCCATACACGACCCCCTTTTCCATCAGCCAGTATGGATTCAATAGGGTGCATGGACTGTCGAGATCGATGAACCGTATCCGTATGTAATCGAGATGGGGGAAATAGGGTAGGGCTTGAACGGTTTCAAGTACCAGTCTCTCGAAGGCACGTATGAAGACCAGGTTCGTGATACCTGCTCCATCGGCGATTACACCTCCAAGTTCGTGGACGATCGTTTCACCGGTTTCGGGGTCGTAGTCCGTAACTCGCTGTCGACAGCAGGATTTGACCACAATTTCCAGTGCTTTGAGTCGAGGTTCTTGTTTTGAGTACCGCAGTGCTGACAGGGCAGATGACCACATGCATTCACAGATCTTGCCAGTGTATGATAATGATTCGAGACGAGGAAGCACTCGGCCTATTCGTTCGCAGAGATGTGATTGACCCGGGGAGAAACTCGATCCGAGTGTGGTGGGATCTTTGGAATACATTCCATCAAGAGAGATATTGACGTGGCGGAATCTATTGGGTAACTTGGATAGAATGTTGTTGATCGTCATATCGGCTTCTGGACGAGGTTTGGCATATCCACAATGCCACTCTTGGACATTGGGAAGTGCTTGCTCGATGGTTTGCCAATGACTGTATTCACGCATTACGTTCCAAGCGCCGCGCATGGCAAAGGTGCGGATGTTCGGAAGTTTCTCTAGAGCTTGGTCTGGTCTGGGAAATAACGTTTTGGGAAAGTGCCGGATCATGTTGGATTTCTTGCAATGACCACCTTCAAGAGTGAAGACTCGCGCATGGGGAAAGAAGCAGGCGATGTGGGAAAAGATCTCGGACAAAGTGGCAGTGTAGGCAGATAGTTTGAACGAAAAACCGAGGAGATCATTGGCGGGTATCAAGGACTCGTTGGCTTGCTGTGCGAAGTAACTGGTGATTCTTCGATCGTTGGCTGGTATGAAGGGTTCAAGAGTGCGGTGATCAAGAGCGGCCTTATCACCCCAGACAGGAACCCAAAATTCGATATGTCGAACGTAGCTGATCAGATGCATATGATTGACGAAATATGCCTCTGACTCGGCGAGACCAGCCCGGGTGCCTTTGATCTTGATATGTCGATATATTCGTTCTTGCACCAGTCCCCGCCAGGCGTGCGACACCAATGCCAGATCTGAAACAGCTTTTCGGCGAGGATGGCGCATGAGTGATGATACACTCTTGCCTCGCAAAGACGTCGAACCGGCATAAATAGAATGCATGTCTCCAAAGATGTGATCTAGGATTCTCCCCTGCACCTCGAGTGGGAGGTCGTCCAGTGATAGTCGAGGCCGCCTCCTTTCATCTTCTGTTTCTGATTGTAAGCTTGAGAATGGATGCTGCTGGTCAATATATGGGTCCGGTTGTTCTATGTCCTGCAAAGACAGGTCAGGAGCTCTGGTATCCAGGGAACCTATGGATTGACCGGCATCATGGTGTTGATCTGCTAGGGTCTTGACCGCGGTGATGGATGGAACTCGTCTCCGAGTGGCAGCGACTGGCATAGGAAAGCGAACATCGGATCTCGAGTATTTGGACATGGAAGAGAAATGCTGCTCATACAGCCCCTGGGACTCTCTGGTTTCATTATCTAGAACCAACTCTTGAACCAACATGTTGAAGGCTGAAGTGGAGGACTTCGAGGAAAAGGCTGGAGAGGCGCATGCAGGGAAGATATCTGAGGAGCGCGAATCAGGCTCAGTGCCGCGAGAGCAAACAACGTGTGACCAAAACGAGTGGAAGGTTGGAGCCGGGACAGTCGAGCATGTGCGATGGGTCGAACGAGGCCTTTGGTCGGATGTTTGTTGCCTGGAAAGGTTTTTAAAGCGAGTCGTGTGAGCGTGGCGGCTAGAAGGATGGGGCTGGGATGAGTGGTGACAACCGGTGTCGTCGCCTGCGAGCGAGTAAAAGCGAGAGTATAGTGAATAATCAGGAGGCAGATACAACAAAGAGTAGTCGAAATAAGTGGCTAAGTCGTCCCATGATGTGTTGGGCTGTGGACGTTGGACAAAAGTCGTCCAGTGTAAATATGGAGTGGGTGGAAGATGAACCAAGTCAAAGTTGCTGTGATATTTTGAAGGCAAAACCACACTGCCTGCAGGTCACCATCAAGCCACCCACCATTCGACACTCCTCGTCGTCGTCAGCCTCTAATGAGTTAGTTATGTTAGGCCTCAATTATCCACTTCTACTCCTCTGTTTAGAACTCTGATCTCGACCGCTCCACGCATCTCACAACACTAACGGATGCATACTACAGTCCTCCTTCCCATACGCGTCGTTCCGTAATCCTACTTCGAGTCTTGTCCATCCTCGTTTGCTGTGAGACGTCAATCTCTATGCCTATGCGACCCAGCCTGGCCCAGACACTCGGCACCACGAGTTCGGGGATTAATCTGGCCAATCCAAAGTGTATGTTGGGAGAAAAAGGCAAACTCCGCGCCCCCAGGATCAAATTTCCCGTTCGCCCCGTCTCCCCTGTCCACTCTCCTCCACTTGGAGGATCATGCGATGTACAGTAACTGGCGGCAAAGTCGTGAATGGGAACGACAAGAACGATGGCTAGGGATCACAACTACTTGTCAACCTCCTACTCGTCCTGAGCTGTGTGCACCTCTTATTGCTACGAATCAAGTCTTTGCCGACGAAGGAATGACCCGGCAATGCACTGTCGTCTCATCAGAAGACGCTGCATCACTGGCGCCAACTGTCAAGTATCATATCTGCCCCTAGGGCGGTGGGCCATATGTCCTCACAACGAACGTGATTGAGACTTATCTCCAGCTACATGACTAAGTGTAGTAGGTACCAGGTCTCGCTGTATTGCTGATCAAAATACTCGTCCACTGCGTCTCTCACGATTCCACAACCTCCATTAGACGCTGGACAACATACTTACGCGTATGCCAATGTCATTGGTCTTCCATATCCCTAACCAGCAAGGGCCCCTCGGCCCCAGAGTGGGGGGTGCGGTGATTTATTGAGTAAACATCGGGTGATGTCGTATCGAGTGCATGTCAAAGGCGAACACCGACGACAGGCTTCATTGGCCGATGAGCACTGCATCGAGGCAGATTTGGCGGTAGTATGTCAGGCACGAGTCCCCTTGTCATAACCTTGAAGGCCTCCTCGTGTATCATCGACTTTTACCTCGATCAGTCTCAACGCGTCCATGTTTTGCTCGAAGATCAACATGACTCTCATGGCATTTTGAGGATTTGCTTCTGTGTGCTTGCGGAATTCTTTCTTGACACATTCTTACTCAAAGCATATCCACGCCTCCCTTGTACATCCGAGCTCTTGGGCAATTGATTGACATATCCATAGCTTCCATCAGGCAACGCGACTCGAGGTTGGTACGGTGATGGTAGGGCCTCAAGAGCAAGGACTACAGGAGTTGGTTTAAAAGATCGTCACCGTCGGGGTGGACGGCTGCAGGGTTCGGCTGCATTGTGCCGTCGTCATTGTAGATGCTTGACCTTCCGCGGTCACTGTGGTCCCGAATGTGGCGACAGCCTGAGAATCGAGAGTGAGCAAGACAGATCAAACCCTGATGATCGTCTATGAAGCCTTACCTTGTAAGGGTGGCCGACTGGGATAGCCTCAATGTGATCGCATCCATGGCAATCATAGAGATGAGCGACATATGTGGTCAGGGAGTAGTAGGTACTTGTCATTCCACGAGACACATCTCTCGCCGTGTAAACCGTCCATACACAGCCTGTAGCTTGTGCTGATGTAATAGGGAGAATCGACCTGGTGCTGAATTTGAGGCTGAATTAGTAAATCATCATTCAACTCAACAATATAGTGTACCTGGTGAATGAGACGACCTGGGACTGAACCAATGTCAACAACTGCAAGGTCAAATAAATTCGAACGAGAAGAGTATAGACCATGGTCACAGAATTAGACCAAGCGATGCCAGAGGGCAATTCAATGTCATTCGACTGAGCTGAAATTGGACGAGGTTAGAAATGGAAAAGTCATGCAGCAGGAAAGAACCGAGAAGAGTAGGTATCGACCATCAAAATCAAAGAGCTTCATACACAAATCTTCTGGTGATTATTCTGCCTATGGACCATCGAATGTGTAATAACAATCTCAGTAGCCATACACCCAATCCTAATGCATTTCAAACTCTTGCAACCAAAAACATTTGTACGATGCATTGCTGAATCGATTTCTCAACAACTCCACCAACGAAGTCTTTGCTAAAGCTTTTCAGATCAACGCAATCCGGCCTCATGCTGCCGGAGGGCTACCGTCTCCACCCACCCCTTCACCCTCGCCTGACCGCCATCAGCAACCTCTGTATCCCGCTTGAGCCTCAGCTGCAGCCACCACTGATTGTAGAGCTCTTTATTACCAATCTCGATCCTCAGTTGTGATACAGATAGGACCACAAAATCGTTTAGTCATCATCTCCAACCTAGGAACATCAGCGTTGAATTTTATGCTTCATCATCGTCACCCACTCGGAGAGTGCCTTGACTTCCAAAGCCGTTGGCCCAGAATCCTTCAAGAGAGGGAGAACTACAACGCATTAGCCTGATGAACGGTATGCTGCTAATGTCGACTTACGTGCTAGACATGCTGTCATGAGTGAACAGAAGCCAGAAACCGAATACCTGGAAGTGTTAGCGAGGTATTTCTGGGTGATGAAATTGGCTTACGGGTTTGGCAAGGATATCAAGAACGGCGTAAGCAATGATCTCAGCATCAACGGAGATGATGTGAGCACCCTCAGACAAGGCCCAAATACTTCGAACGATGTCAGTCATCTGCTGCTCGCGTCATAAACGATCAGGACTCACATTGGATAGATGGTCCAGAGAATCAAGGTAAATCCAGCAATGCTTGCATAGAAGGCCTTGGTCTTGCTGTCCTTGGTTGCGACTGCGGCACGGCCACTCGAGGCCAGTTGATAAACAACGACCAGATAGGCGATACAAGCCCAGGCATACCATCCCCATTTCTGCCCATCGGTGGTGCCATAAGCAGCAAAGAGGCCGGTCAAGATCATGATGACATCGGCAACGATGGCCACCAAAATATTGGCACCGCTCAAGCCAGCTAGCAGAGCAAGATCGAGTAAAAGCAGTGGAGTGGTGACGGACCAATCGATATATCTTGCCCAGTATACCTCACGGCCAAATTTCTGGTGGGTCGGAGGAACCCTCTTGTGTGTTTCGGTTTCTGTGTAGTAGTGGTAGTTCTTGCCATCACCAGTCGCCATGGCAAAGTACGAAAGGAAGGCAAAGGTGGTAATGAAGGCTGTCAAGATATGGAAGAGGCGTTTTTGCTGGGATAGTTAGTTGCTGGCTGCTTTGATACGCAAAACCGCTAATGGGACTCACCACAGGGACTCGGAATGCCATCCCATAGAATGCTAGTGAGGAGAGCCCCATCAGGACAACGACAACCCTAGCTAGTGTTAGAGAGCCGAACCAGGTCCACCATAACACAGACGACTAACCAGAGGGTCTTATGGCCTGTGTCACCGGCGTGGACATGAATGATCGGGTTAGGAATCACTGTTGGGATTGGGGCCACGGAAGTGGTGGCATGGATAGGTTTGACCATGTCTGGGTGGATAATCATGGTTGCTGCTTTGGAGAATAAGACGGTGGAACAAGAGACGACTTGCAAAGACTTGAGAAAGGTAGAATGAGGATGCAATGTATTGAGCAGCAATTGGGACTAGACGTGAATGAAGACAGACAGACAAGTGAGGTCAGGTCGGGACAAGGCAGCACTCATAAAGTGAAAAGCAACGTGCTACAAAAGCGGAGGTTGACACGGTGCGGGAAAGAACCATGACGATGATGACGAAGTTACCTGTTGGATCGAAGTCCAGCAATCGGAGGGCAGGTGCAGCTGACAGGAGCATGGGCACGATGGGCAAGACGCTCGAGTCAATCGCCCCATGGCTTCCCTGTTTCAGTTGCCGCATGTCGTATGGCGCCTCGAGAATTGTTGGTGCAGAAGGACATTGACTGGGCGAGGTCCAATCCGAGAGGCCACGAGAGGGATATGATGCTCCTCACTTGTTGTTAGAAATCATGTCTGGGTTCTGCTTTTGCGGGGCGAGCTCCAGTGACTGACAGGGTTATGATTCAACGTGGTTGCCGGCGGAGGGTCATTCAGCCAATGAGACTTGTTCTTCTTAGGCACCAGCCACCACCATCTTGCTCTGATTACGCCTGGATCGCCTGACGCATACCGACATCTTATAGCTGGGCGGCCCCTACCGCCACCATGACACCACGAAATCCATGCCTGTAACATCTCCAAAATGCCCGCGAGTGCCGAACAGTTGTGAGCATCAATCATTGCACTCCAAGCTACAGTAATACAAATGCCATGCTCCTGCTGAGACTGGAATAAATTTGAGCTGCCGAGATCGGGGGATAGAGAAGCCTCAATTTTTGCAACCCCTGTCAATGAGGAAGCTAGCATTTACAGGCTATGCATAAAATGATACTTCATGACGTCGAGGGAAATCACGACAATGTACCTAGTACCTTGGTTTTGCTTGAGGGGCTGTGGGTGCTTAAGTTATTGCAAACCAACATGTGATTGCCTGTCAAGCAACCTTTGTCTGCATTCTCCAACTGCTCGCAAGACCACTACCTGGTTATTTCTCGTAGAGTTTGGCTGTGTGCGTCGTCAACGCTTCCAACATCGAGGGCGCTGGTCAGTGAAATTGTGGCGAGTGCATCACATTTCGCTTGGGCCTGTACCCCGCAAAACATGCGTAGCGTAGCCACATGGGGGGTTGAATCTCAAAAGGGTTAGTGCGCCAAATCAACTGGTCATGGGCGCTGGCACATTTTACTAAACAGCAACAGCATCAACGTGTCTGTGAGGTACGAATACAAGTGGCGGCGGGAAGAGCTAGGACTGGCATTAAGGGCTCACAATTTTAACAGGCCATCCTTAGCCAGTGCGCGCTCAAACAATATTCAACTCTATAGTACTTATCATGGTGTGCGCAGGTGCTAATTCTGAACTTTCGGAGTTTTATTGTACCAGTGAACTAGTGAACTATTGATGCTTTTGCACCTCTGTTGAAGGCTTCCAGTCTATTTACAACAAAGAATTGCGTCTGGCCAACATTTACACCAGCTTCAAGAGACCCTGGAGGTTGATGCTCTTTGGTCGCTCAATAGGAAGACCCAATGCTCGGTCCCAAATCAACTGGGCCAAAGGACCAAGTCCTCGGCTGACACCGAAAGTGACGGTGTAGTACAGAGGATCCTGGAAGCCGTAGTGGTGGAAGAGAACGCCTGACGCGCTGTCGACGTTGGGGTGAGGGTTCTTGGTCTTTCCATGCTCGGTCAAGACGCCAGGAGCGACCTCACTGTTCTTCTTCACCAGGCGGTAGACTGGGTTCTCGGAAATGTCCTTGCGAGCATCTCCGAAGTCGATGAGAGCCTTGAATCGTGGATCAGGCTTGCGCAGGACACCGTGACCGTATCCAGGCACGACTTGGCCGGATTTCAAGGTGGCCCACAGATAGTCGCTGACGTCCTTGTCGGTGAAGTTCTCACCGATGGAAGCTTGCATCTTCAAGATCCATCGGAGCACCTCTTGGGCAGCCAGGCCGTGCAGAGGACCTGCCAAACCCAACAGACCAGCTGAGTATGACAAGAAAGGATCGGAGAGAGCAGAGCCGACCAAGTGGGTGGCATGGGCTGAGACGTTGCCACCTTCGTGGTCACCGTGCAGAGCCAGGTAAAGACGGAGAAGGTCCTGGAAACCCTCATTCTCCTTGCCAGGCTTACCGAGGAGCTTGGCAAAATTGTAGGCCCAATCTTGATCCATGTCCAAGGGGGTGTCAAGGGCAGCCTTGTCAAAGATGGCAGCCGCAACACGAGGCAGCTTGGCCAGTAGGTTGATCGAGTCATCAAAGGTGGGCTCCCAGTAGTCGGCTTTGTTCAATCCCTCGGCATACTTCTTTGCGAAGACAGACTCAGTGTTGAGAGCAGCAACTGCGACGGACAACTGTGTCATAGGGTGGACGCTCTTGTCAAATCCCTTGAGCAGATTCACGACGTGGGCGGGCAACTCAGCCTTCTCGGCGAGCTCGCGCGACAAGGCTCGGACCTGGCCCTCTGAGGGAACCTGGCCGGTCAGGAGAAGCCAGAACATGGCCTCAGGCAGCATCTCGGTGCCAGAGGTACCCTTGGGAAGCTCTTTCTGACAGTCGGCAATTGTCTTGCCGTGGAAACGGATACCCTCCTCGGCGTCCAGGACTGAGCCTTCCCACACCATGGACTTGAGAGTTCTCATTCCACCAATAACTTGTCCCACAGTGACATCTCCAATCTTCTTGTCGGAGTGAGCCTTGACCTGCTTCAAGAGCTCACGCTTCTCGGGGATGATACTTTGAAGAGTAGCCTTTAGATCTGGCTCGGCGGAGGAGGCATAGGTGCGGAAGACGAAGGAGGTATAGGGTCGCTTGGAGGATGCTCGCAAAGCCCTCAAGGCATGCTGGGTGGTTTTGGTGCTGGTAGCCATTGTGACTTGGTCTTGATCGTCTGCCTACGGACGATGGTGGAGAGGAGAGGAGAGAGCAGACAGAGGATAGCAGCGTGCGGGGTCTTGACGCCGATGCTCTTGGGAATCAACACTGAAGGTGGGAGAAGTTTAGAATCTTTTGTCCAGCAGAAATAATTTAATCAAGAGATGAACAAGCCGTTCCGGTAGCTAGGGGCTCCGGAGTTCAGAAACGATTTTCAAGTCAGGACCACCTGAGGTGCTGGAGCTGCGCTGATTGTTCGGCCCTGGGAACGTACAAGAGATGCTGCAGCAACACAGAAAGGCGGCTTGGCCAGTCAAACCACTACGAAAAGTGGTTGCCCGCCGAAGTAACCGACTTCCCTCGGCATCTTGAATTCTCCCTTTCACGCGTTGAATCCTTTGCTCCATCCAATCATCATCGCTCAAAGGCCGGGCGGCCCGAACTCGGCCATATGAGGCACTTTCGAGAATCCCAGACTGCTCCGCGTCGGAGTGCGGAGTAATGGTACCAATAACTGACATTCTCAACACCGTCCACCGGTCCATCATTTGAGGGCCGCTGCGACGACATTGGTCCCGTCGATTTGTTGGAAAATCAGATCATTCGAGAACTGTGCCCTTCCTTCTCATCACTCAGGATCAAGTGGTTTCGGCCTGAGGATCTGACAAAGCAACACAGTCTTATTGCTTTCGAATAAATACCACAGTGCTCCGGATCACCACTTCCAAGAGCCATCTAACCAAAAGTACTGTTTTCCCAGACGACAATGCTCGCGAGAGTACCCAGAAGCCTACCCAGGCTAGCAGCCAGAAGACTTGTGCGGCCGACAGCGACGAGAACATTTGTTGCCGCCATGCCTCGTTTACACTCTTCCTTACCCTCCGTCGAACCTCCCGTTTCCACACAGCTCCCCACCGACTCGTTCCAATTACTGTCCACCGAGGACAAGACCGGGGATGCTGAAGATGTGCTATTCAAACAACAAGTCGAAGACGTCAAGAAATGGTGGAGCTCTCCGCGGTACGAGGGGATCAAGAGACCATATACCCCAGAAGACGTCGTGAGCAAGCGAGGAACATTACAACAGACATACCCAAGCTCGCTCATGGCCAGAAAACTTTTCAATTTGCTAAATGAAAGAGCTGCCCAAGGCAAACCAGTTCACACCATGGGTGCCATCGACCCTGTTCAAATGACCCAGCAAGCTCCCAACCAAGAAATCTTGTACGTCTCTGGATGGGCATGCTCCTCCGTCCTCACCACTACCAACGAAGTGTCTGCCGATTTTGGTGATTATCCTTACAACACCGTTCCCAACCAGGTCCAGAGACTGTTCAAGGCCCAGCAATTACACGACCGGAAGCATTTTGACAACCGACAGAAGATGAGCGCCGAAGAACGAAAGACCACCCCATACATTGACTACATGCGGCCAATCGTGGCTGATGGTGACACCGGCCATGGTGGTCTCTCAGCCGTCATCAAGCTAGCTAAGCTGTTTGCCGAAAACGGCGCTGCCGCCGTTCACTTTGAAGATCAGCTCCATGGAGGCAAGAAATGTGGCCATCTTGCTGGCAAGGTTCTAGTCCCCGTTGGAGACCACATCAATCGACTCGTGGCCGCAAGATTCCAGTGGGATTTGATGGGCGCTGAGAACCTTATCCTGGCTCGAACCGACTCCGAGAGTGGCAAACTACTGTCGAGCGCGGTTGACGTTCGCGACCATGAGTTCATCTTGGGAGTGACGGAAGACACTGAGCCTCTCGCCGAAGTGCTTCAAGAGATGGAGCTGGGCGGTGCTGCAGGCCCCGAGATTGACAAATTTGAATCTGCTTGGGTCAAGAACCACAAGCTCGTCACATTCGATGAGGCCGTCGAAGCACACATAAAATCAGAGGGCGGAGACGCTGCCGAGTATCTGGCTCAGACCAAAGCCAATCCCAACCTTTCCCTTACCAAACGTCGCGTCCTATCTACCAAATACACCAAGTCCCCAGTCACATGGTCAGCCGACATCCCTCGTACCAGAGAAGGATTCTATCACTACAAGGCTGGAATCCCAGCAGCTACCAAGAGAGCTATCGAGTTTGCCCCTTATGCTGATCTCCTGTGGCTCGAGACTGCTACTCCATCGGTTGCTAAAGCAGCTGGATTTGCCCGGGAGATTCGAGAGAAATATCCAGGAAAGAAGCTGGTGTACAACTTGAGTCCATCGTTCAACTGGATGGGTCAAGGATTCGACGACGCATCACTCAAATCCTTTGTTTGGGACCTTGCAAAGGAAGGATTCGTCCTGCAGTTGATTTCCTTGGCTGGACTGCATTCCACTGCAACCATCAGCGCCGAACTATCTCGTGGATTCAAAGAAGACGGTATGCTGGCATATGTCAACCTCGTTCAGAGCCGAGAAAAGGCATTGGGAGTTGACGTCTTGACACATCAAAAGTGGAGTGGTGCTGGTTATATTGATGGAATCATTGGAGCGATCCAGAGTGGCAGCAGTGGCAGCAAGAGCATGGGCGACGGCAACACTGAGAAAGGCTTTTAAAATCTAAAACATAACCGACCAGGTGTCCGCTCCGACACAAGAGACACAGCTTTACCCTGAGATCGATGAATCTCCCTTTTTATTGGGCAGTCCTATCGTCATCACCACCATCACCACCACCACTTCAACACCTCACCCATGTATATATGAGCTCCTCATGAGATGCGGAACGAGTTGATAAGGTGAATCTTTGGAAAAGATTTTGAGGTCCTGGCCGAGGCAGCTTAGGTATCTCGGCTGTATATATTCAAAAGGGCAGGCGAAATACCTCCCACTTTCAAATCAACCAGGCACAGCCAAGCAAGCATGGAGGCTGATCAGTGTCGAGAGGATGGAAAGTAGAATGTGTAGAAAAGACCTAGAACTGTGAGACAACACTCACAGCAATTGGAATATTATCCCTCCAAGAGGCGGGGGTTAGTCAGCAAGGCTCTCCCCCCTCGATGATGAAGTGGGAAGGCCGTTAGACCTCACTAAGTAGATAGATAGTTAAGATACTTAGGCGTGGCAGTGACAAAGAACCTTTGTCATTTAAAGCCCACTTCACGGCCAAAACTTCTTTGGTACGGACCGTGAGTCTTCTTTACTTGTGTCGTTTGGTTCAAATTTCCCGTGGATAAGAATCAAACTATGACGTAGACAGCAGCCGAACAGCAGCCCTATACCACCATTTTATTGTTTATACGTACGCATCCAGTGGTTGAAGACCTTTGCCTGGCACGCCCGGCCAGAAAAAACTCTGGCGGGGTGACGGTGATTCGTGCAGGTTATTTGGTTAGCTCCAAACTAATTTGAGGATTTTGCGTCTTATCGCTTATCAGCGTCGCCCCCGGAGGACCTCTCGGACCCCTCAGACCCTGGACACCCGCCACCGGCTGACTTGCCATGTCCGCTCTCCCTCTCGTTCCTTCGTACCTGCCCATTTGCAACCCAAATTTTCGAAACGTGCCAGGCAAGAGCGGCGGGAGCGGCAACTGCCAGTCATAGTGCAGACCCAGAAGGCAAGTGGGCAACCGCAGCCACGCCAGTGTAAAAAAAAGTGAGAGCGAAGATCTGCAGCAGAATCGTTCGTTGTCGCTGTCGCGGGCTGATTAAGATTTCTTTCCAGTCAACATCCTCTCTCCCTTTCTCTTATTCTTCATCTTCATTCCCTCGCCGCCCTCTCTTACCTTCTCCTCCTCCCTCTCTTCTTCCCTTTTAAACCCCCTCTCCACTCCTTGTTGGCTTTTTTAAACGACGGGCTGTTCGTTTTATCGAAATTGCCCAGCGACATCTCCTCTGTTCTTGACCAGAGACCGCTGCCTGGGTCGTTCAGAGCATGCCACATTCTGAAAGCCCTCTTTTGGCACCAGTCATGGCTGCCCCCGTCGCTGCCTCTAAATCTTCCTTCTCCGGCGTCTCCCCCACTGTCGATGAAATCTCCAGCCTTTTGGTCACCATTTTCGACGCCAAAGAAGCCCAAACATCGCTTGACGCCTCTTATGCCCTCACAAATCTACTCATTCAGTCCGTTGGCGTCCGGGGTCTCCTTGCCTACAACCTGATCCCCGAGATCAAGAAAGCAGCAGGCAACAAGAAACAAGATGCCAAAAGACTCGGTGCTATGTTCATCGTCGGCGCTATGTTCGAGCGTTTTCCACGAGAACAGCATCTGAGCGAGGTCGTCTTTCTGGTTCGTGATGGCGGACTGCTCAGCATCGCCCTTGATGCTCTCGCAGACAAAAACTCCTCCATTCGCGAATCTGCCCAGTATGCCGTCGATGAGCTGTACAAAAATCTTGAGTCAGAATCCCTCGTTATTGGCATGTTGCCTGCACTCCAAACATACCTGTCCAAACCAACTGGCAAATGGCAAGGTACTGTCGGCGCTTACACACTCATGGGAAAGATGGCCGAAAAGGCACAGATGGGTACTGGCACCAAAGCCGAGGAAGAGGCTAAAGATGTTTTGAGAGAATCCATGGGCAAGACATTGAAAGAACTGATTCCCATTGTCGAGGGTGGCATGCACGACCTCAAGGCCGAAGTCGCAAAAGTTGCTTTCAAAACCATGACCTCGCTCACCACTCTTTTGCAGAATGACGATGTCGCCCCACGGATACCGTTGTTGATTGATACAATGAAGAACCCTTCGGCGCAAACTCTGCAAAAAGCGATTCATGCGCTATCTCAAACCACCTTCGTCGCCATTGTCACTTCTCCAGTCCTTGCACTCCTTACTCCTCTGCTTGAAAGAGCATTGAACACCCCTTCCACCTCACAGGAGGTTCTCAGGCAGACCGTCGTTGTGGTGGAAAATTTGACGAAGCTCGTTCACGACCCTGTCGAAGCCAGGACTTTTCTACCCAAATTGCAGCCCGGTGTTCAAAAGGTCAGGGATGGCGCCTCATTGCCAGAGGTCCGCGAGCTGGGTGACCGTGCGGTGAACGTCATGAAAAAGGCAATGGGTGACGACAAGGATGGTGTTACCAATGGTCAAATTGCCCCAACAACCACCGACGATGTCCTCAAGGTCCTCGACAGCCAAATCCGAGCTCAAGGTGGAATCCAGAAGGAAGACAGCGCCATCTGGAAAGATGGGCAGACGTATGTCTCCGAGATGGTCCGAGAAGATGTCAATGCTCGCGTCTTTTCTCGAATTCCTGCTCGAGTGGAACCATATCTTGTACATCTCCTTCCCGAATCACACCGCTCTGCTGTGGCTGAAGGAGTGCAAAAGTACTTCGTCGATGAAGATCACAAGAAATATGCCCCTGTCGTGCAAAACCCCGACGAGGTCGAGATCGTCAACGCAGACTTCTCTCTTGCTTACGGTGGAATGCTTTTGTTGTCTCACTCCAACCTTCGCCTTGTCAAGGGACGTCGCTATGGCCTATGTGGTCGCAACGGTGCTGGAAAATCAACTCTGATGCGCAGTATCGCAGACGGCAAGCTAGAAGGGTTCCCATCCAAGGACGTCCTTCGAACTTGTTTCGTCGAACACAATCAAGGCGAAGATGCAGAGATCAGTATCCTAGAGTTTGTTGAGAAGGATCCCGAAATTGCCAAGGAAGGTCGCGAAAGAATTTCTCAGGTTCTCAGCGAGGTCGGCTTTACTGCTGGTCCTGAAGGTCGACAATCCCACAAGGTTGGTTCTCTTTCTGGAGGATGGAAGATGAAGTTGGCTCTGGCACGAGCTATGTTGATGCGTGCCGATGTCCTTCTACTCGACGAGCCTACCAATCATCTTGATGTGGCCAACGTCAAATGGTTGGAACAGTATCTCCAGACCCACACCGAAATCACCTCGCTCATCGTCTCTCACGACTCAGGATTCCTCGACGCCGTTTGCACCGACATCCTGCACTACGAGCAGAAGAAGCTCGTCCACTATCCTGGGAACCTGGCCGCTTTTGTCAAAGTCAAGCCCGAAGGGAAAAGCTACTACACTCTCTCGGCCACCCAGGTGCAATTCAAGTTCCCCCCTCCAGGTATTCTCTCGGGCGTCAAATCGAACACCAGAGCGATCATTCGCATGTCCAACTGCAGCTTCACATACCCTGGATCCTCGAAGCCCAGTTTGCAAGATGTCTCTTGTCAATTGACCCTATCCTCCCGGGTTGCCATCATCGGAGCCAATGGAGCCGGTAAATCTACTCTCATCAAGCTTTTGACTGGCGAAACCATTCCTCAGACCGGAAAGGTGGAGAAGCATCCCAATCTGCGAATTGGTTATATCAAGCAACACGCGCTAGAGCATGTTGAAATGCACATGGAAAAGACGCCTAATCAGTATCTTCAATGGCGCTACGCCAATGGTGACGACCGAGAAGTCTTGATGAAAGCCACTCGAGTGCTCACAGATGAGGACAAGGCACAGATGGAAAAATGGATCGACCTAGGTGATGGTAAGGGTCCTCGACAGATTGAAAATCTCATGGGTCGCCAGAAATACAAGAAAACGTTCCAGTATGAGGTCAAGTGGAAGAACATGCTACCCAAGTTCAACAGCCAGGTTTCACGAGAAACTCTGCTTGAATGGGGATTCTCAAAGTTGATTCAAGAATTCGACGACCACGAAGCATCGCGAGAAGGCCTTGGCTACCGAATCCTGGAGCCCAAGGTGATTTCGAAACACTTTGAAGACGTCGGACTGGATCCCGAGATTGCCAACCACAACGAGATCTCTGGGTTGAGCGGTGGGCAGAAAGTAAAGGTGGTTCTTGCAGGTGCTATGTGGAATAACCCCCATCTACTGGTCTTGGACGAACCGACCAACTTTTTGGATCGAGACTCACTTGGAGGTCTAGCAGTGGCGATCCGAGATTATAAAGGAGGTGTGGTGATGATCAGTCATAACGAGGAGTTTGTCGGGGCGTTGTGCCCCGAGCAATGGCATGTGGCTGACGGCAGAGTTACCCATAAGGGTCTGCTGGCGATCGATCTTAACAGGTTCGAGGATTCGAGACCTGGGTCGAGCAACGTCAGCTCCGCCGTGTCAAGTGCCAATGCTTCGGCGGTCAACTCTGGGGCTGAGGATAACAGCGAAATGAAGTTCCGTGCTAAGAAGAAGAAGAAGTTGACGCGTGCGCAAATGAAGGAACGAGAAGTCAGGCGCAGGCTACGACAGTAAGTGGAATCCTATAAACAGGTTGTTTTGAGCATGGCTAACTGATTGATTAGCATTGAATGGCTGAACAGCCCCAAGGGAACTCCCCACCCCCCTGATACCGACGACGAAGCATAGAGAGGTTTCAATACGTCCTTGGAACGAGGGCTGTGGTTAGACGGGTTTACGCATGACATATGATTGCATGGAGTCATGTTTCTTGACACGACCTAGAGCTCTTTGCACGAAGCATGCATAGTTGGATGGCAATGCAGAAATGTTGCACGAATCATAGAGACGGCGTTGGATTGGATTTGCGAGTTGATTCAGCAGATGATTTTCCGCACAAGATGCGTTGACTGCTTACGGTAGAGTGCGTTTGGTCGTTAGATTCAGTTATTAGACAAGGAAAGATTGGGATTGGCATTAGGGCGCCATAGCATATCCAGTTCGATACCAAAAGATGGCATTGGCCTTCATAGGTCGCCACATTCTCAGGTGTTGACTCGAGATCTTGTCTTCCAAGCTGGCCAGAGTAAACAGGGATAAAAAGTTGAGGGAGTCGAGAACGTTGATTATTCATTGCGTATTCAAACTCTTAAAGATGTCATATCATAAATAACCGTCTTTGTGATATTCAAACCTTGAGCACAGCTCTACCAGCCAATTTGCCAGCAACCATCAGATCGGTATATTTGTCGAGATCGGCCAGAGTGCCTTTTGTCAGGATGGGCTAGAGATATACGTCAGTAAGGATTCGATATTCTCGAACCAATCTATAAGACAAAGTAAGGATGAAAGAAAAAAGGGGATGAGTTCTCACATGAACCAAACCTCTCGCCGTGAAATCCAACGCCTCCTCAACATCCTTGAGAGTTCCCACAACACTACCTACGACATTAAGTCGTTTCATGCACAACATCACAGGCGGAGCACCAGCCACGACGGTAGGATCATGAGGCAAGCCCACGGCTACAACAGTTCCACCAGGACGAAGGAACCCCGGTGCCGTTGCATATGCTTCTTTGGTCGCCGCCGTCACCACCACGCCATGAGCACCGTATTTGGTGATTCGCGTCACTTCGGCTGCAATGTCGGATGTTTTGGTATAGTCGATGAATTCCTCGGCGCCGAGTTTCTTGCATAGTTCGCGCTTTTCATCACCGCCGTCGATGGCGATCACTCGCATGCCCTGCGTATGGTCGGGTCATTAGTTGGTTGATCATGGTATGGGTGATAAGATGGGGTATGGTGGTGTATTTCAGAATAATTAATAGGTTCTGTACTCACCATCGATTTCGCATACTGCACGGCGAAATGACCCAACCCGCCACCCGCACCGGGCAAGACCTATATGACAACAACATCAGTAGTTACTCAGGGAGGGGAAAGATTCAAGATCGAAAAACAAAACGTAACATACAATCCACTGTCCCGGCTTAACCGCACTTCTCTTACAAGCCACATAGGCCGTAACACCACCACACATGATAGGACCGGCCTCTTCGTCCGAAACCCCATCTGGAATACGAGTGGTATATCGACCATCACTGACAGCATACTGTTGGAAGGTTCCTGGCGCCGTAAACCCGGAATTTCTCTGGTTGGGACAATGTAGTTCGTCGGTTCCGTTGGTGCAGAACTCGCATTGTCCGCACGTGCTCCATACCCATTTGATGCCGGCGCGGTCACCGACTTTCCATTTATGATGCATATCGTCGCCGACGGCGACGATGACACCGGCGCCTTCGTGGCCCGCGATGCCTTCCGATTTGGGCGTCATCGAAATCCCAAAGCTCGACCATTCATCGCGAATAAGGGATTTATCAGATGCGCAGAGTCCGGTCCTGAAGGGGAAGAGAGTAGATGTTAGAATGTAAAAGGAAGGAGATGTGGTTTATGGTGAGGTAGTTGCTTGCTTTCAATAATGTAGCATATATAAATCACGATTAAGAATGGGAATGAGGAATAAAAACGAAAATAGGAATCTTCCAAACTGACCAGTTGATCTTGACCAGAACTTCCTGAGGACCTGGTGTCGGCACATCAATATCCTTTAATGGAGCCTTTGCATCTTTTCCCTGTCCTATCTTGACAGCCGCCTTTTGCTGTTTTGGGATATCTACTGTGGCCATCTTCGTAGTTTGTTGGTCAGGATAACCAAGGGATATGTTTTATAACAAGACACACAAAGACAATCAATGGCGATTCAAGCTCAAAAGATAGTAGAGCTATGTAAGTAAGTATCGAACGAATACTGATGTATTCTCCTCACTCAAGAATGAATCATCAAGACATGGGTCGATCAAGGCATTTTAAAACCCTCCCACACGCACTCCTAATCCCACACTCTCTCGTAAGTCTGTCCCTCGCTTCCACTCCTCACTCCTCACTCCTCGCTTTGCCATGTGCCCGAGGAGAAGAAAGCTCGGAACCTGCGCCCACGCTTGTCATCACCCCCGCACATTGATTCATCAACCACGACGTCGAACGTCGTCTCATGATCGTGGAGTCCAGGAACCAATCCACCCGTGCCACCCAATGTGCTAGTCTGCCCAGGTTTCCCCGCTTGTGAATCAACCTCATGCCCGGTGCCTTGGCTTTTCCACTCTCGCCTTCGTGAGTCGTGCATACTGGTTGGAGTCAAGACGCTACTGGTGGCATCCGAGTGGGTAGATCGCAACGGTCACCCGCGGCTAGGCATCACTGGCTTCCTCGGGCTCTCATAAACCCTACGGAGTTACATCAAAATATACCTCACACTTGCATCAGAGATTTGGTAGACGAGGAGCAGAGGATCGTACGACATAACGTGTGGAAACATTTCTTAACTTTGGTAATGTAGGCCACCTTGGTGAACCCCAATTCTGCATATGCCATGTCATTTCAACTCTGCTTTTTGCTTGCTGCTGTAGATACTTCTTTGAGCCCATGTTCCAGCCCTTGGCCTCGTCACATCCTTCCATCCCTAGCTATGCATCGTAAGCATCATCTGTCCACCCCGTTCTGAACCCGTCAGTCATCTTTCTGCCGCTGAGACCATCTTAGGCTCCATAGCATGTATTTTCTGCAAGAAAAATACAAGGAACTCCTCATAGCTGCCAAAAGAGTGTGAGCCATCTCGTCGTATCCATTCCTCAGCAATCTGATGCCGCCGCGTCGGTCAAACATTCTGTACTGTCTAACCCTCCTTGGAGATTGTTTGTATGCCACCTATTGCATAATTTCTGGCATAGATTTGCCCATCGTGGTCAGTTCATGACGGTGAATATCCTGGCCGAATCCGCCGTGAATTTTGTGATCATGTTCACCGTCACTGCCTTCAGCCTGGGATATTGCTTCAGTCAGGGGGTTCTTCGTGGCAACAAAAGGATCCTCAATGTCGGAAACAGATGGAAAGAAACTCAGGAAATTTGCAAATGGCGAGTCGGATGCGATCACGATTCCTTGAGTTTCGCGTAGAGGAGATCTCCATGTAAGGGGATTGGTGGCTCGAAGAACCGAGCCTGTTTCCTCCAGAGTCATTGCGCTCTCCTTCTCAGCTTCGGCAAATTGACCGATGTTGGCTGGACGGTACGCATTGTAAACATTGGGGTGTTGCATGGAAGGATGATGTTGTGGTTGTAGCCACCCAGCTGTAAGTGTCGAGAGCTGTGGGCGAGGACCACCCAAGAAAGATGACTGTGCACTGTACAACGGGTTGCGTTCGTGCATACTGGGAAGGCTCAGACCCCGACTGGGACTGCCATCGTTAAAGATTGCAAATTGAGAGGGTCGTCGACGACTCGAGGTGCTGGACAAGATCGGCTTGATGTCGAAATCTGTATCCTCCGTTGGGAGAAAGCGAGAGCCCACAGTCAAGGACTCGAGAGTCGATGAGCTTGGCAAGGAAGGCAATGGTGGCAGTCCGCTCAGGACCTGATCTGCCTTGCTGCGAGATACCCGAGATCTGTTGGTAGTCTTGCGTCTGACCAAGCGAGGGACGTTCTCGTCTTTGACCTCCAAAGGTTGTCTCTTCCGTGTCCTCACTGATTTTGCCTTGGGAACCGGAGTCTCTCCTTCGATCAGACTGCTGTCATCCTCGAGGTCATCGAGGTGACGTTCCTTCCGAAGCTCACCAGTCTCAGAGTAAACAGCTTCGGTTGGTTGTACCAGTGCTGATAATCTTTCCATCTTTCTCAGAACAGACCCATCTTTTTTCTGATTTCTCATGCGTTTCATGTCGTCAGTAGCAGCATCGAAGAGATCCATTCCAGGCCACACAGTCCCTTTGAGCTTGCTGTGCTCTGGAGTTCCGATGAATGAGTCGTCAGGTTCGGCAGGGGCATCTTCATCAGAAGGAATTCCAATCTCTTGATCGGTATCTCGATCAGTTGGGGTAGTCATTCGAGCACGCTTCTGCTTGCGTTTACTGCAAGATTAATTACCTGATTTTGCCATGTTGAGATGAAAATTCACTTACCCTGACCGTTTTTTCAAGCTAAAGTCGAGATCACTTTCACCCTCCTCCGTCTTTCGAGCTCTTGATCTTCTTGGCCGCTTACGTGCAACTCGTGGTGGCTTGCTGGTTCCAGCTTTGCCGGCAGAGTCGCGGGGATGCATCGCAGTTTTGCGTGGCGCTTGGGGGGTGATGGTTGCGCCACGTCTCATGGCTTCTGCCCTCCTGCCTGCTTGTTTTGCCTCTTTCATGACCATGCGTTCGGAAAGTAGTTGGCCCAATCCATTGTCTTGGTACCATTGGTTGTAGATGGCCAACTGAGCACCTGCAGCGATCTCTTGATGACTTCGAACTTGAAGCTTGTGCAGATGAGATAGATGACCCTTGGATCTAACATGGGTCAGGAGGTGGGATGTGTCACTGAACGAGGGTAACTTGGGGCAGATAGTGCAGGTAAGCCACGAAGGGAGGTCGGATTCCATGATGGTGATCGGAACCAATAAAACCAAAACGTCACAAGGAAGCAGCACTCAGGCTGATATGACCAAATTCCAGAAGGTGAAGCTCAGGAGTAAAGAAGGAGTAGGCAGGACCGCCTGCAACGTGAAAAGATAGAAGAGCTGTGCAGAGGAACGAGGTGCAAAGCCCGTGGAGGAGAGCATGAGCATGAGCAGTTGCACAACCGCTCGAGCCCAAGGAGCAAGAACACAGACGATGTGGGGAGTGCGGAATCTCACCAGAAGACCGAAGTGAGGCTTTGGAATGATAGAAGTTTGATCCAGGACGAGGAGAGAGCGATTCAAGTTTTCAAGATCGTGACTTCTGTCTTTTCAGGTTCGGGTGAGGCAGGCACGCGCACATGTGACGGCGCTGCTCAACACAACGATTACACATCCACGAAATCTTCACAACATTACCACCGAGTCCATGGCCGTCAAAAGATTCGTCATAGTCAACATTAGTTTGCAATGGGTTGGTGACAAGTTTGAATTCTCATCTTTATCAAATGTTCCACGATGCCTATGGTCCTTGACAAACAAGGAGTGTGATGTGATGAAGCGGAAATAGTACATCGTGGTGACTGGTCTTCTCTCGCCTTGTATCCCATCTTTCAATGAATGTCCAGTGGGTTATTAGATGGCGAGAGGTAGGTGCTATTTTAGCGCTTCGAGTTTGGTGGAAGTGCTTGTGTCACCACCTTTGGCATACAACTGGGATATCACTTCAGCCATGATTCTGGAGACTGGATGTTATGACTTACTAGACAGGATCAACTTCAGCAAGTCCAGGGTATCCCAAGAGACTCAAGCCCGCGACCCCAAAGTGAGTATGAAAGACGTCGACCATATCGCCAGGTCTATCAGCAATTCCTCCATGGTCCGTGTCCTGACATCGCAAAATGAACCTTGTCAACTGCTCCTTGTTGATCCAGTGGAGCCTTCCTATCATGGCAAGGCTACTGAGTACCCACCAGCTGTAACATACGTCTTCCAGCTTTTCAGGGCGACCATTTAATCCCCCACTTGGAAGTTGCCTCTCGCTCAACCACGCTGCTAACCTGTCAATATCGACAAGGTCGAGTCGACCTGCGATGCTTAAAGCACCAAGACCAGTAAAGGTTCCTCCGGCGTGAGATTCGGCGCCTGGGGTGAACCCAAACGCTCCATCCAGATTGAGACACGACTTCACGTGATTGATGGCTTTGTCAAGGTTGATCACGTGCATCGAGTCCAAAATCGACAGGGCATTCAAGGCTCCGTACAAGAAACGAGTGTCGGTTTCTCCCCACTCATCACCAGAGAAGGCTCCGGTGTCAGGGCTTTGGAGGCTCGCTAGGACTGAAACGCGTCGATGATCGAAGGTTAGATCAAGGTCGGAGGGTTTGCGGGAGTTGACGGGGTTGAGGCACTCACAGGTTGCAATCTTTTCCCTCCACCCTTTTCGCTCTCGATCCAGTTGCAACTGGGCATTGATGGTTGCAAGGATTTGGACTGCGCTTACCGTATACAACATGTGAGAGTCATGACCGGGTGCGGCGCCAAAGCCGCCGTCGACATTCTGGCAAGCGAGGACAAATTGCAAGGTCATGTCCGGTGGGAGTGCATCAGGTCTGCCTAGCAGATGGAGTGCCGTCAAGCCCCAGTAGACCCCGTTAAGCCGCAAGTGCTCAGTCAACCAGTAGTCCATTTCATCTTTCCTCTAACGGTAGATTAATAAACGCAGACGCAGTTTCACTCACAGAGGAGAACGCACGGAGTCCAAGCTCTGAATGTAGCGAACATGCTGGTCTACGGCCAAGCGAAGCTCGCTAGACAAGGCATCGTCTGTCGCATGTGAGCCGCCTATCCCTGGCCCGGCGACCAGAGCCATGAAACGGGTAAGATGGCGCAAGACACAACAGCCCTCTTCGGTTTGACAGACGAGGAGGTCGTGTGGTCGGCAAGGTTAATAGCGGCGACAACGACGCTGAATCACAGGTGAAGTTGCCTGAAGAAAATAATGAACGGGGAAAATTGGCTAGGCAGATTTGGAGAAGTCGGACTGGGATGAGCACGGATGAGTTATGTCTTGCAGTTTGGCAGGGATTGGTTGTGGAGGCGAGATTTTTGTGCGCCACTCGAATGGTGACACCATTGCCGCAGCATGAAACTCCAGAGCAGATGCCCCAGCCTGCCCATCTTTGTACGCAGATGGGCAACATAAATCCTTCGATTTCAAGGTGCCTAGGCAAGAACTATACATAGATATATGGGCCTTTAGGTGTGGCTCCTTTAGTAATTAAGGAGTACCTTAGCAAGTTCTGCATGATTCAATCTGCCTAGGACTGACCTCCATAAGCGAGTGTTTCCCCATAGCAAGGACTCAAGAAACAGGTCGTGACGATAACCATCGGTTTTCTGCATGACTACCTAGATAGCAGCATCTCACGAGGCTGATTCTTCATACTTCGTACACATGTACTACGAGTATCTAAGGAGGTAGCATCTCGAGGTCGGCTGCTGTCTGGAAACGCCACGTCTGAGTCGCTGTTCATTAAAAGTTATGTCCAGGCTATCTGCTCCTAGGTTCAATTGATTCTAGGTAGTATCAGCATCAGCATCAGGCCGTGACCGACCTGCAGGGGAGGAACAACAAAAGCCTACAGGCCAAGAGGTCACCTGAGGTCTTAGAATCTGACCATGACTCGGAAGGTTCTGGTGTGCTGCAGGCTCGAAACGCCGCTGACGGCTCCTCTAGCGCCCCAGGGCTACCAGGTCGCACCCCCCTTGGACATGAGATGTCCCTGAAGCCTAGAGCACTTCGACCATCAACGACCACCCCCATTAGCGTGGTCGCGGTCAGCACTCAGGAACAGCCGATGGGCGCAACGAATGGGTGAAACTCCGCCAAACAACACTTGCATTCCCAATCATGAAGACTAGGAGCAGAGCATGCCTCATGACATGGGTGCATTGGACTTCACAAGATTTACCGAAGCAGTGCCGCTGCATCTGAGGGTGAGCTGACACAATACCAGTACTGGGAGATTGTGCCAACGCCAATTGAAGCACCCATTGACAGCTCAAATCATCGAATTTTGCTCCCTGCACGTCGTTGGACTGTGCACCATAATCATCGTCCCTGTTGTCGTAGTGAGGTGCGATCTCCCCCACCTATGTATATACTCCGTAATCAGTATGCAAGCCTTCAGCTCGTGCCAGGGGCTGTGAGCAAGCGGACATTGACTAGCATCATAGATTCATCACACCGTAACATGTCTTGCAGACTTGTGCACTTGAAGGCTTGCCCCCATTGACTCCGCTTCCTTGCAGACGCAATTCATGATGGCGGTTAGTGCACGCTACTCATTGTTGGACCCCAGTCATCTTTCTCGACATGCAAATCTCGACCAATTACCAAGGGCCTGAACTCGAGCCTTGATGTTCAGTTTGGGACAACAAAGGCCAAAATAAAACATTTGAAGATAGCCTCCTCTCCAGTCCTACTACTGTTGCAGGATGTTGTCCTGTGCGCCTGTACTGCGATGATCTACGGCGCCAGCACTTTGCCAATGTCAAGTGTCATGTGCTTGAATCCATGGTCGACACTTGCTAATTTATCCCAGAGTACCTAAGGTACGTACTTTCGTTCTAGGACTTGTACAGTGTGAAGCCTGTTGTCCTCCAGTGCTTCATTATTACTTGGGCCGCCGCTAGGCAACATTGGGGGCACGTGCCTGCCACATGAGAACCACGTCGTACGTCGAGGGGTGCTTCAGTAGTATCTACACCACACAGTAGTAATTAGACCCATAGGTCAATTCTTTATGTAAATCTCTCGACCTGTGTAATCAGGCATCATGGTGGCCTGGGGCATCACACCTACCTATTATTGGTGACTTTTGGTCTTCTTAGAGGAACGTCGAAATCTTTACGGGCGCTGCAACGGGCTTGAGTTTATTAAGAGCCTCTCTGCATTGAAGAGGTCATGAGTAGGTATGAGTCCCCCTCGTCCCCCTTCACCGCCCGGCCCACTTGTCCTCCCTGGCCGCCGAAGAGCCCCACGGACCCCTTTGGACAGCGTGCGCCGCCCTTTCATTTTGGGGGCTCCTGACAAGTAGCTTACTCCGTAGGCACGCTGACCATTTGGTGTCGTTTAGTGCTACTGGACCTACCTACCTAAGGTACCTTAAGTTAGCACAAACTGCCGCCCGGGCTATTCGTACTCGCATCCAGGTACACTTCTTACTTAGAGCCTTCCTTTTGCTTACTTAGTCATCCCTAATTCCTCAGCTTCTCTCCTGTAGAATAAATTATCTGCAGCTGCAGTGTAGACGCAGACAGCCCCTCGGCCCTTTGTGTCCCCGTTTCTCTTCCCACATCCTCATCCCTGGTCCTCAATCCATCCATCCATCCTCCCTCCAGTAGATTTACCAAACTGCACCCTTTCCACCACCGACCTTTGCCAACGCACAATTTCCCAATCACAACACACCCATTCATCAATTATCAAGACCGCTATTACCACCTTGTTGGGTTCGGCCATTTGTTGCTTTGCTGACTTGCCTTGTGCTTCACAATCATTTGGAGCCCACATTTCTGTCACTCCTTGGCCTCGCCCGTCCCCTTCTTAGGCGCTTTCCCCTACTCCATCCGCTTCTGCCAACAAAGAGACACGATCTCGTCTCCCGGACGAGCACCTTACTTTGCACATACTTCCATTGTCTGATCTCGATCTCTTTCGGTCTTTCAGGACACACCGCAGAAAGAAAACCTACCGATCGCCCTGTACCTCGTCCACCTTGTCCCTCAACAGCCTCTATGAGGGTCCCAGCCGTGACCACTCTCTTGGGATATTGTGTACCTCGCTCTGCTTGGGCCGTTCGAGAATAGCCTCACGCGACTCCCCTTGCCTTTGAGGTGGAAAAATCAAGTCTGCTGGCTGCCTTCTCCCGCCCACACGATTCAAGTCGAGGAGGTCTGTTTTGACTGACCAACAGTCTGCAACAGGGCACGCCAATTTCCATCGCATGAATTGGTGATAGCCTTGCTGGGTCATAAAAGCAACAGAACATCACATCTTGCTTCCATCGGGACACGACTCCGGGCGGACACTCGCAGGACTCCGCTAGTCTGGTGCGAAGGCGTCTTTGTCCAACACACCGTCCCCGCCTTCTCACAGCCATCCCTCTGGATGACAGGACGCAAGAGTCGCAAACATGCCTAAAGCCTCGGCTTTGCCACACCTCAAATTGGATGCTGCTCAAATCAATGAAGATTTCAATCGCTTGACACCTGCCGCCCTAAGTCCCCGTTCCATTGGCTCTCCACATACACCAGGCTCGATACCGGGCAGCCCCTACCTCCAGCCTGCATCGGCTTCATCAAATATGCACCACCTACCTAACGCGCAGGATTCGCGGCATGATGCTTTCGCATCTGACCCTTCTTCCCCCCGCATCACCGCCATGCCTGAGTTCCCTCCGTCCCCCGGCCCTCCCCTGTCTCCTAAACATGGCCGAGAAACCTCAAAAGGGTTCTTTTCCAATCTCATCGCCTCCAAGTCGTCACACAAGCTTCATCCCTCCGAGGGTGCAATTCCAGAAGGCGTGGAAAAGACCAAGGCCCGGAGCAGGGCAAGTTCCAAGGACCGAGTCCTCCAAAGTGTCAAGCGACAAGGCTCTACTCCTGAACTTCCCCGCTATATAACTGCCAGTACTGTCTCCAACGATAGCCCTTCACCACTACTTACGGACAAGCCCACACCGCAACTACCCATTGAAACCGCTCAGACCAAGAAGAACAAGTCCAAGCTCGGAGGAATTCTGTCGAGAACCAAGACTCTGAAGTTGGATGATAGTCCTCCAAGGCAGAAGTCTATCGGTCCTGCTCACCTTCAACTTGAGAATGGCTCTCGCCCCCGTGAAAATCTCGAGCCTTCACCAAAGACTGCCCCGATCAGGCCAGATTTTCGCGACAAGGCCTTTGCTGACGATTTAGGCTCGTCCGCACGCAACCATTCTATGGATCGCCATGGAAGGGATGAGTCTGCTGCAAGAAGGGAGCGACAGGCCAGTGCCATGCCCACATCGCAGTCCTTTCGAGACGGATCGACCATGCAACTGTTTTCCAACATTGGGCAAACCGGGAAGGGCATGGGTGACAGACTTGGAAAGGCTGGAAAGGGGTTCTTGGGCAAGATCACTCGTAGCGGCAGCAGCAACGAGCGTGAGCACATTGCTGACGACAACTACACTTGCACCACCATCAATCTTCCCTTGATCAAGCAGACGCGCAAGACGAGAATAGCACGACGACTGGAAATGTCCAAAGACAAGACCGAATTCTGGATGCCAGCCTTGCCTTGGAGGTGTATTGAGTATGTGAGAGTCGAATTTCTGCTTTGAACATCCTGCTGACGTATGATCTAGTTACCTCAACATGAACGGCTGTGAAGAAGAGGGCTTATATCGAATTCCTGGCAGTGGAAAAGAGGTCAAGCATTGGCAGCGCCGTTTTGACAGTGAACTTGATATCAATCTTTTCGATGAACCAGACCTCTATGATATAAACACCATTGGATCAATGTTCAAATCCTGGCTCCGAGAACTGCCAGATGAAATCCTACCGAAGTCGGTACAAAACAAAGTCGCTACACAGTGTGCTGGTGCGACATCAGCGCCTCAATTGTTGAGGGATGAGCTTTCTCGGTTACCACCGTTTCACTATTACCTCTTGTTCGCCATCACCTGTCACTTGAGCCTCCTCAACAGTTATGCAGAGAAAAACAAGATGGACTATCGCAACCTCTGCATCTGCTTCCAACCCTGCCTGAAGATCGACGCTTTCTGCTTCCAATTCTTGGTCATGGATTGGAAGAATTGCTGGCAGGGTTGTTGGACCGAGAAAGAGTACCTGGAGGAGGAATACCGCTACGAAAGAGAAGGATCTGTTGGAGAGAGCGAAGATCTCGGGGTCGACGAACGGGCAATCTCATCGAGTGGCAGTAGCCAAAAGCAGCAAGCATCCATCCCACCCCGCAGTTCAGAGGCAGCCACGCAGAGGAAGTCTATGGCACCCAAATCCAAACAAAGGAGCCTCTCATCCGGCGGCAGTGCCAAAGATCGAGACAACCGTGCTCACAGTCCCACACAAAGCGTGCCGGTGGTGCCCATGCCTAGGCTGCTCACCCCCGAACCCCAAACGACGAGTACCATATTGGAGCAAAAGCTGCCAGAATTAACCGGTCTTTCCCCAATCCGGATGTGACCAAGCAATGGGAACACGTCGTTCCTTGTACAATGATACCCCTGAGATCAAGAGGAGGAATTCGATCAAAGTTTCGGAATGAGCAGAAGACAGACAGGTTTGGATGCCTAGGACCAATGTGTCCGATTTCTTTCAACCCCTGACACAAAGCGGCAGCAATGAGATTGTCGCTTTTTGGATATCATGGGTTCATATGTATTATCTAGTGGCCGGTCATTTCAAGATCCGCGCGGCATTGATGTTACCAACGCCATTTGAGTTCTGCGCTTTAGAAAAGGAGGTGGATCCTATCGAGTGGAAACCACGCCGATGGTTCTTTACTCGACCTGGATCGTGTATGAATAGAACGTTTTTCTTGTGATAGCGAGGAGTGGAAAGAGACCAAGCCATTACGAAATTGAAGGCCACCAGTTGCCTTGCCCAATTTTGAGCATTGTTCCTCTTGAGTTTGTTTCATAAAAGATTTTTGCATTCAGAGTGACATCGTAGTCGATGGATATGGAGCCCGGAATGCCATTGACTCATTCATTTACTATAACTTTGCTTTTCACAAACCCGAGTAAGGGCGGTCGTCATCCTGGCAGCTCCATAGACGTTGCCTTCCCCATTGATCAACGCCAACGCCAATACCAATGCAACTCCATGCAATGCTGGCCGAGAAGTCTTTTCTTTTCATCCGCATCATCTCCTCCCAGTCAAGTCAAGGCTCGCTCGACACAGGCTAGGCTTACCCAACCCAGCCCACTAAGCCTTTCCCTTTCTGGATTTACGATCATTATTCCTTTGCTTCCTTTCCTGGCGCTTGATATTCTCCTTCCTCTCCCTGCGAGATTCTCCTCTGATGGTTCGACCCTGACCACCAAACCCTTCCTTTTCTCTCTGAACAGCAGCATCGTCCAACTCGACCAACCACTGAGTTTCAGCATCTTTGTTCTTGCCCTTGTATCCCCATTTCTTGACCCATTCGCCTTTTTCCTCGTCATAGACCAGGTTTTTCCGTCGGTCTTCCAGCGACGCTCCTCCCTTGAGACTGCCTCCGAATTTCCCAATTCCCTTCTTGCGCGCAAACTTCTCCCATGTCGTTGGCGCCTTGGGTTTCGGTAAGGGTTTCCATCGGGGAAGCGGTTGGCTGGCGTGTGGTAGGTTCATTGTGAGTCCATCGGACGTAGATGTGATGGCGCATGTTGTTAAAAGGGTGGTGAGCAGTGACTGTGCGCCATCTCGCGCAATTTGTTGGAGGATCTGGTTCCGTTCGGTGAGGGATTGTGATAGTAGCGTTTTGCTGCTGGGTAATGGGTTGGGGTCGACGGCTGTGAGATAGCTGAGTTCATATGTATATGGACTTGGTTTTTCTACCGTTACCGGTCTAGAAATGGTATTGTTAGAATGGAGGAGCGGCTGCAAAGAGTGCGTGAAAACTGACAATCTTTCGACTTTGGACTTGTTCTGTGTTGAAACCACCGAGTCGGTCATTTTTGAGTCGGTGAGTGTGGCGGTGGCCATCCTGGAGGAATGATTGTTTTGAGTGCTTGGTAGATGTCCTCTGTGTAAACAGGACTCTTTTTCCCAGTTGAGAGGATAGTCTCCTAAACACCGTTTTGTCGTTCTGTCTGTTTGGTTTCGTCCGAGTTGCGAGTTCGAAGTGGGTGGAGGGCTCGAAACTTTTTGGTTCGCCGCCTGAAAGAAAAGAAAAATATGACGCCCTCCGATTGGGTTGTGAAGTGGAGAATCTTAGAACAGCAAGATTTCTCTTCCAACCATCGAAACCTACAGCTTGACATTATTATTTCTGCAATGAATTGGTACTGACGGAGATGTTACTGTGAACATCAGCTGCTTTCCTTTAGACTCAACTCGAGTTTGCCAACATCCCCAGTGCAGTCCCTCCACGGGGTCCGGCACAACACACACCGTCGGAAAATGTCTCTCTCCGTGTGCACGGAATGCCTCGCGCGACTTCGATTGTCCAGCAAACCCTCGATCCTTTCTCCTACGACAGCATTCGTCACCATCTCCCAGACCTCGTCGTTCCACAGCTCGGCTGCCCAACATGCCAGTATCATTAAGAAGAAAGCTCCTCCTCAGCTAAAAGGACCTCGAAGGTCTCAAGGAGTCAGGCTAAAGAAAAAGGCGCGAGAAAAGATCACTTTGCCAGCCGTTGGCGAGCGGAGAGCTTTACGACGTCGAATCATCATCTCCAACACCAATGCCCTCGAAGTCAAGGAGATGGAAGACCTGAGTGCTCAGAATGCTGTTCTCGACGAGTCCTCGAACCAGGTTTTGGGCCTGAGTGGCCCAATTCTGGATCAGTTACGAGATTGTGAGGCGTTCAAGAGAACGCAGAATTGGAACATGTTTCGACGACCTGCAACCTTGATCAGGTCCGAGACTCTGGATGTTGCTAGGACTATGGAGCAGGTGGCTCCTGGTCAGACTGCGAAACTTTTCCTCACTGGTGAAAGACAGTCGGGGAAAAGCATTCTCCTATTGCAGGCTATGTATCTGGCATTTTTGAAGGACTGGATAGTGATCAATATTCCCGAAGGTTAGTTGACGACACCACCACCACCGAATCCTACCGCAGCATGTGAGCTAACATTACCATTCCTCCTCCAGCGCAGGACTTTGTCAACAACACATCGGCCTATGGACCTCTACGATCACAAACGGCCGAAGGCGAGGAACAATCCAATGCCGAACAGCTCTATATCCAACCTGGACTTGCTAAAGCACTGCTCCATCGATTAGCCTATTCCAACGAAGCAGTATTGAAGTCATTGAAACTCAACCACAAACATGCTGGATTCCTGCGCGTCAAGCCAGCCAGCAGCATCAGCGACCTCGCTCTGATTGGAGCGCAGGAGCAAACCCTAGCTGTTCCTGTCTGGGAGGCTGTGTGGAAAGAACTCAACACTCCTGGCCAGAACCCACGACCACCTATCCTATTGACGGTCGACAGCGTCGACCACTGGATGGGACCGTCCAAGTATCGCAGCGCCGAGTTCGAAGTCATCCACGCCCAGCAATTCACGCTGGTGAAGCAATTGACCGAGCTATTCTTCTCGGAGAGTAAGACGCCCTTAGCCCATGGTGGGATGATGATGATGTCGACTTCGGGATCCAATAAACCTGGATTCCCTTCTTTCGCCATGTTGATTGAACAATTCCGCGCAAGAGACAAGGGTGTTGACCCTTCGTCCTCTGCTTTCCCTGTCCCGCAACCCTACAGCAAAACGGACACTAGGGTGACTGGTCTTTTCTCGAAGAATGCCGGTGTGCGTTTCATGGATGTCAATGGTAGTACCGTGTCGGAGAGCAAGGCGCTGTTGGAATATTTTGCTCGCAGTGGCTTGTTGCATCGAGGCGTGACGGATCATGTGGTCAATCAGCTTCGGGCTTTGAGTTCGGGTGGGGTCATGGGTGAGTTGGCCAGACTTGGACGAAGAGTTACGGCTTGAGCAATGTACGATTGAGAAGAGAAGTAGTAGTGTGTGTGTGTGTGTAAAAAGAGAGAAAGGACTCGCTGTCCAGTACCTCGCTGGGTGAGAATGGGAGTGACAGTTCGCTGTGAGTAGAAGGACTTTTGTACTACCTGTCTAAAAAGATCGCAGAGGACAGCAGGGCGAGCATAAATCTCTACAACAGCATGTATTGCATATGTATATGTTTCATCACAAATGGAGAACTGCGTAGAGGATGAATCCTGGGTAGATGTGAAGTACTGGATCCGATATTGAAAGCTGTAGACACGTGCCACAAGGAACCTATATTTATGTGAGCTGGTCTTTAGCTCCCTGTAATAGACATTGTACCCAGCATTTGGGATACTGGCAGTAGGTTCTCGTAGATGGGATACATTATATATCTACCCTTGAACTAATGCGACTGTGCTACGCATGAATCAATGTTTTTCACATTTAAAAGATTGCCAGGGCGTTCGGTGGGCTCCCAACGCCTCCTGGGACATTGAGTGGGACACTGGTGAGCAAGAAGCTATATCGTCCAATCTTCTTGCAGTGAGCTCCCAGGGCCTTGAGGTCCCAAAGTTCACCGATGTTCAGTCCGAACAGAGACAAGAAATACTGATGGAGCACTGTGATTGGGTATTAGCAAGAAGATGGGTGAATGATTTGGAGACGCAAGTGTAGTAAATGAATATCACATACCTAGCTCACCAATCCCAGCCTTGGTTCCATCAGGTCTAGACGGCGGTGTCACCTCAAAGGCGATTGCGTCACCAGCGACGGCGGCGAAATGATGATTCCAGAACCATTTTGCGGCGGCTTCGTTGCCCTCCACGCCAATGGATGAATGGGTGCCAATCATCTTTTCCTGCTCCTCTGCAGTACCCGCACCTAGGTCTTCTGTAAAGCCAGACCTAATGATCAAGATGTCGCCGTGTTTGAGCTCGGTTCCCTGGTGGGCAGCGATGGCCTCGAGATCTTTGATTGTGATGGCATGGGCGGAGAAACAGTCATATTTGATCCCTTTGGCTTCTGCGTAGGCCCGATAATCGAGGAGGACTCCACGACCGACCAACCCGCCACGATCGTGCCAATGGTTGAGAGTTGGAAGGGTCTTTTCGACATCAACATTGCCGAAGGATTGAACGAGATCTTGTTTTTCGGGCTTGGCTCCGTTGTAATTGAGGCCGGTAGGTTGATGAGCAAAGTGGACGAGAGAGTCCCACTGTGAAGAACATTGAGTGTTGAATTCAATCTCGTCGTCGTAGCCATGAATGTCATAAGGGCTGTCTTTGAAGGAGAGGACCTTATGTTCAAGACCCTTGCGAAGAAAGCCCGGTTTTTGAATGGCACCGATGGGCCAGTTGAGCGAGACGGAGACGCCGTCACGAGCCTCTTTGAAGGCTTGCTGAACGACCTTTGGTGTCAAGAGGTTCAAGCAGCCAAGATGATCCTTCTTACCATCCTTGTCGAACAGACCCCACGCACAGCCCTGGGGCATGTCCTTTACCTTGGGGAGGCTATCAAAATCTGGAAGGTTGGTGTAGTCCGACATGATGACCTTGCAGTTGTATTCGAATTGGTTGCAAACGTTAAGTGTTTTTTCAATTTGTACACAAGGGATCGCTCAAAACGGTGCTGAACCTGAGCAGGGGAAATGGAGAAGACTCCAGAGTGGGCAACGCACTCGGGGAGGTTTCCCCAGGTTTATGAATTCGGCCGAGCTCCCAGGCGCTATGATAGTAAAGCATTCTTTTGATTGCCATCGTTGGCTCCGGTGGACATGAACCAGACTCGAGTCAAGCGGGGCATCAATGCCAGTATCAGGCGTTGACGATGTAGCCCCTCTTGGAGGCTGTTGGAGGGGAGGGTAGGATTTTGTCATATCCTCGGATAAGTGCTCCAAATGGTTGGGTTGGGTGGAGTTGGAGCCATTACTCCGTAACAGTAGGGGAACCGATGGCTTCTAAGAAAGATTGTAAGCGAGCGTTGGCGACCAAGTAAGATCGGGAATTGATTTCCGAGTGGACCAAGGCTCGACTACATGGAGCATGGATGACAATGCTCGAGGCTGTAGTCTATGCGTAGTTGTAGCAGAGGTGAACTGTGATGAATGAATATCTTGAGTTGGTCGTTCTGAGATTGCGCAGTTTCTAATTACCTACGCAGGCAAGAACGCGGGGTAATGGTCACCCTTTCCCCGTATCTCATGATAAAGTTGGGGGAACGAGAGCCCGAGGGCCTCCTTTCTGACTCAGTGGCTTGCTGATGACACTGGCGGCCATAGGGGAGATCGTTCAGCATGCTTGAGTGTATATTACTAAGCCATAACTTCTTGCCCCCCCACCAAATGTGGTTCGCCGCGATTTATGTCAACCACATAGAAATTCATATTGCATAGCCAATAAAAGGCGGATTTTTATCTAGTTTATCTCCTTTTGTAGGGCACTCTCTTAGCTATCTAGTAATACTAGTTCTATACGGTAAACTAGCCTTTAATAGCGTGTATACCAGCCGGATGCCGCTCTCACCGCATTTACTCGCGTACACATTAACCTGACTGTCTCGTCAATTAGCGACTGTTCTAGGGCATCAAATTCCTCGACAATAGTGCGGGCGAATGCGTCAAGGGCGGCCTGAGACTATCCTAGTTCGCGCATTGCTGGATATCGCTCCGTCAGTAGAAGCTTTTACTGAACCGCACCGTTCAAGAGCCCAAGTTTCCGCGCTCCCAGCAAACGCTTATAGGGAGCATCAGACTTGGTCAGTATTACCCAGCTACCAAGCAATGGGTTTGGGAACACGAGGCTCAGTCGCGGTCTCCGCGCTTGGGCTTGGCACACAGTGGCATGTCGGGAAGGACCTGAGATTCTGTAAATACATATTGTACTCACATGACACCATCGAGGACTGAGCAATCCCATTAATTGTGAATTGATGGTCATTTGCATACTACTCGTACGCACGAGTATACAATGCAGAATCCTTAAGCGAGGCAACTGCCCTTTTCAATTTGAGAGGCACGAATTTTAATTTTCTGAGAGCGACAGGACTGTTGTAGGCACCGAGTGGTTAACACGGAGGTTTACCCAACAGGCATGTCTGGCCGGGCATGCTGGCTGCAACTCGAATGATGCTCTGCACAGCCTCTAACTGGAAAAATAAGTTGTTCACAGTGAAAGCGCAAGGCTGGGCAGGCCCGTGAGGCTAACTGAGAGCGGAAATCCCCAAGACTCCAGGGGACTTGAGTCACCGAACCCAATCAACCAAAGGCCCCGAAAGGACGTAAAATGCGAGAAGCCGCGTAAGGAGGGGAGACACAGACCCCGGCCAGTGGCGGCCAGTGGTGGCCAGTAACAAGTGGCCACGATGAGTTACACTGCAAACAGACCCTGATTGCTTATTTTGGCAATGAAACATGCCAGTCACTGCGATGAATTTCAAGCCGCATCGTGCCTGAGTCTTTTCAAGAGGAACACAGGCTATGGCCTATCTGGAGCCCCCCTTTAGCTCCTCCAGTCCACTCGGCCAGTGGCTCAGATCTAGCCAAGCTCACCCTTGCCGCCTAACCATCCCCTATTAGGCTAAACCAATCATGCCCAAGCCCCCCATGCTCTCATCCTTACGCTGGTTCAGCTCTAAGCCTCTACGAAGTAGTGAGAAGGATTGTGTGTGAGACTGTGAGTTTGTCCTCAGTGTGTGTCTTCCTCTCCGCTTGCAGAAGCCAGGCACGCGACTCTTAAGTAAACTTCGTCACTTTGTCACTTGTGCAGTTCCTCCCTTGTACAGCGGATGCTTGTCGTGGTTGCCCAAGTTGCCAATGTGTTTCTTGGGATTCCGGCCTTGCAGTAGTAAACATCATTTTACCACTCTTTGACCTCCATCTTACATCCACCTCAACATCCATCACATTACACCCTCATCACTCTATCAATACCCATCAATGCGTCTGTGATTCTCTCTTCTTCTTCCGATATTTCCTGCTCCCTCCCTCAAACCGGCCTTCAGCTGTCGTCGTGACATCTGGGTCATCCCAAAATGGAGAGCTTCGTAAATCGCTTAGACCCTGTGCTTCAGGCAAGGGGTTTGGCGCCTAAAGGAGGGAGAATCCGAACCAGAGCCATTATATCGTATGTCTCAATACCCAATTCGACTTGTCGGAATTTTTATATCCAATCTACTAACTGCCCTCCAGTTACGTGATCGACTACCTAATCATCATGTAAGTCCAACATCAAAAACCCAATATCCAACATCCTCGTGCCCTTGGACACCTTCAGCTGACACGGCGTCTCCAATAGAGCCTTGGCAGTCGTCTACGCCATTCTCGATGTCATCGTCACCCCATTTTCACAGCCATTTTCCCTCAACAATGCTTCGTTACAGTATCCCTACGCAGACCCAGAGCGTATCCCAATATGGATGGCTCTAGTGATTTCAGGCGTATTTCCCGGCATCACCATCGCCGTTTACACTCTCTTCCTTGATGGGTTATTCTCCCATCACCGCCGTACTACTCGGACTAGATCCAAATATACCTTCTGGGATCGTCTCTGGGAGCTTAACTGCGGCTGGCTTGGTCTCCTTCTCGCTCAAGGTACCGCCTTTGTCGTAACCGGCTCGCTCAAGAACCTCATTGGCAAGCCTCGACCTGATATCATCGCTCGTTGTAAACCAGACCAGGAATTGGTGAACGCTCTCGCCCAATTTACTTTGGCCACCAAGGCCCTTTGCACAGAGACAGACAGTCATATCATGCAGGATGGTTTCCGCTCCTTCCCCTCTGGACACTCCTCCAGCAGTTTCGCCGGTCTTTTCTACCTATCTCTGTACCTCGCCGCCAAGCTCCATGTCTTGGATCAAAAGGGAGAGGTTTGGAGGACTTTCATCGTCCTAATCCCCACTCTGGCCGCCGCATGCGTTGCTGGCTCACGCATCATGGACGCACGCCATCACCCATTCGACGTCATCTTTGGCTCTGCTCTTGGTATTTTGTGCGCCTGGGGCAGCTATCGTCAATACTTTCCACCCGTCAGCCACGTCTGGGAGAAGGGTCGAGCATATCCCATGCGCCAATGGGGTGCACCAGTACGGAGACCCGTTCCGGGCAAGGTCCTGGTCGATAGCGAGACCCTGGAAGTCCTCGATGATCGTGTGCCCCCCAGCGACGACCAGATGGACGAGTCACGCTATGAGCTCAACTACAACCCCAATCTATCCAATATGCCCCGTAGTGGCAAACAAGAGTATCCTGCTACGTATCCGAGTCGCTCCGATGTCGATCTTGAGACCGGTTATCCGTCACAGACCACCTCTCGGTCGGATACTTTTGCCTCGGTCATGGCACCACAACCTTTGAACCCGTCAAGTACGGGGAACATGTTTCGAGATCAAGTAGAACAGAATCGACGTGTCAGGGCCCCCATATCTGGAGCCAGCCCTGAGCGAGGCGATACTGAACACGAGCCACTACAAAGAGGTCGGATTTAGCCCGGCATTTTCACGCCGGTGCAAATCAGGTCAATATCCGGCATCGCCTGTGTACAAGATGCAGCAAAATCATTTGTGAATACCACGAGGCCTGCTAATCTCGACCTCAAGTCTCCTCTCGGATAGGGCCGGCAGAGACATGAGCGTCGAGCGGGTCTTTACCACGACATGTGAGAGACGAATTGGGGCTTTGCGTAAACGGGCGTTTTTTGGGTCAAACGGGAACAGGATGTTTAGGAAACGTGCCAAAAGTTTCACCTGGACAGGAACTTGATGTCTCATAGAATCATATCATATCTGATGTGGCGTTCTTGATTTTCTTTCTAAACACCATTTCCCTTCAGGCAGGTCGATGGAAAAATATAATTTCAATCAATCTCAAGGCCAGGGCATGTTACGATTTTTCTCAACGCCCCCTGTGCTGGTCGAAGCCATTCCAATAGTAATCATCCAGCCTCACTCCTAAGCACTCACAAAAAGAACACACAACATTGCTTCTGTACCTGAATGGTCGAGAGTCTACTGTATTTCGTGGCATGTCGCCCGACAGGCCTCACTGTTCCGTGCCTTCTAATTGCTCATGTCATCATCATCACTATCCCCAGCCTCGATCCACACCAAACGAGTGCCGTTGTTTGCAACCTGCCAAACCTGTGATGACATTTGTGTTAGCGACCAATTCGAGCAAGAAGACAAAACAATAAATGGGGTACTGGGGTACTGGGGTACTTACGTCCAACAAGGCATACTCTTCAATAGTTCTCGTGAACTGATCGCTCGTGAAACCCTTGGCTTGGACCAACTCACGAACCCGCGAGAGGTTCAATTCACCTCTAGGGCCACCAGATCCGATACTTGCGGCACCAGACTCGCGCATTCCGCGAACCAGATCATAGATCCTCGATGACACAGTCTGGTCTCCACCGTTCCGCTGGTCGTTATACAGACTGGCCTTGGAGACTTCGATCAGACGCAGTGCTTCATCGACATCTTCATTGACCACTTCATTGCTGAAGCGGAGTCTGGCTAGAGCCTGCGACAGACGCAGTACGCCTAGTAGTGTTCGCGGTGACGTGTGTGTAAAGTGCTTCTTGCCGCCTTCGTCGCGCTTTTGTTGTTGTCGCATCCGCACGTACGCGCCGACCATGTACTCAGACACGCTCTTGGGAACATTGGGTCGGAATGTCCGTGCCTGTGCAATGTATTGACGGACTTCTTCTGGTGCGAAGATCACCCCGTCGCCTTCTCGTTCAGGATGGCTGTTATGCATGTGAACGTAGCAGACGTGGTTGGCTAATTCCTCATCTGACTCTCGTGACGGAGTGTCGAGGATGAGGAACAGGACGTCGAATCGGGACAGAAGAGCGGCTGGGAGATTGATGTTGTCCACGGGCGAAATCCGAGGGTTGTATCGACCGTACAGAGGGTTAGCTGCCGCTAGGATGGAAGTTCTAGCATTCAGAGTGGTGGTGATGCCGGCTTTGGAAATGCTGATTGTCTGCTGTTCCATTACTTCGTGAATCGCCGTTCGGTCACCATCGTCCATCTTGTCGAATTCATCGATACAGCAGATACCATTATCGGCCAATACCAATGCACCGCCTTCCAGTACCATTTCATCAGTGACAGGGTCCCTCATCACGGCTGCAGTCAGACCGACACCACTGGAACCTCGACCTGTGGTGTACACTCCTCGAGGGGCCACTTTGGTGATGTATTTGAGAAGTTGCGATTTGGCCACACCGGGATCACCCATCAAGCAGATGTTGATATCGCCACGAATCCGCATACCATCGCCCATTTCTTTGGTTACACCTCCAATCAACAGGAGAAGCAGTGCTTTCTTCACATCGAGGTGCCCGTAAATTTCAGGAGCGATCGACTTGGCCAGATACTCGTACATATGTCCGGAAGCTTTGTGTGACTCGATTCGTCGAATCACGCGGGGATCCATCTTGAGATTCTGGTATGCTTTTTTGTGTTGGGTGATGTGTTGAGCTTCAAGGTATGTATCTGTGAGCAAACCTGCTCGAATGGCTCGAAAGCCGGTGTATGGTGTGGGAAGGAAGATGCCGTCAATCTCAATGACATCTCCAGGATTGACTTGTCTTGTTAGAGAACCGTTGCAGTGAACGGTTAATGTCCTGGGAATATGTCCCACTGGCACTTGGTCTGCCATCTCCTGGATTTTGACTTCTTGGAAAGGCAAGAATTTGGACGCTCTGGTCGAAGGAAACAGTTGGCCTCTGGAGTTGTTGGCCGTGCAGTCCTCCGACGGACATACTTGCATCGGAGTGAACTGCTTCGATGTTACAGGTTGGAAGATCTCACAACCACAACGATCGCACGTGTATGCTTGGATCCGTATGCTTGGCTTGACATCAGAAACTCGCGTTGTGATGCCTCGCACGGTGATGAGTCTTCCTAGATGCTCTCCGCGAACTTGTCGCACAGCAAGTGTCTTTTTGGCAGCTTCTCCAGCCGTAGGAGTAAGAGGTTTGAAGTTCAAGGTGTATCTTCTTGTCAACTCAGGAGGAAATGTGGACACAGGAACCGCTGCATCGGGGTCTGCCTCTCTAGCAGAGTCGACTGTTTCGTTCCTTCGTGCTCTTTGCGCAAGGATGATATCTACCACGTCATCTTTGAAACTATCTGCAAGTCAGCAAAGTCGAACAAAGCGCGCATGATAGCTCAGTCATTGACTTACCTGATCTCCTTGCTCGGCTTTGGCATTGCTTTGTCAACGGCGTCCGCGAAAAGGTCGATGTAGTGCTTAGTATTTTTGGTGATGGACTCAACCAATTTCAAATTCTGTTCGTCACCAAGTGTATCTTCGAACTGGGGATTCTGTTAGCAAATCTCGCTAACAGTCCAAGAGCTAAGCTCACCTCCTTCAGGTCGTCAAGTTCTACGAGGATGTTGGAGCATTCGCGATTGGCAACATCCTGCAGCATGTCGCGATATTTTCTCTTCTTCTGTCGCCGTGTGGTCGTATCGTCGCCATTTGCAACATCGTCCATGAAGTCATATTCATCGCTAGTGTGATCTGCGTCTAGGTTGAGGTTGTCAATGGCCTCAGCGGCCAAATCTTCTGAGGTTTTGGATGTTTCAAACTTGTCGAGAAACTCTTCAAACGCAGCGACTTGCTTCGCGTAGTCGGCAAGCGACTTGTGTTGTAACAGCGCCATGTTGCCGGGGAATTTGTCAGAGGTAGATCAAAGGTGTGAGGTCCGATGAGGGAGTGATGGTGATGGCCAGCTTAAAGGATATGAAATGAGATACTTTTGTGAGCACGGGTACCAGGGGGCTGGTGGCTCGCCTGCGGTCTGTGGGACGCGGAGGAGAACGCGTTGTACACGCGACGCGTAAAGTGATTTCTCCGGTGAAGCAGTTGGGTTACATGTGTCGTCTAAATGCTTCGAGAAACCTGTTTTCTCACGTGACCAATTTGCCCAACACACATGCCGAGGTCCGCAAGGATCGGGAAAGAGCAGAGTGGCCAAACAAGACCTCTACCAGTCGCCTCAATTTTCGTCAATATCGATCAATTCAAAGTCCACGACATCAGGACAGAGGCGTCTTTCTCGCGCGCTACTATACAGCAATAACCTTGTCATCTCGACTGACGTGTGTGGATGAAATGTCCTTGTGAGGCCCATACTTAGCTCTTGATAACGAAGGTCGTCGGCTGTCAACGAACGCAAGTCACGCTTCCATCAGGATGGCACCAGCCGTGCGCGCAGAGGTGGCCTTGGTCTCCCTGAAAAATTGCTTGGTCAATCTCCCTCCTGGCCTGATAGCCTTGATCAGCAACACCAATATTGTAAGACTTCCTTTGACTACTGCTCAACCCCTCATCCCCGCTGACCCTATTGTAGCCAGCTCAAAATGTCGTCGTTGAGTTACAATACAAATCAGCGACATTATCATCTGGGGCTGTGTCAAGTGGAAATGCTGCCGGCTTCCAAAGATCCGCCTATGTTGGATGGACTGGCATGCCTAGCAGGACTCGCCCAGGTTCTCTTATCAACAATGACCGCGCAAGGTCAGGCCGAGAACAAGAAACTCAAATGGTTGAAATCGACGCCACCTTCGCAAAGCTGCTTGGGCTCTCTGAGGGTCAGAAGATTGGACTTTTGATTCATCTGGATCCTCCTATTGCTCACAGCATAAACATCGAGCCTGTCACTCCGGCCGACTGGGAGGCTATCGAACTCCACGCTACGTTTCTGGAACTGAATCTGCTTTCTCAAATTCGAGCCCTGCCGAATCCTTCTTACAGCAACAAGTCAGCCACTCAAGCTGAAACAATGCATCCACTGACTCTCCATCTTTCGCCAACGTCCACTGCGAACATTATCGTCACCTCTCTCGCACCACCAGTTGCAAGCACATCGCCGTTTGCCAAGATCGCACCCGACGCAGAAGTGATTGTGGCTCCAAAAACCCGAGCTAGGGTAAATCGAAGCAACAGAGGTGATTCGAGGAGCATCGCAAGCAGGCGCAGTGGCAAGAGCGGCGTCAGCACCGCGCGTGGTTCGTCAAAAAGAATTGTCAAGTCTGCCTTGTTCTTGAGATCCTTCGATCGATCAGTCGCTAACACGTTTTTCGATGATACCTCTGATGCTGTACTGAACAACAAGCTTACAATCTGGTTATCTCCTGAAGTTGCCGAGTCTGAGAGCTTGAAAGGAACTGCCTGGGCAAATGTCACGATAGTCAGACCATCCGGCCTCCGGGCTCAATTGGAGCAAAACCATGTTAATCAGCTCAAGGAAGAGGAGAACAGCGAGGTGGGCCGACCTGCAACAAAAATTGTGGCTAGAGTTATGCCCTGGCAGAACCCCCTCGACAATAATCATGTTGTACTGTCTTCGACAATGTGTCAGATGCTGGGTATCGAGGGACAAGTGGGCGTTATCGTCCGAGTTGAAGCAGCTTCTCCTCCACTTTCTCGATACTCGGTCAAGAAATTCCACTTTTACCCATTCTTGCCGCTCAATCAGAAAAAGAAAGAAGGGATCAAACTTGGAGGTGACAAGGCAGCCAAACAAGCAGTTATCGACAAGCTGCGCCTGGTTTTCACCGGCGACGATGGATTGTTGTCTGGACCTATCACTGATGGCATGGTGTTGCCAGCATCAGGAGAACCATCACTTGCAACATCTTTCGATGGCGGGATCATTCGATTCCGACGCCCGGCTGATCAAACCGAGGAACCCAAAGACTCATGCCTCTGGGTTCTGGGACAAGAGCAAGAGCCCGAATTCGACATCAAAGACGAAGTCCCACGGCCCGTTGAACTCACCACACTGTTTCCGAGCTTTGCACATGATGTACCATCGAAAATTCCAAAATTGATTGGCATTGACAAGATCCTCAAGCAATGCATGTCCACCTTGACATTGTGCTCCTCGGTGCTCCTAACTGGTGGCATTGGTTCTGGGAAAACATCACTTGCTCAACGCATATCTCAACAACTCCGGGAAGATTATGTTTTCAACGTGACTTTCTTCTCTTGCCAGAAGCTTGTGACAGATGAAATCCGAGTGTCGACCATCAAAGAGACCCTGACCAGACTATTCATGTCGGCGTCATGGTGTGCCAGACTGGGTGGGCAAGCAGTGGTTGTGCTCGACGATCTGGACAAGATCTGTCCTGTGGAGACAGAACTACAAGTCGGCAATGACAACGGCCGGAGCCGTCAAATCACCGAGATTCTCTGCTCCATCATCCGACAATATTGCAGTATTCATTCTGGAGTGGCTCTCCTTGCGACTGCACAGTCCAAAGATGCCCTCAATTCTATCATCATTGGAGGACACGTCATTGGAGACATTGTTGCTATTAAAGCGCCAACCAAGGAAATCAGACGAGATGTTCTCGATGCTCTCACCAGTGACGGGGCGGCTTCTGCCCGGAACGGCACCCATACCAGAAACACCAGCGATGCACAAAGCATTTCCGAGAGCTCATGGATGGATCCGTCCAGCTTTTCATCGAGACCTGGCTCATCGGCATCAACTCACCCTGTAGAGGGCTTCCGGGTCTCGTCAAGCCTTGATCTACTCGACATTGCCGGAAAGACTGATGGCTATATGCCAGCTGATTTGGTTCTTCTCGTGGCTCGCGCAAGGAACGAGACTCTTACTCGAATGCTGTCTGAAAGCGATGCTTCCGACGCAGCTCCCACTCTGACCAAGGTTGATTTTGACTCGGCACTTGCCAGCTTCACACCGGCTTCTCTGCGGAACGTCACGTTGACGCACTCGACCACCACCTTCTCGTCCATCGGTGGTCTGCACGAGACGCGCAACACTCTCCTTGAAACGCTACTTTATCCAACAAAGTATGCGCCTATTTTCGCCCGGTCCCCTCTTCGATTACGGTCCGGTCTACTCCTCTATGGATTTCCCGGCTGTGGCAAGACTTTATTGGCTTCGGCTGTTGCTGGCGAATGCAATCTCAACTTCATATCCGTCAAGGGCCCCGAAATCCTCAATAAATACATCGGTGCATCTGAAAAGTCGGTGCGTGATCTATTTGAGCGTGCACAGGCCGCGAAGCCTTGTGTTCTCTTTTTCGACGAGTTCGACAGCATTGCGCCGAAACGAGGGCATGACAGCACGGGTGTGACGGACCGAGTGGTCAATCAAATGCTGACGCAAATGGATGGTGCTGAAGGCCTTGATGGCGTCTATGTGCTTGCGGCTACGTCTCGACCCGACCTGATTGACCCTGCGCTCCTACGTCCCGGTCGTCTTGACAAGTCATTGTTGTGTGACATGCCTGATGCGGATGATCGACTCGACATTTTGCGGGCAGTGAGCTCCAAACTCGAGTTGACTGCCGAGGTTGAAAACCGTCTTCTCACGGTTGCGCAACGCACCGATGGATTCAGCGGTGCAGATCTTCAAGCTTTGATGTACAATGCCCATCTAGAAGCCATTCATGACCTCCTCGGCGATCTCACCAAAAATACAAACGGCAAGGACAAGTCGAAGGGATTGTCCAACGGAGTCAAGGAGAAGGATTCCACTTCTGGCAGTCGAAGACGCAAACGACCCGCTGGTGATAAGAACGATTTCATTCAATTTCTCTATTCCGCCGAGGAAGATGCACGGGCCAAAAAGGTCTTGACTTCATCGGCCATGGACAGCAAAGCTGCAGTTGCTGCTAAGATTGAGGAGTTGAAACTGTCACGAAAGCGTGAGAAAGCCATGCTTCGTGGTAATTACGCCAATGGTTCTCTGGGAGGACCCAACAGTGACGGCCTCAGAGAGGATGGCACGGAGCAAAAGGACCAAGGGGACGAGAAAGAGCACGTGTTGATTGAATGGAGGCACGTGGAAAAGAGTCTGGCTAGCACAAGAAGCTCGATCTCGTCTGAAGAGAGAAAGAGGCTGGCAGCTATCTATAGAGAGTTTGTTGTGGGCAGGAACGGAGAAATGCCAAATGGACAAGGTGGCACTGAAATCGGTGGAAGGACGAGTTTGATGTAGATAGGTAGTTAGGCCATCTGGTTTGGCTTCAATTCGAAATATGCCTGTATATGAAAATATGTGCGATACGGGGCTGTACCCCATTCAGAGTTCCCACGAAGCCCAAGAGCAAGGGAATAGGTTCTCTGATCCAAAGGTGTTCGCTCACACAGGGACCGACGCATGTATTGATCATGCCTATATACAGACCAGTGACACACCAAGGATGGACAGGACAATAATTCGTCATAAGATGAAAGCGAGTGAGTCAAGATTCTTCGTTCAATTCTGCCTGGAAGGACATGGAAATCTTCATATCCGTAATTCATGCCAAGGTACAGCAATCTCCCGCGTCCATGATCCGTAGCCCTTCCATAGGGCACGATTAAGATCAAGGAGTAGTGAGGTCATAATGATAAGCAAGTCGCAAGCAATATTAAAGCAACAACCGTGAGTATCCGGCCGGGTCACTTTGAGCTGGCGCGACCAATGGCGAAGACGCCAACGATCACAACGGCAAGAGTGACTATGGCTCCGGGGAGGAGAAGATCATTGGGAACCCCTTGAATGATTTGCTCCTGCTGGTGTCCATGTCTTGTTGCAAAAGCTTGTTGCTTCTTTGATCTGATGGTTCTGACACGGGATGTCTCCTCCTCTTCATCCTCGTCGCTGTCGGGCAGGGAGGTTGCGTGAGGCTCCTTAGCCACAGATTCTGGAGGGGTGGGAGGTTTCGACAATTGTGGTCTTGGATCAACGGTAGCGGCGATTGGTGGTTGAGCTGGATCATGTACGAAGAGGTCGACCTTTTCTCGCTTGCCCTGACGAGCGAGAAGGATTGCATCTAAAAGATCCTGATCGGTCGTGATTGAAACTGTGTCGCCTTCATCATCCATGTAGCTGAGAGCATATCCAGCCTTACCCAGTTTACCATTTTCGACGACAACCTCGCCCCCGACGGCTTCAATCTCAGCGCCAAGTTTTGCGCTGACGTTGTTAACGAGCTCTTGAATTCCATTGTTGGCAATCACTTGAATTCTGTGCACCCGGCCGCTTGGTGCCTTGAATTTGAATGGGAACGGCGTCTGTTCGGGCGGTTCAATCGAGGGAAGAACCTCAGAGTGAGCATCATCACCGCGATGAGAGGCTGAATCATGGGGCATGACACTGTCACCCCTGTCGACGCTGGGCCGTACAGACTCGGTGTCCAAAACAGATCTATGCCCAGGGGTGGTTGGACGAAGGCTACCCTCTCCGGACATAACGGATTCGGTGTCGTTGTCCATGGATAACCAGAACTTATTCCAAGCCGGGCCTTCAGACTCCCCAGTGTTCATGGTGTTGATTTGTTCTAGGGTCGCATAGGTCAACTTGAGGACATCGACCATTCCAACAATTTCGCCAGTCTCGTTCATCACAGGCAAGTTTAGATAGTGGCCATCTATTCATTTCTGTTAGTATCAATAGAGTTGATAGAGCCTGAGGACCTACCATGCATCTTTCGCAGTGCGGCTTGAATGCTCATGTCCGAAGGAGCGAAATCGGGATGAGGAGTCATGACTCGGACGACACTGCAGTTCGAAGGATCAAGTCCGGGGGCAATCACGCGGAGGACGACATCCTTGCTGGTGAAAATGCCAGTGATAGAGCCCTGATCTTGGACTAGAACTGCAGTTGTGTGGTTCTCCTTCATCAGCTGGGCTGCCTCTTTCACCGATGTTCTGACTGACACAGTGGTTGGGGGAAGGCCATTCAGAACTGACTCCAACGTGGGGCCTGACATCTTCATCCTGAGAGCCTCGACGTATTGAATGATTTGTTGGGGCTGGCTAGAACCCAGTTCGGATTGGACGCCTTCCAATGCATCGTACAACTTCCGCGAGGAACTGTATGCGCGCTCCAGCTTCTCCATTGCTTCGTAGAAGCATTTTGTAATATCCAGGATGCCAGAAATATCTTGGTTCTCATCCATGACGGGTAGATGTCTGAAGCCTTTTCGGACCATCAAGTCCAATGCATCCGTAGCACTTGTGTCGGTCCGAGCGCACAATGGATTCTTTGTCATGATCTGTTCGATGGTGACTTGGCTAGCCTTGATTCCGGCCCCAACGACACGGAATGCCAGGTCCTTCGCAGTGAAAATGCCTGCAATTCTATCATCGTCATCTGTGACAAGGACACAGTCTTCCCTCTTCGCTGCCATCAATTGAGCGGCCTCGGCCACAGTCGTATTGGGTTTAATCTGCAAGGCTTGACTAGGTTTCAGGGCAAGGACAGTGCCAGGAGGTGCTTTGCGGGTATGGCGAGCGCGGGATGGGACATGCTTCTTCTTGCTAAGGTCTGCTTCCATTTTGCGTCGAATGGCCTGAACAGAGCATGTCAGGCGCTGTGATGACGAGATAGACTGACAGTGGGAGACGTACCTCATCACGTTTACTTTGTTTCTGCCGACTGGCAGATAAGGTAGATGCGCCAGACATTTCGCTCTGAACTTGACTCGCAGCCGTCTCCAGCTTTGGACGAGGGATACCAGAGGGAGAATCAGTGAAAGGGACTTGGTTACGGCGATTTGGTGTTCCTCGAAAGGTTCCGCTGACTTGACTCGACGACATGGTGCAGATTGACGAGAGGAATGTCGGGGATTTAGGAGCCGGACCAGAGTGGTCTGTGGGGTGGAAAGCAATGCAAGTCACAACACGGATGAGGAAGTGAAGAGTCGATTGGCTTTCAGAACAGGAGAGGTGAGGAGGACGACGAGTCTAGTTGTGTCAAATGTTGATCCATCCACAGGTAGACCCGAAGATTGGTTTGCGTGGTTGCCAGGTTCGATCAGGCGGTTCCGATTCGCGACTTCAGGCTTGAGTTTAGGCAAGTAAACAAGCCACCTAAGAGTGGAAACCCCACTGCAGTCACGCCCCCTGTTTGCTCCTTCCACGTGACGAAAGTGTACTCGGAATACCTACTTTGTTGGGCATACGAAAAACAAAGGTCAATCCCTGGCATACTCCTGGTCAGTTGATGATGCACTAACCATAAATGCATTAGCTTCTGGCGCAATCTTGGCACACTCACACTTTGGGGTTTTTGTCCAAGTGCGCTCGTTGCTTCGAACTCTCACCACCGGACATCATCAACCCTCACATACCGACAAAATGGTCAAGAAGCGAGCGTCCAAGTGAGCAACACCTCCATCGCCGACGTCTAAGGGCCCTGCATGCTAACAGTTAAATAGCGGACGTAACAAGAAGGGCCGCGGCCACGTCAAGCCAATCCGATGCTCCAACTGCTCACGATGCACACCCAAGGACAAGGCCATCAAAAGATTTACCATCCGAAACATGGTCGAGTCTGCTGCGATCCGTACGTTTGAATCCACTCTCAGTGTCCTGGAAAATACTTGCAGAAGAAATGGTTGAATCTAACAAATGGTCCCTGCGACCTTCCAGGTGATATTTCGGATGCCTCAGTCTTCGCCGATTACGCTGTTCCAAAGATGTATCTCAAGCTCCAATACTGCGTCTCCTGCGCCATCCACGGCAAGATCGTACGTGTCCGATCGAGAGAAGGTCGCCGCAACCGTGCCCCTCCCCCAAGAGTTCGATACAACAAGGACGGCAAGAAGGTCAACCCTCAACAACAGCCCGCTAAGGCCCTCCAGGCATAAATCCGCTTCTTCAATGACAGGACCGGGTGCTCAAGACGGTTGCAAATGCTATGTGGATTGAGGATGCCCGCGACATAGAATAACGGAAAATGAGTGCAAAAATCATTGCGGCGCAGGGGAGATGGTGAATGTTGCAATGCAACCCGGCCACCTTGGGCGAAGACGATGATTTTAGTAGCATGCAGCTCAAAAGTAGCCGCGCTACTAGCAATAAAATCAACATGAAATCCAATCATCTATGTTGGGAGGCATTATTTTCATCCATTGTGATCCATGATTTGCTGAGCTCGAACTTTGCTATAGATATGTTGATTGAGCCCAGCTTTCAGACCAGTCTCACGTGGCATTTTGAATGAGCCAGCACATCAATCAACCACTTTTCTTTGAATGCTTTGAATGCTTCGGCTGCTGCACGACATGTGGAAGCCTTAAATTTTCTGAGAGGCATGCATATGTTGTGTGAAAATGATCCAAGCGACTGATGTGATGCTCAATGACAGGCTGATCGAGACTTCTTTTCCACACACCCATACCACTCTCAACCTGTCTGGTTGGTATGTTGTGACTTCATAATCGTCCGTATGTACGCTGGAAGAGTGGTTTAAAGGCATAGATGAACCTGACTACAGCCTCCATTGGTTTCATGTCCCTCAGCTTTAGGTCTGCGATGCGTGGTAGATGATACCAGCTTATCGATACACTCTGAGGAAAGATGGCCTTCACGCACAACCAAATTCAGACAGTACATTGGCGCTCCGGCCTAAACAAGCTTGGGCTTAATGGGTCGTTCCTATCGCCTCTTCGCAGGAGGTAGAAGGGAGTCATCTGGAAGTCCATTTCGCTTGGTTCCTGGTAAACTACCAGTGCCAATATCATTTGTTTCCGTGCTCACCCTTCGATGCGGGTATACTTCGTCCAGGCCCTGAAAACAATTATTGGTCACCCAAATCTTGCCTCTGTTGGGGCCATCATCTGTGCATCTGAAGTAGTCATGTTGCAGAGCTTGCTCGGCGGTTAATCGTTGCTCAGGATCGTATTCGAAAAGTTCAGATAGCAGTTGTAAGCCTCGCTGGCCTGGGGATTTATCTGAGGGATAATTACTCAGCCGCAGGCAGTTGTTGTACCAAGTTTCCAGCCCGGTCCCGTTGTTAGCATTCGACCCCCGACTCAACGACGATGATGAACCAGGATACAAACCGGGCATGCCACCCCTGGACATCATCAAGGATTGGAGTTGGCTATATTCTGGCATGTCGGCCAGACCTTTCCAGTTCTCCCTTCTCGGCATACCCAAGATTTCCACGATCTTTCCCATTTGGTTTCTCTGAAAGGGAACGGTCTTTTTGCTGTCCATCTTGGTTTCCTCTCCTTTAAAAATCGGTCGAAGGCTAAGTAATTCTGCAAAGATGCAACCTACGGCCCAAAGATCGATAGCGGGGGTATAATGGCGTGCACCGAGAAGAAGGTCGGGGCTTCGATACCAAATTGTGACAACAACCTTGTCGCCAGTATATAGAGAGGATAAAGGCTTGTGGAATAGTCGAGCAAGGCCAAGATCGCCAATGCGAACATGACCGGAGGAGGTAACCATAATGTTGGCTGGTTTCAAGTCCCGATGGATCACCCAGTTCTGATGGAGGTAGAATAAGCCATTCAAGAGTTGAAACAAAATTGACTTGATCATGTTGGCGGGTATTGGCCGCCGGGTTGGTTGAGTATGATGATGGATGATTTGGAGCAAGTCATGCTCACAGTATTCGAACACCATGAAGACGCACTTGTCTTCGAGGATGATTTCAGCCAAGTGGACAACATTGGGATGAGACAACTCTGTACACAAAGACATCTCCCGAATGGCAGATTGTGATAGCCCCGTATACTGCACATTGTCCCCTTCTTTCTCCGGCTTGAATCTGTAAAGAATGAGCACGATGTACTTGACTAGGACTGGACGACAAACTTTTTGATTGCATAAAGTTCCTTGGAGTTGGTCGTCGATGTTGGGCTTAACAAATCTCCTTTCGGATTCTTTTCCATAGCCTTGTAAACCCTGCCATATGTCCCGCTGCTGATGAAGCCAATAATGTTATATTTGTTGCCAATCTTGACTTTTCCATGATAAGTATTGCCCGGCTGCTGCTTTTTGTCAAGGCCTCTCACGGCATCTATGGATGCGTTAGTATGTCCATTTTACATTCACAATAGCGATGGTGAAGTGGATCCATAGGCATAAAGCAGCAATTCAAGAAACGTGACTTCCTACCTTCCAAGCCAAGTTGAGTAGTTTTCCTTAGCTGTTGGGCAATGTTAAGGCTTGTGCCAGGTCGTGACATGTTGAGCATGATGAGGTCATCCGCCAGAAATAGCGATACACGTCTGATCGATCGTGTGAGCTTGCTAGGTCAACCTTCATGACTCAGGTCTGAGTGGCAGACTTCGAGTTGTTATCACAGGAATCAAGGCGAGCCAATGAGCATTGGACATATGCAAGGGTGGGCTTCTTATCGTTCAGCCTGTTCAAGCGTGTTCAGAGATTGGCGCTAGGGTGGCCAGCGTCTTGTCTAGAGACGTACCAATACATGTTGAATCATGCTGCCTGATAGTGTCTTTGGAATTGGTTGTTTCAAACGTTTGGACGTTGCTACAGAAGACGATCTGACGTTGGTACGAAAGGGAAAACTCACGGACCGTGGACTTGGCAAGGGCGTTCTTGACCCAATCAATGAACAGAATCACACTAGCGGCCGAGCGCCATCTCGGCACAGATCTCGCTGGCAAGTCGCCTCCTTACTAACGGCGACCTCCGAAGATGCAAGACAGCCAATGCTGAGGGTTGTTGTGGCTACAGCGGCACAAGAGGCGAGCCGTGATGACGATGATTCCGTCAGATACATTTATTCTTCAAGTACTATGATGAAGGTGCACCGACCAAGATCGCAGATATGCCTTGGATCGTTGAGATTGGCCATGGTTGTGCTTGCCGCTTCTCCAGGATCTCCTCGACTACAATCGCGACTTCCTTCTGAACGCTGAAGATCTCATATCGGAGGTCGCCACTTCCTGCTCCAAAGTCTTCTCAGAATGGCCACAGACACTATCAATCTTGTTGCCTACCTGCAACTCATCTGCAAGGTGACGCATCAACGACGTACCCCAGCATCAATTACGATAAGCAGTTTACTTCTTTGGTCCATATAAGGTATGGTATTTCACCTTTCCCATTGCTTCCCGTGCGCTATATTCGGCAACTCGGACATCGCCTCGTGAAAATGGCCCAAGCAACGTTAACCAGAGTTGACAGCGGGTACAGGTCTCTCAACCAGACCTCCACTGAGGAAGACAAAATGCCCGCTGAGGCACCAGACTACCCGAGTCCTTCGAGCGAGCGAGTCACTCCTTTTTTAATCTACCTACTTTTTTTCGCTACCCTTGGCCCTCTTCAATTCGGGTACCATCTTGTAAGTATGTCCTTCCATATGGGAGACAGCTAGCTCACACCACAACAGGGAGAACTCAATGCCCCCGAAAGCGTCATCAGATGTGAAGTGCGAAGACTCCCAACTTACGATATCCTTGGCTTGCCGCAATGTATCCACATGTCCAATGCCCAATGGGGCATGATTCAGTCTCTCTTCACCATCGGTGGCTTAATTGGCGCTCTCTTTAGCGGCCCTATCGCCACCAGATGGGGTCGATTGTTCGCTTTACGGTTGCTTACATTCTTTCTCGCTGGCGGTCCCATCGCCGAGGCCCTCGCTGGGAGGATCTGGGTGTTGGCTCTCGGCAGAGCAATTTCTGGGGTTGGCGCAGGCGCAGCTACCGTGGTTGCTCCCATCTACATTTCTGAAATTTCACCAAATGACAAGCGAGGTCTTTTCGGTGCTTTCACCCAGGTTCAAATCAATTTTGGGATTGTCGTTGCACAGTTGCTCGGTTATTTCTTGTCCAAGGACTCGAAATGGAGGTGGATTCTTGCCACGGCCGGATTCGTTGCCGCGTTCGCCTTCTTTGGGCTACTCTTTGCCAACGAAACCCCCACCTGGCTTGCTTCAAAGAATCAACCTCGTGCTGCACGAACGGTTCTCCAGCGTCTTCGGGGTCGGGATGCCGACATCAGAGCTGAGGTTGACACTTGGCATATCTCAGGTGCAGGTGAACAAGAGCCTCTTCTCGGGCATAAGAATCCTGCTGGCACAACGGAAGATCACCTACAAACGAAATCATTCTTGGATGTAGTCAGGATCCAAAAATATCGCAGAGCCGTCGTCGCTGTCAGCGCCTCAATGGTTGCACAACAACTCACCGGAATCAACGCAGTCATTATGTACAGTGTCTCTATTTTGGGAGGCATCATGCCTCACAAGGCTGCTTTGGTCACCATCATTGTTTCGGCTGCCAATGTTGCTGTGACCCTGCTCTTTTCTCCTTTGCCTGACAAAGTTGGGAGGAGGAAGACGCTACTTGCCTCCATCATGGGCATGGGGATTGCTTCATGCTTGCTTGCCGACGGACTGTCAAGAAATCAGCGCCCACTCACCATCGTGGGAGTTGCGCTGTTCGTTTGCAGCTTCGGCCTCGGATTAGGACCAGTCCCATTTATCTTGGCCAGTGAACTTGTCGGACCAGAGGCGGTCGGCGCGACATCGAGCTGGGCACTTGCTCTCAACTGGCTGTCCACCTTTTTGGTTGCGCAGTTTGTGCCTATTCTCAACGCGCAACTGCCGCCTGGCCACTTGTTTTGGATCTTTGCTGGTATCTCGACGTTTTTCTACCTGTTGTTGGCCTTCCTTGTTCCGGAGAGCAAGGGAATGGCGAATGCGGACCAAGTCTGGTCCAACCATCGTGGGGGCTTCGTGAGAGGCATTTTCCGCAGTGTGCGACGCTGATGTTGGGGCAATATGAAGATGGCATTGTCATCTGATGGATTCGGCCTGGTGCCAGATCGTCTCGTGTCCATCGTGTCCTGGCTGAGAGTTGTTGTGGCTTGTTGGGGGAGTGGATAATCGATTGATGATGGGAGGAATACCCTGTATTATTATTTCAATGTATCATTAGACTGTGGCGTTTTGTACGGATTCGGGCATCATCCCTAAGTACCTAAGATATCCCTAGGTCGTCGTCAATTGCACTGCACTGCACGTCCATTGTCTCAGCCTTCATGCACACTGGTTTACCCTTTGACGATTGTCTCGCCCCTTTTTCGTGTTAGACCCACGTGTATAAGGCCACCATGACGATGACGATAGCGTGGCTGCATGGCTTGCTCGTACCGTGCTCATGCCTTGACGTATTTGAACTCCGCCACGCCAGCCACCACGAGAGGATTCCGTCTGGGAGGGGAAGGCACGGGGAGGTCAAAGAATACCTGCCTACCTTACTTACAGGAGGATACATGCCAAGCTTCAAATTATATGCTGGGAAAGTGAGATATTTCTTTCAGATATCAAGTGCTAACACCACCTTATACCAGCATAACTAACATGTAAAAGGTGTCTACTTCAACTCGTTGGGTTAGCTTCCATTGTGGCGCCGTACTCATCTGCTATAAATGTATATAATGTAAGGTATCTAGATAGATCTATATGCGCCTCGCCTCGACATGTCTAGTTGGGAACATGAGCCATCCTCTTTATCCCACTCCACCTATGGGAAAGGAATATATGTCAGTTCCATATCTATCCAACGAGGATATCGAATCAAGCCTCGGATCCAGAACAGGGAAACTGATGTGGTCGAGAGATTCGAGGTGTTCTAGTCATGCTGGATGCTTCGTGTATAGACCGAGTCTCGATCGTGCTCACGGTCCAGATCATAATGTCATAAAAGTTATCGTAGTTATGTGCAATGTCGAAACCCACACCATCATCACGCTGAGATTTTCGCGATAAAGTCATGCGTCATGTTATCGTAGCTATGATCTCTGATACTGCAATCAAGACAACCCTCGTGGGGCAGTCATTCCAAGCTCGGGCACAGACAAGGCAAGGCTTAATTTCTGCAGGTATGCAAGCAGCCAACGCGGGCCCTTCCGTCAGAGATCCTCGTGCACATCACATCATTGCTGAAGAATGTGGACATGACTGTGGATTGGATTGGAATGCATGCATATCATTCCCTTTCTGTGTGGCTCGCGCAATTCCAGTAGGCGCGAATATGTAAACACTCTATCATCCTTTCACCTTCTTTTACGTGTTCGCTTTCGCTTTCCTCACTTGTGAAGTCTTCGTTTTCGGCGTTTTCGTGTCGCTTTCCTCCCCTCTTTGTGCTGCATGATCTGACCCCTATTCACTCTTTTAAAAGATTCAACCAGTCGTTCGTTAGGGCTTGCTGATTTGGCACTAAGATTGATGTGACCAGGAACTTGAAGGAATTTCGGTTATCAGATCATTGCCATCCCTCACTCGGTCGTTTCTCTTCGAACTTGGGTACAGCAAGAATTTCGCAAGGCTCAAGTATCATCGAAAACATGGTCCGTTTCAGTTTCTTCACCGCTGGCGCCTTTGCCGCCAACGTGATGGCCCAAGCAAACTCGGCACAGTTTGTCAACACCACGTGGGACACAGTTCACGTGGGACAGATCTGGCCAATTCAATGGTCTCCCGGCGATGGGAGCCCAGTGTCACTCTTTCTCGTCAACTCCACGTGGATCTCGAACATTTTTGGTAGGTTGAGATATAATTTCCCAAAACGTCTGTCTCCATATTGATAGTGGATTATAGTCAATCGTCCCGTCGTTCCGAGTTTGTACGAATGGAACATCTCAGCCCCGACTGGAATCTGGCCGGGCTCCTATTCTTTGGGGCTTTCCCAAAACGGCGAGGTAGTCTACTCACCCAGGTTCGACATTGAGGCGGCCAGTGATGATGATGGTATTACTACCACCATCACCACTACCGTCACTCCAACTCCAACTGGATTCCCAAGCACCACACCCACTGTGAATGCCACTCTGATCAGTGTGACACCCGATGCTACCGTCACCGTCACCTACTGGGACGAGTCGTGCGGTTGCAAAAAGAAGACGGTGGTTCCAGCGGCTACTGCCAGCAACGTGCCAGGGGGCACGTACACATGGTACGACAGTGCTTGTGGATGTACCAAGAGTGCCGTTGTGCCTGCGCCGACCTTTACGACTAGCTGCTACAATTGGACAGCTCCACCAGCGCCTTCCAGATCATGGGCGGATTGGAACTCGACCCCGGTAGCTCCCACTCCTGTTGGCCAGGAGTACACTGGCGATGCAACCAAATTGTTTGAGTCGGGATTTGGATTGATTGTTCTCGTTGCTGCCGCGATTCTCTTGTAAGGGGTGGACGTTTGATTTCGCGTCTTTTCTTCGTTGTCTATATCATACCCAGGAATCTCTCTGGCAGGCTCGACAACCGAAGGTAGATGCCGTGTTGGAAGTCTTGAAGGAGGCGATGGGTACATGATGATGGTGTTGTTGGGACGCTTGGTTGATTCGCAAGTAGGGTGGGACAGTGGTGATGACGCTAATCGAGCACGCAACTAGTCCGCATACGTCGAAGATTCTTCACTTGAGGTCTATAGCTCATGACAATCTTTTTGTTTTCGCCTTAGTGTCAAAATTTGGATCATGTTTGAAACCCAAAAACAGGTTGATTGTGATAGACATTGGCATTGTAGGAAAGCATTCACATTTACCGATCGCCTTTGATCTTGGCAAACGCTCCCACTTCTGCGCTCGAGATTGAAAACGGACTTTTGGGTCCGTCCGGGGATCTGGGGCTCAGTGCAACGGCGAAAAGATCATCTTCAGAAGGGTCATTCTGTTGTGATGGAGCAGGTTGTCGGTCTTGTAGTGAAGTTGTTGCAAGGAAAGAGAGAGAAGATGCGGTTGGGTCTCCTTGTTGCTTCCTGAGGAATTCAGGAGGCGGCTGAGCGACAATTCTCTTAGCGGTTGTTGGCATGGGGCCTTGATGAAAAGAACTGAATGAAGAATGAGCAATGTCGGATGCCTCAGGTGACAAGGGATGTTCCTCTCGGATGACGGTATTTAGACCTCGACCTGCAAGATCCTTTTCACCAGTTGCAAGGCTTAGACCTTTCAATTTCTCACTCAGCCGTCTCCCACCTGGGGAGCGAGGGCTCTGGATGCCTGGGCTGGTGGGACCAGCGTTGGTGGGAAGATTGCTGATGTCAAGCGTTGGTGGTTTCAATGCAAGGCCGAAATTGGCCTCGATCCAAGCCTTTTCCGACCGGGCCATTTCAAGGGCGATGCCCTCGAGATTGTGATCTTCCTCACGTTTGATCTCTTTTTCTAGGACAGATAGTCTCTTTTTAGCCCAAATGGTGTGTAAGACTCCTTTTTTACCACTGGCTTTGGCGGTGGCGCCTAGTTCGGGTGTGAAGATGGCGGGCAGAGGGTAGACAGTCATTTTACGAGAAGGAGTTTCTGAGTCAGGGGAAGTGGTGGTGGGGGTGGTGGTGGTGGTGGTCGCTGGAGCGGGTGGGTGATAGGACAAGGTGACATGAGGGGGGATGGTGGTTCCTGGGGGCAGCAGGAAGTATACACGGCGGATATTGTCCATAGAAGCATCGTCTGCTGGAAAGACGCTGCGTTTGCCTGACCATGAGACATGCCACTTGCCAGACTTGTCCCGCGAAGGCTCATCGTCTTGCCATTCTACCATCATGACTTTTGTACCCTGATTGCCTTTGTGGGGTTCAAACTCGAATCGGGCGAGGGCGGTGACTGATTCGAGGGTGTCTGGCCCATGAGGTGACCTGGGAGTGGTCGGGGTTTCAACTGTGTCGCTCATCGTGACAGGATTGAGGAATGGAGAGGAAAGGTCTGATGGGACCTAGAATGGGATAGGATGGTGCTATCGGTGTGTTCTCGAGATGGAGGGGTTAGATTGGTCATAAGCAATATGTACTGGCTGAAGAACGCGACAATCCAAGCAAGACAGCAGATGCAGGAAAGAGCAACCGAAGGCAGGTGAGTGTCAGGATCTTGGAGCATGCGATGGCAGAAATATACAGGGTCAAGCAATCTTGCAGCTAAAAGAAGGACATCAATGAATGGGTTACAGTTGGAAACATGGCGATGGCCTTGGTTTAGATCATGATTCGGAAGGACCAGACGGAGGCCAGGAGGGAGGGGTGTGTGTGTGTGGATTGTGAGTGTCAGTGTGGATGTGGATGTGTGGGTTACTGCGGACAAACGGTCGTGAGCTTAAAAGCAAGCGTGGAAAGGCGAGTGTGACGAAGCTCCTGGCGGCGGTTATTAGTGGGTCGGGCCTGGCCAGGCCTTGCCCGCTTATAACTAGCCCGGATCTTGTTTTCCTAGCTTAGGCTGGTCGAGCCCTGGATGAACACCTAGAAGTACTTAGGGGCACCCTTAGGAAATTAGACTGGTAAGCAATTATAGGGGAGAGATAGCACCAGTAAATTAGAGACGGCAGTTCACATTAAAAAAAATGCCTATAGTACCCCAGTTATATCAAAGATATTGGCCAAACTGTGCAAATGACATTATACTCGTGTCGTAGAAATCTAGCTAGATCATTTCATGAAGCTCCTGGGATAGAATTCTGGTTCTCTGAAGAAACCGGTTCCAATGCCGTCTCAGCCAAGGTGAGGGTTGTTAGCATTGTCCAATAAATAGTGTTCCTCCAGTCCTTTTGCAAATCATCAATACAGATAGACCTTCCTCCCTTATCGTTGATGCTTTTTCAATCAATCCTACCAGACATTTGTATGCTTCGTCGTCGGCCCAGGCCTGCCTGAGCCACGTTAACAGTACACCTCTTAGGCCAGACGTCCTCCGTGTAGCGATGCAAAGAAGCACAATTCAACAACATCGAGTCAATCAACCTGTTTTTCCACACCGACACCTAATCCAACCTCTTTCCCAACCACTGCGGCCAGGCTACCAAAACCCTCTCTCTTCAGTCTTTCGATCAGGACAAGACTCTTCTCTCGCTTTTTGGCCTTGATTTGCATCTCCAACTCGATCAGCTGGGCTGCTAAAGTTCTCCGGCTGTCTTCAAGGTCCAGCGCGATGAATTCCTCCTCATACTTTTTCAAATTATGTAGCTGTGTCTCAAGCTCGATGATGGAAGCATCTAGCTCGGCGGTGGGCATCTTGGCGTCATGATTCAACATTGAGGTCTTTGGGGGTGACAGCATTGGGACATGACTATGGCTGTGAACCGTTCCATTGCTGACATGCTGTGGCACGTACACTCCATTGGATGTCGTATGGCCCAGAATGGGTGGGAGAGTGTTGTCTTGGCCAGACAGACCTTTGGACATCAGACGACCCGGTCCTACGGCAGTCGATGCCATCGAAGCAAGACCAGGCGAGCTGCTCACCCTCGAATGCCTCTCTTCCGTTGGGCTGACCATAAACTCCGAATTCTCCGTGAAAGACTTGAGGCTGGGTAACATGGTAGGGAGGGATGTCGGGTGATTGGTATACGACGAGTCAATCATATACTCAGATCCTTCACGAGAGAGAATCACTCTCCTGGTGCCAGACAAGTCTGGTTCCGGTGTGGGCAATTCAACCTTTCTGATTAAAGCCGGTGTTCCAGCTTCTGCCGAAGAGGAGACTGCTCTCTTCTTTCCAGCCATCTGCGAACTTCCTCCCACCAAGGGCCCATGTGTTGCTGTTGTTCCCGTGGAGCTTTCTCGACGACCCCGCTTTTGGTCAAAAACATTATCTGCAAATCCCATCACCTTACCGCGAGGATCGTTGGCCTTGACCCTTCGTTTAGTGGCAGGCTTCTCACTCTTGGTGTAGGCAGCGGCAAAGTGGCAGCATCGACAGTTGCAGATCTCCTCACACTTGGGGCATGTCCACATCCCCTGGTGCCGGAGCACGTCACTGGGGTATGCGTCGAAATGGCGGAAAAGGCCACGATAGCAAAAGAAGGCAGTGCACCTGTCACATCGTCGTCCTTTCCATTCCTGGTGTTCAATCCGACACAGATGACAGAGTCGCATTGTGGTGGACGTTTTGGCACGCATGAGGTCGTTAACTGCAGTTCCCAAGGTTTTGCGAAGGTCGACGGAGCGTGGCTCCTCGGGTTGAAAGCCGAGGATTTCACGGGCCCGATTCAAGATCTGAGTGCACTCTTCTGCCGGGAAGAGCTCTGCCCAGGCGTAGGACTGTGTGTGTTCACAAGAACGACCGTTCAGGTAGCAAAGCAAACACAGGTCAAAGTCGGCACATTGGGTGCACCGCACATAACGGTTCCAGATAGCGGTATTGCAAAAGTTGCAAGTGGCAACTGTTCCTGGCTGGACGGGAATGAGACTGATTGTTGGAGTGGTCGTGGCTTCGATGCTTTCATCGTTGGCCATCTTGCGGAAGAGGCGAGAGAGTAATGGGAGATCTGGCGGGAGAGGAAGAGCAGCGGACGGATGCTGATCGTCCTGGAGGAGGGATCGCATGGCACAGGCAAGAGACAGATTCGTCCTGGCGACATCCGGGTGGCACAATCGATTGAACGGCGCTTGGACATGCTGGAAGCCGACTTCGAGAGAAAGAGGATGTAGAATGTTCCAAACCAATTTCGCGGACAGAGTGGATGGGTTCCAGACTTGATGAGCAGTGGCAGGAGGGAAGACAACCAGGTCTCCGATTCTCTGGTCATATGCATACAGGGGGAAATCGGCCTTGAGCAGGTCGGCCATGCCCAAGTTCAGCCAGTCGAGATGCGGCGAAACACCGTGAGCGGTCATGAACGCATTGTACTTCTGCTGTGAGTCGAAGTCTGTCCCGATACAGACAACCGGACGATCATCTGTCTCGACCAAAAGATTGAGCGCCACGGTGCTTGAAAAGCAACGATGAAAGCCGGAGCTGCTACCCTCACTCCCGACATAGGCCATCATGACCTCGCTCCTGGCACAAGCAGGGAGCCATTGAAACAGATCGAGGCGACCACTCCATTGTAGTTCGGGGGGCAGAAGTTTGCGACACACGTCCAGCCACTGAGGGGGACATTGCAGGTCGCGCGCATACAGGTTCTGAAACTCGGGAAAGGACTGTCTTGCGCTATCGGCAAATTTGCGCAAGGTAAAGGACAGATCCCTTCCGGTGGTGCAGTTGCGGATGGGGATGTTCTTCTTGGTGCTGAACTCAATCAGGCTCTCAATGTCGAAGCCGCCAGCGCCGGTCTGCGCGCCGGGCTTGGGCCAGGTGTCGAGTTTGTCGAAGTCGGCAATGACAAATGGCTGGCCAAGTTGAAGACGCTTTGTTAGCCACTCTGAGAAGGGGACTGGGTTCCCTTCATGGTCCTTCTCCACCTGTAGGTCCAAGATGCTGAATCTGGGGAAAGCGACAAAGGGTTTGCCCTGGCGCAGGAGGAGTTGGGCAGAGCTGTCTGGTGGAACTATGACGGAGGGGGTCGGAGGGATCATGATGGGAGGAGGGTGATTACTGCGACCATTGCGAAGGCTGCGAGAGGGTGGCAGCTCAAAGGGAGGACTGGTGTCTAGATGGGTGGTATATCATATAGGGTCGTGGGCAGATTGGGACAAGGAGGATTGGCAATTCCCGAAGGACTCGCGGAGGCAAAGAGTTGGGACAGGAAGGGCGACGGGAGGAATTGGGAGAGGTAACGATCAAAGGAAAACCATATCTGGGGTTGGGTTGGAGTGGAGTGGGATGGAAATGGGAATGGAAATGGAAATGGAAACTCGAGATGGATGGAAAAGCAAGCAGCTAACCAGGGTAACAAAGCAGCAAGCAGGGCTCAATTACGAGGAGGCACCACTTTAGTTAACCAGAATAGTGACTTAGCTCAGCCGGCTTCGACGATCATGCACCGTAGGCGACGGCCTGTGGGCGCCGTCGGCGCCCCAGTCGGCAATACAGCAATGCTTGACATAACGCATAGGCTGGAGGCGCTCGTTGGACGGTTAAGGTCAGGTTAGCGGGCAATAGGCTGTCGTGGCTGTCAGGCCGAGGAGCCTCTCGGGCTTAGGGGTCTAGGGGGGTTCTCTGGCTGTCACCACGGTCCCCGCGAGGACCGAGGGGTTGGAAAGCTGCCCACTTCTGCATATGGAAAGGCTAACTACGGAACTCTCCAGCTCCCACCAAGTAGAGGTATGGGTGTAAGAAGAGAAGCTGCCAGCAACACTTCTGTGTGCGCATTGCTCATTTTCCCTACCCATCCTTTACGAGTTTTGTATTTTTGCCCGTAGGGCCTGGTCAGGCTACAGGGCACACTTCGGATCCCATCCTTCAAACCTTACATCTCGTATCGGAGGTGCGTAGTCAATAATTCACAGTGACAGCGCAGAGAGCACGGAGAAATGGTGACGGAGGATGGCATCGAGACATCTCTAAATTAGGTAGCGTGGATGGCAGCTCGCAGTGACAGCGGACTCTAAAGCAAGTGGGGTGATGTTCAAAGTGCGCCGCCACTACCGAAACTGCCGAATAGGTAATTATGTAGTTGCAGCGACAGCAAACGAGGGTCTTATTGAAACGTCTTACAGCCTTCCACCTTCTCTTGACTTTGAGCCACTGTTCGGTCATAACCCGTCCAGCAGACACGCGGTCGAGTGGACACGGAAGATTGTAATTTTAAAATGGACCTATGCAAGAGCGGCCGGAGGGATCAGTTTAGCGAGAGTTGCATGGTGAGGTTCGACGCATGCATGTAGTCGTTCATTGACCCTGAACTTTGAAGTGTAACCGTCTGCGTATGCGTCCCTACTTAGGTAGGTAGTAGACAGGCAGTAGTAAGGAGTACCTTAGGTAGGTAAGCTACTACTGCACAGTACAGAAGACTCGAACTCGTGCTGGTCCACCTCGGATGAGTGCTTAGTCTCAAGCGCGAGAAGCTCCACCACCGGGGCAGTCCGGGTAAAATGGGGCACCTGGGGCTCAGGGAGACAAGCACGGCAGGTCACCGGCGTGAGAGACGTCCACCCACCCATCAGTGCCACTACTCCTCAGCAATTCACGATACTACCGGGCGTGGTATTTTGCGTAAGTAGCCTGCTTGGTAGTGCATCTGCGCAAGGGCCCAAGACATGTGGAACCCACTTCCGGCGGACACAAGCACCGGCAAATTTGACGAGGATTACCCGGACCACTGCTGCCAAGCAATGAATATGAACGCCAGCAAGCATAAGAAGCAGAGACGGGAGATGGATGGGACGTTGAGGATGAAAAGCGACAGGTGTCTGGGATGTGCTGCACCTGCAACTGCATCCATGGAGTCACTGGCCACCTGCCGCGTGGTGATTGTGGTGATTACCTCGTGCTGTCATTGAGGAAGTTGCCACCCGTCGTTGTAGACACTCTCTTGCCCTTGGTGCCTTTCAACCTGTGGCTTCCGCCATCCAAAGTCGAGGCGAAATAATCAAATCACCTTTTGGCGGGTCGTCTTGATGCAGGCAACAGAGAATTCTCATTATTACAATGTTGCACTGTCGACAAGGTACTAGGTACTGTATCGTCTGCATGATACCACTTTCATCTACCTCCCATCATTGTGGTTCTGGCAAGTTTGCCCTGCCTCCTCCCCGCCGCCACCACCTATCAATGAATTCTCACTCTCACAGTCACACTATCCCAACCCCCGACCAAGGTGCAAAACATATAAAACACTGGCCTACATCAACTAATGTCGCTCAGGCAATGTCTGGAACATGTATGCAGGTCTCTTGAATCTGCAACAACCCAATTCATCTTGGGTTCCATGGCAATGCTCATGAACCAGCCTCCTCCCCTCCCAATGCCCCCCAATCAACATTGTTCGAGGTAACTAGCAGTGTGCCAGAACCTACCCAGGGGACTCGTGATTACATCCCCGATCGAACCTCACCACTGGGAACAGGCGACTGTGCATACCCCGTCACTATCTATGTATACATTGTCCTGTATGACACATGCTTAATCAATCCCGCCCCTCGTATCCTGAAACCCACCTCTTCCGCTCCCATTTTGGTCCACCACCGGCGGTGCTCTGGCAGTATTACCTCCTACATTTTGAGTGCCCCAACTCAGACCCCGTTCGTTCGTCGAGCTTGAGCTTCCAATTACCCCGAATTCATCCTCTTACCAATCACTAATCTTCCCCTTCATGCACACCGTCCCGTCATCGCTAATGACTTGAACCTCTGCAACTTGGCTTCCCACTGCATCATCATTCATCATCACCCTGTAGCCCTCCCCTGCATAGACAGGCGAAGTTGCCCGATACTCGACCTTCTTCGGATACACAAGCGAACCTTCCGCCTCTCCCTCAGCACCGCCGCCCCCTCTGCCACTGCCCACTCCCTGGTGGAGTGTCTCGTCACGCCAGAGATCCAACATGGCGATAAGGTTTAACGGTCCATGTACCACAATGTTCCGATGTCCCTCCACTTGCTTTGCCCAGGGTTTGTCGTAATGGATACGGTGGCCGTTAAAGGTCAGGGCGGAGAATCGGAACAATGTCGTTTCGTCGCGGTTGTAATGCCTGACAATCTTCCCCTGGGCCTGTTGCTCGAGCTCAGCCATCGATAACTCCTCGGGCTTGGCCACCTGAGGTGCCGGTTTGGCAGGATCAAACGCCGGTCGAAACACCCAGTTCCTCTTGTCCAACACACAGAGCTCGTCTTTGCCGTTGCGGAACTCCTTCTCCACCCCCACCACCAGCATGTCTTCACCCGTCTTCTTGATTCTCTTGACCTCGCAGCTCAACACCTTGGTAACTTCAGTGGCCACGTCCCCCACCCTCAAGTACGCCCTCGTATTGCTCCCAGCCCCACCACCCGCCACAGGACCTGCCCCAGGCCATTCACACTCACCACCAGCCCACATCCGTCTGGTAAATGGCGCTTCCGGATTGAAAGAAGCGTCTGTGCCGTCCAGACCAAGAACTCCCGGCAGCTGCGCCGGCGTAAAGTAGGCGAGATGATATCCGGCCGGGACGGGCGTTCCTTGTTTCGGCTCGACCTCCTCCAGAGTCTTTGCTCGCAACACTTCTGACGACGGCCAGAGGTACGCTCTGTTCAAAGTCAACGAGAACAGCCGTAGCTGGTTCGCGTCCAACAACTGCCGCCGCACAAAGCTTTGCCCGTTAGAGAACTTTTCCAGGAACGCAGATGCGATCGCCTGTGGATCCGCGGACTTTGATTGCTGACATCTGGTCGTTGTGGAGAACTGATGCCGCCTTGACTTTGCTAAGTCATGTCTCTTGTTTGGTGATCCTCGGAAGAATGATTGACCAACAGTAGGACATGAACCACCATGTGATGTCAGCTTTCCACGGGAAAGGCGGCTTAGATGTAAACTCATCGTGTGCCGATGAGTAGATTGAGCCTGAAAAAACAGTAAATGGTCGCCAGCCCTAGTCTCACACCTTTCAAAGGGGACTAGATTAATTTGTATGGCACTCCTGTCACTGCCACAATGCCACAAATGCGTAATATTCAGGACAGCTCAGACACGAAGACAAATCCAGGTAGCCAAGAAGTTACCAGGTCAAGACAAAGCAGAATCCAGATGATGCAGAGGGGAGAGAGTCTGTTAAGCCGGACTCGAGATGATAGATTGTACGTTCAATGCAGTGCAATGCAATGATTCAACGCATCAGCAACATAATAAGTCCCTTTGCGTGTAGAGAGAATGAAAAGTGAGTACCTAAGGTACATTCCTAGGAAGGTAAATAAAAGAACGAGAACGGCGAAGTCAGTCATAAGTCATGGTCAGGCGAGTCCAACAGCCTCCTCCGATCACCCAACCACGCCAACCCAACCCAACCCAACCCCGCATATTGGAGAACTCCGAGATCGGTCGCGGATCAAACCATTTGACCCGGTTGTTTCGAGACAACCCAATCAGTCAGTAAGAAACTTCCGAGAGAATCCGGACTGGTGCTTCTTTTGAATTGATGTTCTAGGTGTTGCCCGTCCATGATTACCTCTCATCATGTGAACAATATGACATTGTTGATCCCCGGTTCAGTGTTCAAAACCTGGAGCTATTTCTAGGACCAGAAAGCTGTTCAAAATTGATAGCGGCATATTATTAGGCTACAGTAATTGCAGATACAATCATATACTCCGTAATGTCTTTTCGAGCCCTCGTTCCGTCCGAGTTTCGATACGTGTTCTAAAACCCCAGTTTAACTCCAAAGTGGATGCTTCAGTATGCATCCATTGTGACATGATTTGTGCGTTGTATGATTGTCCCAATTCCTATCCATGCATCTGTCCATCGAATCCAGACTCATCTCTTCTCGACAAGGAGGAAATGCATCGCTGCATACGCGACGATGATAAACACTCCTCCAAACACTCCCAACCCCATCACGTCTCTCCAGAGTGCCAGATTGTCGAATCCGAAGGCACTCAAAATACTAGCTCCAGGAACTTCAATGTCGAGACCGTATCGACGGTCGATCAACCTGAGTTTCGCGACCTCATTGACAAGCAGTGCTTCATATCCATAATGAAAGAAGGATAACTGTAGCTGGTGTTAGTTTTTATTCTTATGTGAAGTATTATGCCAACAGGACTTACCTTTTCGAGCCATTGTAAGGGGGCCGTCACATCGTCGTGGTTCAAGTTGAGGAGAAGACCAGCAAACAAGAGACTGAACAACATGACCAAACTTCCAATCAAATTAGCCACAGCTCCATCTTTGAAGACAATACCAATCGTCAAACATATCGTAGCAGCAGCCAAATTGAACAAGACCAGAATAAGAATGAATGTCAAGAAATTGCTCCAGGCTGGCACCAAGCCTGTCATCGGATAGACAATGATACCCATGATGATTGGCGGGATCAGTCGCAGTGGAATAATGTCAAAGATGACCTTGGCTGCAAAATATGTGATTGGAGAGTAGTACCCATTGGCTCTCTCTCGCACAAACAGCAATCTTTCCGAGCTAAACACATTCAAGCTGGTCAGAGTGCTGAATCCGAAGAGTGCGAGGAGGAAAAAGAATAAGCCCAGTCGATTCTGGAAACCTCCAATGTCGTCGGTCACACCATAAAACAGGTAGCCGGAAAATACAGCCAGGACAATTGCAATCGCGTAGTGAGTCAGCATCAGAATGGGATTGCGATACAGATTGCGCCATGTTCGCTTCGATAGGATGAGGAATTGTCGTGGTAGGCTGACTCTTCGGAATCCCTTGATGCTACCAGTCACAGCTTCAGATGATTCACCTTCTGAAATCTGGCCGTTGGCTGATGATGCGGCGTGGATCGAGGTGGCAATCTCGTCGTGAATGGTCTGTGCAACATCGGAGGCCTTGAAACTAGAAACCAAGATATCAAGATCGGTATTGACGTCCGGCAATAGATCGTCTGGGTCTTCAAGAATCTGAGGTGGATTGGAACCATCCCTCTTCGACAGTTGCAGCCAACTGCGCATGCTACCAGTTGCTCTATATAGAACATTATCCTCGTCATCCGTTTTTGGCGTTGGTGGCGTCTCATCCCCACTGGTTTTCTTGCGAGTGAATAATTGACGATCCTGTTTCTGCTTGAGAGAGATGCGTCTCTTCTGTTTCGGTCGAATTGAAGGCTCTCGATGGGTGTCGATGCTGACGTTCGATGCACTTGCAATCGACTTGACCGCTCGAGTGCTGGACGAGGAGGTACCAAGACCGTCGCGTTCACGTTCGACAAAATCTTGATTAACGTCATCCAGGATAATTGGCTTAGGCATACTTGCGTGCATAGTAAGATCGACCAAGTAGTCGGCAATATTGAAACCAGGCGGGCAAGAATACCCCACGTGATCGAAATATGCTTGACAGTTCGAAAACGGTCCGGAGTAGACGGTCTGTCCTTTGGCAAGCAGGACGAGTTGATCAAAAAGAGCCACAATATTGGACCGAGGTTGGTGGATTGTGAAGATCACAGTGCGGTTGTATGTTTTGGCCAGCGTGACGAGACATTCGACAACATTGAAGGCATTGAAGGCGTCCAAGCCACTTGTTGGTTCGTCCAAGAAGAGAATGCTAGGGCTTGTGACAAGCTCACAAGCAATCCCAACTCGACGTTTCTCGCCGCCTGAAATACCTCTACCGTTGCCTTCTTCGGAACCAATTTGCTGATCTTTGATGTGATAGATGCCCAGCTGTTGCATCACCTCGATGACCCTCTGTTCTTTGATAGTGACGCCCATGTCGGCGGGCAGTCTCAGCAGGGCACTTGTCAGGATGGTTTCATGGACCGTAAGAGTAGGCAACAGGGTATCTTCCTGATCGACAAATCCAATGACGTTTCGGTATTCGTTGTCGAGGATCTTCTCGCCATTGACATACATGTTACCAGACACCTGGCCGCGTTTATTCTTGCGAGCGAGAATGTCCAAGAAAGTGGATTTGCCGGCTCCAGAAGCACCCATGATAGCCATGATCTGGCCGGGTTGAGCAATTCCCGAGATGCCTGAGAGGATTTCTTTGCCTTTGAGATTGTAGTGGAGATTTTCGAATTGTAACGCCATGGGCGTGTTGTTGATCATGGCTTTGGAAGGGTCATCTTCACTGTTGTCTCCAAGACGAATTGCACCCCAACGCTTCAGAGCTGCTCGTCGCGAAAGGTACCATGAGCCGAGAATAATGGCTAATATCAACAAGGCAACAGCAGCGATCACACCAGCAATTACTGGCGTGTTGATCTCCTTGATCGGGGGTGTATAGCCAGGAACATCCTCCTCATAAAGACACTCTCCTGCTCTGCAAGAGAGAGAAATGTACTCGTCGCCGAAGATCATGGAGATGAGGTTATTCATGGCGGGCTCTTCAAACCTACTACCATCCTTTGAGCTTCCACCGTAGGTGTGTTGGGTGAAGAAAGAGGCAGGGCCCTTGATCTCCTCTGCAAGAAATTCGTCGATGTTGACGGAACCGTCTTCTCCACATAGGAATCGATCTTCGATGCATGAGCACTTGATGTGTTCGCAGGTGTACTTTGTGGTATTGCGGACAGTGGTGTCAGCTGCTTCCCAGGCACAGGTATCTAAAGCACAGTAGAAGGATTCTTTCTGATCAACCCAGAACTGGAAATTGCAAGTGGCATCATCCGCATTGCAGGAGAAGGTGACTTGGGGGATGCGAGGCTTGATCTGGTCAAGAATGGCTTGATTGGTGACGTTGCACATTTGATAATTCTCATGAACGACCAGGCCTTTCTGGTAGCAAACACCTCCTCTTCCAAACAGGGTCATTGCATCACAAGCATCGTTTGTAGTACAGACGTTGCAGTTGACACCTTCCCAACCATCTTTGCAGTCGCAATGGTCTCCTTGCCGCGGGGAACGGTTCTTGCCATCGGCGAGGGAACCACACAATGGTTCGGAGCAGTCGTCGCCGCCAAAGCCTGGTGGGCATACGCATTTCCCATTCAAGCTACTGCAATTGGCAAACTGTTGACAGTGGAACTCATCGTAGTGGCAATCAAAACATCTTGGACAGGGAGGGCAGCCGTCGGTAAGACCGTAGAGTGGCGTCTGGGTCAAGGCAGGGGAGGTGTCATTGCGAAAGCCCGCCGCAGTGAGGACAAAGCCAGCAGCGAGGAGTGCAACCGGGTAGCCATGGAGGTGCATCGAGAAGGAAGGGCCGCGAGTTGTCGCACGTGAAAGAAACCGAGAGGTGGAATGGCTGGAGCCTGCACCTCAACTTGGAAGCTCGTCCAGCAAGCCGTTGAGTTGAGAGGACGTTGAAGCTGCGATGCCGCTGGCAGGCTTGGATGATGGGACGTCGAAAAGGTTTATGAAGTCTGATGATGGGAGGCGGAGAGTAGAGGAGAAGGCATCATTCGATCAACAGCTACTAGGGACCAGTGGAAGTCAACGACAAAAGTCTCGAGGAATTGGCTTGCAAGGTTGATGAGTTGATCGAGGGTATACTCGCAGGTAGCAACTGAGAGCGATTGTAGCGAGATAGCGTATCAGATCACTCCACACAGTAGTAAACTGCAACAAGAATCGTCTGGCGCCACTTATTTACCTAAAGGTACCTAGATTAGGTTGCTAACCTACGGAGTCCAGGCAACAGTACTCCGTATATCCTGACTCCAGAGAGTAATAATTGCTATGATGTAACCCTTCTTCCCCACGAGATTAGGTACTAACTTGCGGGCTTAGATTGGCGCATATAGGCATGAAGCACCCCAGTGCACCCTTAGGTGGCGGTGATTGCAGGAGCTATCTCTTCTCATCCTTTGGGTACTGTCCATGCCTCTTCGTGTCTACAAATATCCTTTCCCCGCGTGCCTGTCTTCCACACTGTATCGAGCAGCTCGTTAGTTAGAGCCGGCCGGGGTGCGGAGACCAGACCGCACCAGAATCGGAAATTCTACTGGATGATGCGTGATGAGTGAGTGTCGATTGATGTGCTCCAGAGTCCAATGAGCCGAGCAGCCGAAAGAATCACACAGACACAAGCAACAGAATCTGAGAGTTTCACAAAAGCCTCTCCTCGATAAAATATCATATTGGACTGGTCTCTTTTGTCTCCTACAACCAACAAATTGCGGTCTACGAGATACAGCAATACTTCGAGGCAGTTTTTCAACAGCTCTCGCTTTATTTATTAGGTTCGGTTGTCCGTGGGGCAACAACCAAAATCCCAGGTTGGAGTTCCGCTCCGCACGACCGTAACAACCGCCGTAGCTTAGGATCAAATAATAGTAATAATATATTCGTTCAACGAAAAGGCCGTTACCAAACCAAAGGATCCCTTTTGCAATAACCACGAATGTAGTTTTTCACTTTCTTGTGTATCGCTTCTCATATTCGATTTGCCATTCTCGATCCTCAACACTGCCATACCAGAGATGACGACCAACACACCACCTGTTGACCTGAGACAGGTATTTCCAATTGCTTCCATTGAGTCTGCCGAGCCCTGCTGACCCAAGGTACCAGTGGATTGAGCAACGTCAAAAGTCAGCCAAGCATGACCTGGCTACTTCGTCTGTCAGTCCGCTATCTGTGTCGGATCTGCTCGAAATATCCGAAGACAAGAACAAATCGAGAGAAGCGTTGTCTCTGGACAATGTGACTCTTGAAGATCGTCTGCGGACAGGAGATGGCCTCCGCACCAATCTGGCCGCGCTCTATTCTGCTCGTGCCGCTGGAGTCACTGCGGATGACATAATTCTCACAGCTGGTCCTTCTGCTGCAGCATTCACACTACTGTCCTCCATTCTAGTTGCGGGCGATCATGTCATATGTCAATCCCCAGCCAACAATTCATTCGTACAGATCTCGAGGAGTCTAGGGGTAGAAGTCACATATTGGAAGTCTACATCAGCTAACAAGTGGCGGCTACAAGCAAACGATGTCCAGAGCGACATCAAGGACAACACAAAGGCCATCATTCTTCAAAGTCCCTGCGATCCCACCGGAGCGATCGTGCCGAAGCCTGTCCTCGAAGAGCTGATGGATCTGGCCGCAGAAAAGGGCATTCTGATCATCGCCGATGAAACCTTTCGCCCTTTGTTCCACTCCATTCTACCCTCACACGAAGACTTCTCGCCTTCGACCATCAACTTCGGGTACAAGAAAGTAGCTGTCGTTGGCTCAATAACCAAAGCATACAGCCTACCTGGTATCAATGTCGGATGGATTGCATCGAGAGATCAGTCAATTATTACTGCTTGCAAACAAAAGAAGTCTTTCATCACGCCCTCGATATCGAAGCTAGATGAGACTGTGGCTACAGAAGCAGTGAGTGATTGGTGCATACATGCTTTGTTAGCACGAAACATCAGATTGTGTCAGGCCAACCTTGACCTTCTCGAGGCTTTCATTAGTGAACACAGTTGGGCGTGTTCATGGGTAAAGCCACTCGCAGGAACAACAGCTTTGCTCAAATTTCACAAAATGGGCAAACCCGTCAATGGCGAAGCGTTCTCCAACGCCCTTCTCTCGCAAACTGGGCTTCTGGTCGTACCTGCGGCCACATATCACGGCGAAGCTGTTGACCTGCGGGGGTATGTAAGCGTCGCATTTGGTGGATCAACCGTTCAATTCGAAGCCGCACTAGCTGCTTGGAAGCAGTTCATGGAAGAGAGTTATGATACAGTCCCGGTCGTGGCAAAAAGCTCGAATGACCAAGGCCAGTAATTCACCTCATCAATTGTTGAGCGGATCTTATCTCGGCCGTTGTGCCATATTCCCATCATGTCACTCATACAAGAGTGAACAAATCCTTCCAAGTAATTTTAGATCAGAGATGCCTTCATCGCGTCCGTTAATGTAACAAGAGAGATGTGCCGGACGCCGATATCATAGTCACCAACCAGTCCTCCTACAGGCCACTTAAGCTCCGAAGAGAGAGCTTGTAGGATTCAAGGAAGGAACAGATCAAAGAGTCACACGCTAGGCTTTCATCATCTAGAAACTTGTTAGTTCTATGCTTTTGGATCGTGTTAAATGGTATAGACTCACATGTTCAAAACTTGGAAGGATGAGAGAAAGAAGAAGAGAGAATTGGAGGATCGACTGCGTCAAATTTGTGCGGAGATGGATGTTCCGGCAAAACTTCGGACTTTGATTAAATGCACCTGAACATTTCGCGTAGGCCAGTCTCCTGCTGCGACAACTTATTGTAGCTCTTCATACAATACAAACCGTCAGTGGAAAGTAGTGACTCTTGTTTCTGAATTGCTACGCCTTGACATGGTGTTCGGAACGCCGACGGCTGCTTCCCGTGCTCTGCAGCTCCGGCAATCCTACCTCTGCATCTCGAAGTACATTAGAAGTCGAAAATACCTGGGTCATTCCACCTATTCTGTGACTGGTACTATATCTACTCGTTGTTCAAGTACTTCAGTGAAAGAAACCCTTCAAGATTCAAAGTCCAAACTTGTCGAAAATGCTGCAGGCTCAACATTGGTCAAGCCTCAGAACATCTCGAAACATCATGCCCTAGTGCTCACCAGTCATGTACCAGAGTTGGACACGAGCCAATACAAATCCCTTGTCAATTTCGAGCGCACATGTAGGACTCTCCCTGCCCTATACTCATCGTTGCTGATGGTTTAGCTATACACGAATCCACATCTCTCACAACCTGGCACGACCTCGCGGCGTTGGCCCCCGATAACATCGATGTCCAAACGAGATCACACGAAATAAAGATTTGTGGCTATGTTACTTCACAGCGGCAAGGAAAAGGGTTTACATTCCTCCAACTGGTGGACCCAAGCCTCAAATACAGTGTTCAGGTGATTGTGAAAGACGACAAGAAGCCCGTCGAGCTACCTTCGTCGGGACAACCCCTCACATCTTCATCCACGATCGATCCACCGGAGCAGGGCACAGAAGATATATACAACCAGCTAAGATATGTTCGACCTCACACACCTGTCCAGATCCAAGGCATACTCGTTCCAAGGAAACCACCACGCGCGAAGAAAGCTGATTTGAAGCATGTTCGCGACAATGTTGATCAAAATGGAACGGGCGAACCTGTTCATACAGTCGCTACACACGACCCATTTGTCGGAGATGTCAACCTTGTCGCCCGGCTCGAGATACAAGCAGAAACCTTGAATCCCTTGAACACTTTCCCTCCAGATGTCATCGCCCAAGTTGACACGGCGTTTCCCCCTGAAGGCCGTCATCTTCAGTTCCGGACAGATCCAGCCCTCCGTCGTCGCATTCAATTGCGCACCCAGGTTGCGACTCGAGTCCGCCAACATTTAGTGTCTTCGGGATTTGAGGAGATTGAAACTCCAATCCTCTTCAAGTCTACACCAGAGGGCGCAAGAGAATTCATCGTACCTACAAGAAAGAAGGGTCTTGCATATGCTCTCCCACAAAGCCCTCAGCAGTACAAGCAGCTTCTTATGGCATCTGGGATATCTCGCTACTTTCAATTTGCCCGATGCTTCCGAGATGAGGACCTCCGCGCCGATCGGCAGCCGGAATTCACACAGGTATGTCCAGTCTCAAATGTGTCGATTCGCCGCCTAACAACCACCAGCTCGATCTTGAAATGTCTTTTGCAGATAGCCAAGCTGTCATGGACACCATCAGGACGTTGCTTGTGAATTCGATACTGCCCACCGCGTGCCCAGATCTTCATGTAGACAAGACCTTCGCAACCTATCAGTACCAAGACGTCATGGAATCTTATGGCTCGGATAAGCCGGATATCCGTCTCGGATCGAAAATCAAGCGCATCGACGGCTGGTTTCCTCCGAATGTCGTGGGCATGATGACGTCCCTAAAAGATCCTGCAGTGGAGATGATCAAGATTAACATGCAAGGGACCTCGCCTGCTGAGAGTGGCGAGTTTATACGAAGCTTCATGGACTTGCCAACTTCAGCAATATACGCAAACAACTCTGAAGGGATGCCCGGAATCGCCGTGTATGATGTCAGAAAACCGATGAGCGGCCTAGCAAGTTTCGAGCATGACGCAGCTCTGAAGATCGAGCAAGTCTTTCAACCCGAGCCCGGAGACATCTTGATTGCACAGACGCGTGCGAACTCCAGATTGACTGGTGGTTCAACCACACTCGGCGGTCTGCGGAGGGATGTTTACGCAGCTGCCATCGAACGCGGAATTCTGTCTCCCCCAGAAGGAATCTCCATAATCTGGGTAGTCGACTTTCCTCTGTTTTCTCCCATTGAAGACTCGGCGCCTGGGCAGGGTGGCAGTGCAGGCATCTGTTCCACACACCATCCTTTCACTGCACCAAAACCTGGTCAAGATTTATCCAAGCTCATCACAAACCCGATAGATATCATCGGCGATCACTATGATTTAGTGATCAATGGAGTTGAAGTCGGCGGTGGTTCACGTCGTATTCATACATCCGACATGCAAGAGTTGATATTCAAAGATGTACTCAAGATGAAGCCCGAGCGTATCGAGGATTTCAGACATTTGCTCGGTGCACTGAGCAGCGGTTGTCCCCCACACGCAGGCTTTGCCCTGGGATTTGATCGTCTTATGGCAGTATTGACTGGACGCAACAGCGTACGGGATGTGATTGCCTTCCCAAAGACAGCTGATGGAGAAGACAAATTTGTGGGATCGCCGACGTGGCTGAACGAAGACCAACTCAAGACCTATCACCTGAAGATTACTGATACCATGTCGATGACACCGTCGCCAGCGGTGTCAGTGAAAGCCTGACGAGGAACTTGAGATGAATATCTTTGAGAAGCTACCAAAATATGTAACACTACAATATTGTACAATACAGCCAACAATTGGCGTTGCAACTCCGAATAGTTTGTGGCGACGCGTAGTGCTTGCAACTTGACTTTAGGGGCCATGCCCTGGCCGGCCTGGGAAGGCTGAAGCTCCTGAATGATGTGTAAGGTCACATGATAGACTAGTCTGAAATGATGGCACTGCCAAGACACATTTGGGGAGGAAGGTGCCAGCCTGGCCAGTTGGAGGCAAGAGGTTTCCCCTCTTGGCTTTTAAAAGAATCGTCGGTTCCGCTTTCTGCGGGGGAACTATTCTTTGTTGTCGCGTTTTCTGTTTGTTAAACGTCACCATCAAGTGCCACCACCACCACCGTCTGATCCCACCCCCAACTTCGCAACACCGTTAAGATGGATCAACTACAACAAGTCGTACTCGACCCACTCAAGCCATACCTTTTGCCCATCACATCGAACCTCCCAGGCCCGATCAACGATGCAATCATCAACCTCTTGGGAGCACCCTGCCACAATGCACTCCTTCTCGACATTGACTTTTCGCGCCACCCCGAGTGCGTGTCACTGGCAGTGTCTAAAGCACTGGGAATAGGCATCATCACGGCCGCCTCGGTTGTCAAAGTACCGCAGCTCATCAAACTGGTCAAGTCGCAGTCATCGGAGGGACTTTCATTCAGCAGTTACCTTCTAGAAACCGCGAGTTTTGTCATCACCCTGGCGTACAACATCCGCAATGGATTCCCCTTCAGCACGTATGGCGAGACGAGCTTGATCGCCATTCAGGACGTTGTCATCAGCGTGTTGATCCTGGTATACTCGAAGAGAAGTGCACAGGCAGGAGCGTTCCTCGCCGCGGTGGGCAGTGCCGTGTACGCGCTGATCGTGTCCGATACGATGGTGAGCACGACGCAGATGAAATCACTACAAGCTGGGGCTGGCGCATTGAGTATTGCGAGCAAATTGCCACAGATCCTCACCATCTACAACCAGGGAGGCACGGGACAATTGTCCGCGTTCGCAGTCTTCAACTATCTGTTCGGCTCCTTGACCAGAATCTACACCACCTTGCAGGAGGTCGATGACAAGCTCATCCTGTACGGTTTCATCGCTGGCTTCTGCCTCAATGCCATCCTTGCTGCCCAGATGCTCTACTACTGGAACAGCCCAACTACAGCTGGCCACGCCAAAGAGTTGGGTGTCAAGAAGAACAGCACCCAGGGTTTGGGCCAGAAAGTCCCTGCCGCAATCGCTACTGATGAGAACATCAGCAAGAAAACCACTGGTAGCCCTGCTTCAACACCCAAATCAGGTAGTAGCAGTGGCAGAAGGCGAGGCTAGGGTGAGTTTTGTTTTGGATAGGGCAGTTTGATTAAAAATATACAAAGTTGGCATGGTCTTTTGTTGACCGCTTCTATCTTTGGAGCAATCTTCTATCATCTCCTCTTCTCCCCTCGACACCTTCGCAATTTCTCCTGTATCAATCTCCATGACCTTGTTGATGGCCTCGCTTCGCTAGCTTGTTTGTTTGTTCTTATTGAGTCAAACTAAAACCAATATCAACAACACTGCAGTAGCCTCTTCTACATTACCCGGGCAGCCCCGAAGCCTCAACATCGTTGAATGATCGACATGCTACCCTAATTCCAAAATGGATCCAAATCGTGTTTGGTTCACCTTCCGACAGCGACAGCGATAGTGGGCAGCGATATCTGATGAAGAGAGGGGAGGGATCTTGTCTTGCCCGTGCGTTCGGCGGTCACCGACTCGGTCTCACGTAATTCGTCCTGATAATATCCCAGTGACAGAATGATCGACTTTTCAGTCTAAAGGGATCTGCGATGACCAATCTGCTTGCCACACTGGCTTCGATAGACAACAGCTTTGTTCGAGAAAGCGTCACGTCTTCTAAGATGTTCTCCTTTCATACGCGTGTGCATTGGTAGGACAACGGGTGCGGCAACGACAATTGTACGTGATTTTGCTCGGTACCGAATTTTGATCTTGTTCTAAGTATAGTATCTAACCAAACAGAGCCTCATGACCTTGTCGGCGCTTTTCGGAGCAGTTATGGCGGGCGATGATGGCTTGATATTGATCGCAACATGCTATCGCACACAAATAGACACTTTGTCACTTCCTTCTCTGAAAGGAATGGATTAAAACTATTGATGCCGAGATCGAATATAGTGACAGAGATGCATCTGATGCGCAATGAATGACAGGCAGGACTTTGCGGTTTGACGAATCGAGAAAGAATTCAATCGAAGGCTCTGGCAGCATTCCCAAACGGAATGAACGACGACATGCCCTGATGAATCGTGATCGTTATCATCCTTACCATAGAGTCTATCTCTGTAGTGATTGGTTTTCGTCGCAGATATGCTGTACGTACATGCACAACATCAACACCAAAGGGCAATGATCGGCAATCGGCAAAGTCCATTGCCACTGTCAACGCTGCCACCGACGAAGAGCCTTGGATCATGTATGTAATGCCAGACATCGAGACGAAACAGTGACGGAGCGTGTCCAGTCTTGATAGGAAATTGCGAGCTATGACGAGGAACGACATGTCAGGGAGTTGATCTTACTGTGCTTGATATGTCCCCCCATGTTCCTATCTCTCAGGGCTCAATAATGACGAATCTGATCCAGGCACGCCAGGATATTATTATTATGTGAACTGGATGACGCTCCCGCTCACGACGCTCCAAGGTGATCCCAGTACGGTAAATTTCTGCCAGCCGCCGTGTCGGGTCGTGTGCACTGTCCGTGGAATTGGGAAGGAAAACCATGTCAAGACACGGGTTCGTGGTTGATGTCGAACTGGCACGACTCGCCTGCTCCGTACGGAGTAGTTTGAAGGAGGCTTGTTCACATGGTGGACGGTGTGTCGTCGCTAGAGGACCTCGGGTGAGCTTATGTCCAACTGGTTTGATTAGGTCAGAGCATCGACGACCGCCTCGCCTCTCCGCAACAAAGGGAAGGTTTGGCTGGAGCGTGTTCAAGACCCTGTCCATCCTCTTGTATTTTCTTTAGTGAGATTTGAGCATCTTGCAGAAGATGGTAGAGGAACGGCAGGGCAGGGCACCACAGGGTCAGCCACGGACAGGGCAAAGGACCCCCTGGAGGCCAGTGCGAAACTTTGGCCGCTGCCACAAATAGCCTTGGTTCATGCCTGAAGCCCGTCACTTTACGGGGAATGGCACTCTCGACGCTGAGTCTCTCAGTCTCCAAATTGCCCAGAGCAAATCACCAGCACTGATCCCTACAAAACCCCGTGAGGGCAGCAGTGGGCACCTGTCTACCGCCCGTTGCGGGGGTGGTTGCAGGGCTGGTTCAAGCCTAGGAGCATCGAAGTGACAGGCGTGGCACAACCGCAAATGGAATCGCTCTTACCCGAACCCCTGCATGCTTCTCGACACCTTCCGCTTCCGAATCGGCCTTATGGAGTACACGGCAGGAACCAAGCTCCACATATCTCATGCAGTCAATTTCCCAATTTCGATTGTCGCGTGTTCTTTGCGCGTCGTGTTGACGGCAAGCAAATCCAAGTCCCATTTCGGCCTCGAAACCCGTGCCCTAAATGCCCCCAGGGGTTGGGGCTTGGAATTCTCGGTGCGACAGGAGCGATGGAACGTGAATTTCTGACACTGGGTGACTGCCGACCGCCGCTCCTCAGCCAGGCAATCAATCACGGGACTACGCACAATGATCGAACGGACATGTGCCTACTCCGTATATGTGTGTTGGCAACATGTACTGTCGGAAGACTACGACTTGTACTCATGTTCGACAGGCGATCTCCATCGTTAGAGGTAAAGTAATGCAGTCTCCAGCTCGTACCGTCTTAACGACATCCACTGCGACGTCATCTAGTGGGTGCCCACGCTGTACCAGACCCAACCACAACAAAACTGTTTTCACCTGTGTCACGTTGCTTGTAGATGCATCGGTCTAAATTTGATAGGCTTTGAAGTCACTAATTTGGAAGAGCGTTGGGGGTGCATGTGCTACACAAAGGTGTCCGAGGTAAAGAACAGCCCAAGAACTCTCAACTTCAATGATATTACCGCTTAGATAGACATTATTGGGCGTGTCTTCAACTTTAAACCCCTACGGCACGTCTACCAGGAGTGCAGGTATTGTGCAACTCTCGCAGGCAGTCAAGGATGGCTGGCGTTCGCTTGATTAAAATGAGGTTTCCAGAACCAGCAAAGATGGCTTGATGGCCCGGCAGAGTTACCTGGGACACCATGATGGCACCCATGTCAGTGACCAGATAGCCTGTGTGCCACGGCCCAGAGCCCAGACAGCCACCATAGGACTCAGTACTTGGACAACCACATCGAAATACCGACGGCGGGACCACGGAACGCCTGCAAGTTACGCCGCAGCGGATAAGAATGGCGCCATGCCTATGTGGTCATAGGAAGATCGTCTCGATCTCAGCTCGAATTAGGCGAGAGCGGGCCAGAAAGGGAAAAGTCATGCTTGTGTGGGTGTATTCCAGGATTTGACAGCTCTCTGGTTCCACAGAATTTGTAGGGAGCAGGGTGGCAGGCGAAAATACTCTTCTGCTATATCATATCTTGCATGGTCGACAAAGCCAAACGTGTGACCAAGGCACTCTTGCCTCAACTCATGCCATGCGTGTAATGTCGAGTTTTAAGCGAGCATCTCATATTTCAAGACACCAGCTGGAAGTACAAAAGGAACGAGTCAGAGCAATCAGCCTGAGCTGTTGGTGATGCTGCTCTTCTCCGTAACGAGGTAAGCAGCATCACCGTCTCACGTCAATCAGCAGGGGGATTAGCAAAGGTGTTTCTCTTCGTAGACGTAGATTCGTCAAGACGTGCTTGGGCAGATTTCCGGCAGCTTTGGCCCCGAAGTATTGGCACTTGTTAAGGCCCTCGGGCTTGCATTAGAAAGGCATTAGGTGAGTTTAAAAACAGGAACCTGCCCACCACACGACTCCAATGACGCGACCTGACGCGCTTTCCGAAGAAACTCGCCAGCCCACGCGACCACAGGGTCACCTCAGCCATGGGCCATGGCTCGTGTGTTGTCTTGATAAGAAAAAAAAGCCCAGCCAAGTCATCTGCATGGACGCGAATGTGGTGGTGGTATTGTTACCGCCGATCGGACATTCTTGTACTGCGTTTGCTTTTCACGTACGTGAAGCATTGTTTGCAAATATGGTCTACGTAGTCTCTGCCAGCAATCCTGACCACCGGACGGGAAATTGTCGTATCAGATGAGTGACAGGTGCTCAGGCACTGGGCGCTGCCGAATGGCGGCTGAGGACGGTAACGCAACACGGCGAGGGACAGGACCAAGTGCTCGGCGCGTACCCTAGCATGCCCAGCTAGGTTGCTTGACAGCTCTGGTAAACCTCCAGGGGCTGTTAAGGAGGCGTCGAAGGCAAGTGTCGAGAGTTAGTTAAGATTTGTAGGACCAGAAACACCACAATAGGCTTTGCACACCCCGACGATAGGTACCCATTGAGGGATCCGTGCAGGCGGCCGACAGCTGTTTCCAGGGACTCAGGGTTCGCGCCCGCTGAATGGATGATCGTCCATGCCGCCACCATAATCATCGACATCCAATCTTGGCCATCGTGGAGACGTTTTGGCTCCCCCCCGTTTCGATACAGAGTTCGTAACAGTCTCAGAAAACAGTTTCTCACGTCGTAGGTGCATGTTAGATTTGACTAGAAATCGGACCACTGCGACATGATCCTCACTACCTTGTCCACATCTGGGCCAGAAAGTGGTTCTTGTGCAAAAGTCTGCGGCTGGAGTTGGTAGTTTGGCATCCAAGGTTGCTGACGGGCATGCTTGGTGGTTACTGACGACTGGCTGGCACGGCTGGCTGTTGGGTCATTTGGCACGGCCGGCTTGAGACCTAGCGCACAATACGGGTATTATTGCTGGCTCCCGTGCTTTCTCCTCTTGTGGTGCCTGTGGTGCTGCACGTCGTCGTCGTCGACGGACAACCGTGCCTGTCATCCCTGCAAGCGTCTGGGCTGGCCCAGCACCCAATCAGTGCAAGCTCCTCCTGTCAACCTCTCACTCTCCTGCCTCTGGCCTGCCTTGTTCTGCCAGCTCACTCTGCCTGGCCAGCCAATTCTCTTGACAATTGGACCGTTGCTCGTTGCAGCTTGGATCTTGAACCGTGGGCCTTGGACCTTGGACCTCTCTTCGGCGTTCCCTCACTCCACACTCCACTCTCCACGCCCATCTGCTACTTTGATTCCTTTCCACCACCGACGTCTCCTGTTCTCTTTCATTTCCTCTCTTGTCCTTTCCCACACATCCATGAGGCACTGACCTCGTCCCTTATCCTTTCTCCTCCTCTCCTCCTCCATCTCTGGACAAATAGATACATCACCTTTTCCTCGAGTATCTCTTTGCTCTTCTCGACTTCTCCCACCTGACCCCCAACCAACCTGCATCTCTAACAGAGCCCGAGCCTCATCCCTGTTCCCTCGACACCAGGCCTACCTTTCTCTGCAACGTTAAACCGACATTCGTTTTGCAGAACGTTCTGGATAACGTTCCTGCCTTGGGTCCTTGATTGCAGTCGTCAATCTTTCGTCTGATAGAAAGGTGAGCCAGCTTCCCTGGATCTCCCCCGAGATTCGCTTGCAAAGCACACAAGCACCCCTGCCCACCTTGAGTCTGGAGGCCAAAGTCGAGTCCAACGTCACCACCATGGTCCGCTACCATCCCAACGATACCTCGAACAAGTCGTAACGACACAGCACATGGTCATGTGATGACGCTGCTGAACCATGAAAGAGGTGGAAACTGGCTTGCCATTGTGTCGTCGGCCCACCGTACCTCCCTGGTTCAGGGTCAAGGCTGCACTTTTGCCCTGTGCAATCGAAGAAGAGCGAGTCGTTTTAGGGGACACTGTCGACCATTATTCCACACGAACAAACACACCTTGGACATACAAACAGCTGGCCATTGGTCACTGCCAGATGATTGTCACCCCCTTGGTCGACGCCCTGACTCACATTATCAATGCTTGAATGCTGTTGCCGTTTGCCTATTGTCAAAATCTCGACAATTCGTCATGGTCTTGGAGCATCTTGTGTACTAATACAAGTCATACAGATTCACGACATTCTTCCTGATCCAAGTCATATCCCGGACGGTCAAAGGCTCCAGGTCAGAGCTCTTCTGTCTTTCTTCGAGGACTTGACTGACATCAGATTCAGGGTCGACATTCCATACTCGAGTTCCAAGCTCAGCAAAGCGGAGGCGTTCATTCGACCTACGCATTACCTACGCACGAGCATTTCAGAGTTCATATGCTCATTCCGATCCTTGACTTAGTCCAGCATTCGTGCTGATCCCTAGTAACGAGGGTCGCGAAATCCGTCTTCTCATCATCCTCCCTTCCTAGGTACATGCTACCAACCCCGCACAATCTATGTCCTTGCAGCTAACCTTTGCTGCACGGTTCAGCCTTCCGGCCTAGAAAATTACTCACTCTATCCTTGGTTCACCTGGCCACCTCCAGTCTCGCACAACGATACACTGTGCAACCATTCACTCTTTTTTCTGAAATTAAAACGACTGTCACTCACTTATTTTCGTCGTGAATTGTACCTCTCCCGAGGCTTGACTTTTCTTCACCTTTAGCACCACACCTTTGATCTACTCCCGAGTCTCCATCAAGTCCTCTCAATATGGCTTTCAACAGAATGTCGTCATTTGGTTCCAACGATAGTGGTTACGAGAGCGGCAGTGTCGTCGAGATCTTCGACGAGCCCACGCAAGCAGCCATGAACAAAGCATCTCAGGCGAAAGAGCGTGCCAGGCACCAACAGCACCTCCTCGCCTCAGAGCTTTCTCAGCGGGACTCTGACGATTATCAGCAAGACATGTTGGAGCACATGCTGAAGATGGATGTAAGTTCGAACAGACTGCCTAACAAAGCATCTCAACTGATCATGATCCCCAGCTTGAGACCATGCCTGACGTCGATTCTATTGACATCCAAACCGAAATTCAGTGGTTCATGAGACCCTACCTCCTAGATTTCTTGGTCGAGGCCCACTCAGCATTTCAACTCTTGCCCGAAACCTTGTTCTTGACTGTCAACCTTTTGGATCGATACTGCTCAAAGCGGGTCGTCTACAAGCGTCACTACCAGTTAGTGGGATGTGCTGCACTACTCATTGCTGCCAAGTATGGGGACAAGAAAGAGAAGGTTCCAACCATCAAAGAATTGAAGTCAATGTGCTGTTCCCTGTATGACGACGACATGTTCTTGCAGATGGAGTGGCACGTCCTCTCGACCTTGGGTTGGGCCATTGGTCACCCTACTGTCGACTCCTTCATGCGCCTTGCCGTCAAAGACAACGTTTACGATCCCGAGCTCGAGAATCTGACTCTTTACATCCTGGAGATCGCCATGTACGACCGTGAATTTGTCTCGAAGCGTTCCTCGGTCCTGTCTCTATCCGCTCTCGTTCTTGCCCGACACATCCTTTGCCGCAACCAACCTCGAGCTGACGAATTTGGTTCTCAGTTCTGCAGCGAGACTGTAATGGCCCTCCTCCAGAAGGTCCACGACCCTTCTAGCATTCTCTCCCGAAAGTATGCAGGAGCTAGGTACTCGAGCGTCACTCGGACCTTGAGCACCTTCGTTGCCCAGAAAGCCGCCATGTCTGCCGCTGCTCGAGCCCCGATGACACCAACCTATGAGCTCACCCCTCCTTCAGTCGCTGCCAAACCTGCGGTGAACGAATACTTCCCCACGTTCGCGACGCCTCAGAAATCACAACTGCCATCGCTTACCCAACACGGGCTCTACACTCCACCAATCACTCCCGAGGGTGAAATGTTCGGAACCACCCAGAAAACCTTCAACGCACCTAACCAATACGCTCCTCCTACACCTACACCCAACACCATTCAACAGTCATATGTCCCTCAGTTTTCGTCATCGACACATCGATGGAGTGGTGAAACCTATTGAAGCAGGTAAAGGAACCTGGTCACGGACCGCAATATAGAATGTTGATCATCCTATCTCGGGTGTCGTCCTGGGTTGCCAGCACAGATTTTCCCATCTTACACATTGTCCCACGTGGACCATTTTTGCATCGCAAGCGTCTCGTTCAGCATTGACCTTGAGAAATCTCAAGGCAGCACATCTGCAAGCTTAAATTAATTCCTGGCTGGGGATGATTTCAAAAGTTGGAGATTCCCAAGGGTATTTTCATTCATCCCACAGAGAGGAAATCATCAGTAATGGTGTGCCTCGGACGGTCTCACCATGATCTGAAGAGGCTATAGAGCTGACTGCGATGGATTTCCCATCGCATGGTAGAAATGGAAACGTATTTCCAATTGCTATCCCTCCCGGAACACAAAGTCCTCACTTTTTTCTACGGTGCTACGGCTTGAAGGGTCAGGAGCAAAGTTGATGCTGGCTCTTAATACACACACCAACCCAAAAAATAAAACCCTCCCACTGGCTGATGTTTGGTTGTCTCATGTACAGATTGGTAAAAAAAGACTGGCGACTCGAAAGTCGCAGGGAGACATTTGCAGAGACTGCCATGGCAGGAAGGGTGCTAACATTGTCGAAACAAAGGCGATTGACTGGCCTCTTCTACCACATTTTTGTCTCAGCAAACCAAGCACAGAGAGAAGGGGGCTCCCTTGTAACTTGAATGTACTCGTATCCTGAACTAGTTCTTTGGACCCAACCCCCCCATCTTGTGTTGAACAACTGTCTCTCAGGGACGAGTCAGCCCAACACAGATGAGAGAAATTGGCAGCAAAATGGCGTCCTGGTAACGCTATCGTCGACGAACAAACAATAACTGTTTCTGTCCCTCTTTCCGTGTTTGTTTTCGGTAATGAATTTCACTTGATTTGCAGTTTGTCTTTTCTACAGACCTCGTGATAAGACTTCAGGCTGATCGGTTGTCTGGCTACTCATGCCAGTCTATGGGACTGGGAAAGTTGAAACTCGAATGCACGTTTTATCACCAAGATATTGATCCGAAAGCTTGAGCTGTCTTGACGTTTTTTTTTATTAGAGGCTTCTTCTTTTGAATTTCAAAACGGCCACCTCTAGCCCCATTCCTATCAACAAACAACCTCTCGGTAAGGCTATTTCTGGAATAGAGAGTTGACCCGTGTGCCTACCATTCTAACCGTGGCCGGTCGATTTATTCAACTTCGGAGGCCCGTACCTCAGCAACCTCGAAACTATCGCATGCTCGCATCTCGTGTTTGTTTGTGAGACGCCATGGAGGATGCGCCACACGCCTGCACCCACCACCTCTGAGACATGGTCATTAATTCAACCACGCACATCTTATGAGCTATGAGGATGCACAAGCACAACTTTGATGTGTTGCTTAAAGGCAAGAAGGTCAAAAATTGGGATTGTCGCTGATCCGAAGATGTCGGCTGTGTTTGCTGAATGCCCGTTTTCGATTGCCACATGATTTCACATGCAAACAGCGCAAGGACCAGCAATCATCATTGGCGTGACAGACATAAAGACAGCACCACTGCTCTCAAAACACTCGATACGAGGGTGCATGGCTGGACGAGGGAAGTCGGCGACCTAGGACAAGCTCTGCCAGCTGGATCGTCACTGTCGGTATGGCTTCCAAACTCTCGTATTTTTGCTCCCCACATATCAGACGGGTGTTTTCTTGACAGTTGATTCCTTCATGACTGATTGTCTTGCACCTTGTGCAGATAGAGATCAGGCATCGCGAGCAGACATGTGGCCTTGCCGGGTCGGTCACGAGGAAGATGTTGGGACATCCCGTGGTTACACACTGCTGCAATCGATCCCAGTAGTTCCGTAGATACACATCCAGCGATCTCCCCAGCAGTCGGTCTAGTATGGCGCCTGGCATATACTTGGAGAGATCTTGGAGCGATACAGGCATTAGACAGGTCTTTTGCGCTCCAAAGCATCGAATGGGTAGTCCATGAGCATCCGCCACTCGACATTGGGCTTCAAGACAAGCGCGGCAAACTTGGTGACCACAGCTCAGCCGGATCGAGTCTTTGATCCTATTCAAGCAGATCGGACATGCGTCTCTGCGTGATGAATTCGTGGGATTTCCTGGACTCGCTGCAAGGTCAGTGAGAAACCTTTGTGCGTAATCGGCGTCTTGGTTGCTCCCATTGAAAGGGATGCAACAGTCCTTCTGCCTGTCTGGAACAGGAACGAGGGGCTGGCCAAATCTGGATCTCAAATGCAGCAAGCCATACTCTTTAGCTTCTTGAGTCAAGCCAGAATCCATGCGAATCAGATGAAGGTTTCCAGAGCGAGAGCGAATTCCATCCATCAAAGAACCCCGAGCACTCATGACCTGATCCTTCCGACCATATGCGAGGATGCGTCTGGTCGACAAGTCTCGATATAGGAACAACAGTCCGTGCTTATTGTGGCCTTGTATCTCTGCTGATCCCGCATCGCTGGCATAGAATTCGTCCCATAAGGGACCTCCACGATGGTTCAGCAAGACCATGCCTCTGGTGAGCAACTGGACTTGGATCATGGCTTTTGTCACTGACAGTGTTGTGGAACCAACGATCCATATGGACATGAATGAAAAAGTTTTACCTGCAGCGGCTGTGATTCGAATACGGTCCTGCTGCTCGTCGGTGTCATCGAACTTCAAGGCGGACATGTCTGCTTTGATGGCGTAGTACACGGTAGAAAGTAGGCTGATTCTGGCGGTCACCTTGCGTTCAACAAAGATCTTTGAGCCGATGGACGCAATATGTCTGTTGTGTAACTGAAGTGTGGACTCAATATCGATCGGACTGGAAAAGGTTACGAAAGCCCTGAGCTGACCTTTCCACGGAAGGGCTATTACGTCAAAGGATCGAACTTGTCGCCCAAAGTGGTTGAGCCCAGTGAAGATCGATTCGACAGTCTCGTCGTCGGTCTTGTCGATCGTGGGTGGGCTGTGCAGCACACTGAGGGGAGGGTTGTGTTTCAGGTGTGATAGTATCTCTCGCTTGTCTGTATGTGGATGGACATTTGGAAGACGAACAGTCCAGACTGGATTTGTAGAGTTGATCTGGGAGTTCGGCGGGACAAGTTCGGGTTTGATCATTCTGGTATGTATCTTTGTCGTAAGTCTGTCACAAGCATGTTTTGCGGATTTAGGATCGCCATAATGAAGCCAGACAACCTTGGATGGATTGTACCATGTGCAAATGATTGTATCTATGCTCATTTGTTGATGCTCTCGCGTCAATAGCCCATGGCTTCGAGCTTGGGTGTCATCGTTTTGGGACGACACGAGTCCGATGTGGTTGATCTCCCCGCCTGCAGCAAAAAGGATCGAGATCCCTCTCGTATCACAGCGTAAAAGCGGAGGAGTGCTCATTGGGGTCTGTGAGAGCTGGGCAAATATGGATTAGTATTGCTCGGGAGAGTTGGGTAGAAAAGTGATGCTGATACATACTGAATTGTCTCTAAATCTCATGTGTTCGGGATGATTGTGGTCAAAGCTGTTAGGAAACGTTTGTTCTCCATGAAATTGAGGATTTGGGTGATGACCATATTGGGCCATTTCTGGCACGAAGGGATTCAAGGTAGCTGCTGTTAGGTCTATTGTTGAGGAAGACGATATAGGGTCCAGACGATTAAGGTGACGGGTGAGATCAAGGTGGAAAGAGGATAGATGGGGAAGTCGTCAATCATGATGAACAAACAATCTTGAGGACAGAGGAAGAATTTATGAGGTTTGCGAGTCTGGCAGAAAGACTTTGCGGCGCCATTATAGCGGCGTCTGATGTTGCCTGGCGCCGCCAGGTCGTTATGAGCTGCATTAACCTCCACTGCGTGTTCTGGTCTGTTCTAGCGCTGCAGCCCTCTCAGTGAACCTTCAGAATCAGCCGTTGCATTCGGAGCATCCTAGAAGGGAAACAGGGAAGTGACATGTGGTGAAAAGTGAAGGGCGGCAACAATCATTTACACTGATGGCCTCATCCAGTGAAAATCAGAATTGTACTCTTGTGAGGAACCGGAGATGAGTTCGATTAGCTATAATCACCCTCAAAAGTGAGTGCAGGCAGCTAGGGATCGCAGCCTGGTCAAGAAAGGGAGGAAGGAGAGATTTATCAAAGGCGGGAACATGGGAGGATTGGGGCAGGCTGGTATTTGGTGATAGTTGAGAAGCTTAGAACTTACCATAGACGAATGCATTGAGAAGTTGAACTGCATGTTGAAGAGGTGAAGTTGATAACATTATTGTCGCAACCAGTGCAGCCAGGAACCCAGGGGACACTTCTCATCACGTGAATAGGACATGCAGTAGCAGGAGGCACCAATAGCCACGGTTAGGAAGGAACAGCTTGTGTTACTGGGCACCTACCGAAGGGATGAGAGGCAGGCACACGCAGTTCATTGTGATGTTAGAAGGTACGTCCATGTAAAAATAAACTGGTGTCTTGGGTTTTGCTGCTTGTGGTTGCTTAACGAGGGTCCCACCCAAGATCAACCAATGCTTTGATTATTAAGGGCCTTGGTGGGCTTCTTAGGCCTCGTTCAGTCGAGATCTCGACCCCGCCGCCCATCGCCCCATCTCGCCAGCTGCTTATCCCATCTGCCCTGCTCCCGCCTCTGGGGTAGCCCCTCGGCCCTCGGCCGATCAACCACTAATCGGCCCTTTCCATTGACAACGCTTATTGGTTGCCGTTACAGTAGTGATCATAATCCTCTGAGCCCTTGTTTCTAGCATGGTGCCAGCATCCACCGAATAATTGTGCGAGACAATCCAGATCAGATTCCTGTGGGTGGGAATGGGTAGATGGCTTTCCTTAGTACCAAAGACACATTGATTACAGATCAAGGGAATGACCCCTGCTTCTTGTCAAGTGAGCAGACCTGGCAGATCCAAAATCATCGAAGCCTCAAGCCAAGCTAATGCTTGAACAGAGTTCTACACTCCCGCACATCCCCAGCTACGTCAACGACTCGTTTAGGCCAAAGCTGGATGGCCTTTGCCTCATGCTTACTGGATATCGCTCGAACTCACGCCTCTACTAGCGCAGCAGTAGTTCTTCGAGGCTATCGGATGACATCTCCTCAACTCGTCATGTGTCTGTCGCTGCTCGCGAAGCCTTTCCCCAGCCTTCACTCCTCCGCAACCTCCCCCCGGTCCTGCAGCTCTATTTCTCCGTGCACCAAAGCGGGGTTCCCACTCTCATCATACCATCTCGACCGTGATCAGAAGACAGAGTCACCACTCATGTCTATCAAAACTACGCCATCCACTGGTCGGCACCTGTACAATGCCCTCCCAGCCCGTAATCGAGCCCGATTCTCGCCAATCATTCCCGTCTTACCCTGCTGGTAGTCCACGTACAATGCCTTCTTCTTCTCATCCCCACCTGTCCCAAACTCTCATCCTCTCGCAGCTGCCTGCGCTCAGACTCATCCAGCCGCAGCATCGGCCTTGAACCTTGAACCACCTGCACTTATATATACCTCATTTGGAAGTCTCTGGCTCACTCTGCCCTTCCAGTCCCAGTCATTCTTGTCCAGCACTAAATCTTTCAACATGGTTGGAACAGCGGATCCATATTACAATCGCAAACCAGTCCCTGGTAGGCTTCTAGCCCCACCGCCTCCTTCATTGATGATACTGATACCCATCTCTCTCCGTAGACGAGCTGATCAAGGATGTCGGGTACACGGGATTGTCACCTGAGCAGGAGTTTTACAACCGCGAAAGAAAGTACAGTGCTACTGGAGTCGATGTGAGAAGATTCAGCAATAGTAGGAAGGGTGGAATGGAGCCACAAGATGATCCTTACTACGGACGGAGATCGGTTTCAAGTCTGCCATGATTCATGACCTGTCTTCCAACTGCCTATACTGACACCGTCCACAGAGGCCGAGATTGTCGATGTTGGAAAGACTGGACTGACACCAGAACAAGAATTCTACAATCGGGAGCGAAAATATAGCGCTACCGGGGTCGATGTTAGACGGTTCAGCAAAAGTTCCTCTGGAGGAATGGAACCACTCAACGACCCATACTACGGCCGCAAACGAGTATCTCGTGAGTGCCCCTGTGCCGCCAATTTGACATCGATGACACTCTTTAATGTTCTCATATCTCTGACTCTGAATGCGCAGTTGCCGAAATCGCCGGAATTGGCGAGACTGGCAGTACCCCGGCCGAGGCCTACGAAGTCCGCGAACGCAAGCAATCTCTGTTTCAGGTTTCGGCTGACCCGTTTGACACACTCGCTGGCCGACATCGACAATCTGTGTCTGGAGTTGCCAGTAGTGCATCGGCCGCAGCAACTCGTCGTCGCAGCTCCGCAGTCGCCCCTGATGCTGATGCGGCTGTACATGCCCACCAGCAGTCGCAGCATCACCATAGTGGCTTCGACGGTGACAAGCTCGAGCCGATCATGAGCAGACAAGAGCTGCCTCCAGTCGACGTCGGGGAAACATCACTCACGAGCTCGGGGATCTCATCATCCACCACATCCCAGTCGCAGAGTGGATTGGCACGTAACGGCGTGGGTGGCGAGCATACCCGGTTCCATGATGCGACTACCGTCGGACATAATCATAATCAACAAACCTTCGACGACCCAGATAGTGTAGCTCCCGACGAGCGCAGATGAAGAAGACATACCCAAGAAGCTGCGATGTCGTTCTAGGCTGTCAACCTTGAGCGTGGACAACATCGGCTGTAAGGCAGTTACAAAAAAACACCATGTAATCTTGGACCTACGCGGTGCGAGCCTGCCGTTCATGGAGATACCCCTTTTTCCATTATATCATTGTGAATGTAAGAAGCAGGGGGCCGGTGCGAAGAAGACATGGTTGGAGGAAATGTTTGTTTCAATTGAAACATCTGAATCAAGAAGTCATTTATTGCCTCGAAATCTTTCCACTCTGTTTGTCGTTCTCGGAAGGGTTTGATCACCTTGTTTAGATACATCAAGCTTAAATGAGCCCTTCTGCCTTTAGCTTGACCAGAAAAGGCCACGTAGGGAAGCACTTCTCCAGAAGCCCTAGAACCACGATTGCGACACACACGGGACCAACTATGAGAATCCATGCGATGTCTTCGAGAATTCTCCTTCTCTGCGGCCAACGGTTGGGTTTAAACTTGTACGTCAATTCGGCTTCCAGACACTTGGGACACTGTGAGGGATGCCTTGCCGGTTCTGCCATCTGGGTGCTCCGACACAAGTCGCAAAATAGACTGCTGCTATCCTCTCCTCGGTCTAAAGACCACATGCGAATGAGATGGTCGCATCTCTGGTCCTTGGTCCACTCGGTCCACACCTCCTGCTCGACGTTGAGCTGGGTGCTCCACCGCGGCTTCTTGGTACGTCGCAGTCGAGTTTCAAAGTACTGTGGGTCTCGAGTCACGATCTTGTTACAGGTCCAGCAGTATCGCCACCGGTCTTTGTTCACCCAGCCGTGTGCGAGTCGGAGGATCAGGGTGTAGCAATCGGGGGCGAGGTACGTGTTGTCTGTTCGGTTGAACCAACCCCATGTGTTCGGAGATGTGTTCGGAGACAGCCGCGGCGCTGACAGCACTCCAGAGGCGAGCTTTTTACTGCTCAGGCCGAGACAAACCCGGTCGAGGGGGTGGAGAAATGCAACAATGTTGTGAATGACTTCTGCTGGGAGGTTCGATATCGATGTTGAGGTCAAAGTCTTTGCGACGGCGGACTTATTATTAGACTTTGTATCAGATGCTGCTTCTGCGGGAGTGTTCAGATTGACCTTTGTCCATAGACAAGTCAATAATTCAGCTTTGTCAAATGATTTCAAAAGAATGAGCTGGGTCTGAGACTCACCAATGGCGGCAACTTGAAAAGGATGATGCGGTCTTCCTCATCACGTGGCCAGGCTTTCTGCGACTGTGTGACCGCGCTCCACAGCCTCATGGCGGTCGCTGCAGTAGTGGGAGCAAACAGGAGCGGGATAGCTTGGAAACAGGATCAAGCTGAAGAAAGGATCATAGCAACTTCATAATGTTGTGTCCCCCCTCGGTGAGAGGCAGGAAAATAATGAACAGCCCAGTAACGGGGAGAAGGGTTCAAGAGTCACAAGGCGATAACACTTTCATCGCACATGCTCGAAGAGGCATGGACAGTGAATGCACAAGTTGGAGTTGGGACCTGGGATTCGATCATGGCCAAATACCTGGAAGTTGCCTTGTTGGCAGCCCTGGCACTCCTGGCCAAGTGCATAACATCACGTAGGGCCGGTAAACGTGGGTAAGCGCATGTTGGCATCATATCTGATTTGATGATAATTTCTTACGGTGCCTCAAGCGAGTTTGGCCAGGTTGAACGTGGATGTTAGGCGGGAGGTGGAAGAAGAGTCACGGGGTGTCATGTGATGTGTCTAACACGTGATGCTAGAAGGGCATGAAGGCGAGGAAGGCAAAGGTTGAAACAATAGTGACAGTGACAGCACAACGGTGTGGCCTGTGCTTCACCCGATGGCTTATGGCAAGCCATAAGTGGCCCAAGCGCAAGAGCCTCAAGCCAAGCACATAATTTTGTGAGGCAGCACGTGCCAGGGGTTCCTGCCTGGAAACTCAATGCGAAAAAAGTGTATATCAAACATTGATGAAGGCTGAACTGAAGGGACATTGCCTGTTGGGATGTTGCAAGACGCGAAGCGTATTCATCCTAGCAAATCGTGCCACCATCGTCATGTATACCACCACATTTGTGCCCCTCCTGAAAAAAGCACAAGAATAGAATGAGCCAGAACGGAGCTAGCACCCACCATTGCCGGCTGGGCTTCTCAGGGGAAATTTGTTTCCATTACAAGACGGAGCCTCGACAGAAAAAACGCGTCCAAAACTGGAACGCCAGCCGGATTCAGGCAAGCCCCTGTTTAAGTATACAGAAGTATCTCCTTTTTGAACTTCCTGTCTCCCACTTGGCCATCTCGAGTTTGACGCCATCCATTCTCGCTTCCAAGAGCTCCATAGCCCATTGTCTATTGGGTCTCATCGTCGACCCCTTGTTGTCCAATCATGCCGGCCATGCTTCGCTCTGGCATTTTCCACCATCACAATTCCATACGGAGTACTGTCTAGAATATCCCTGCCGCCAATCACCCGCGCAAACTCTATTGAATCTTAACCTGACTTGACCCTCAACCCATCCAAGCCACCTCTTACGAACACCCATCCACGTCACCGTCATAACAATAAAGCCCTTGTCCCTGAGGCGTGGAGCATCGGGCCTAGCCGACCTCGGATGCTCGCCATGTTTTTGGTAGACTCGCATGCACTGGAGTCGCAAATGTCGGCTTCAGACAAGTGGACCATTTCAACACCCACACTCTCTCTACCAATGACCCTCTTCGGCGGCCAATTCTCAATTTCCCACGTGAAGTGGCCACAGCTGGGCCACCCCAGATGAATCCGAATCTGTCACTTCTGGACCACGCCTCCGATGTTGGCTCATTTTTCTGCGCATGAGATTGGCGCCTTCATCGGTGAGGGACTGTGAGGCTATGCTTGTTTGCCGTCTTCCGGCATTCATCCAATCCACCGTCATGCCATGACAATATAGCATCGGGGCCTTCCTCTTTGCTTCTGTGCTTCTTGCTTTCCTCATGCTGTTGTTGCCGTCGTTCAATTTGACATAGCCTTGTGCTGCCATTCCTTTACAATATGCCTTCCTCATCACTCTTTCTGAGGTCGAGCACCACTCTCCTTTCTGTTTTGTCTTTGATTTCCCCCTCAATTTCTTCTGCCATTCCACATGCATTGGTTCCCCGTGCCGAGACCTACTATGCCTTGGACACTGACTACTCCGGTGCCTCCTTCTTCGATGGCTTCAACTTCTTTTCCGTAAGGAGGCTCTTCGATCCTACACTGCAAAAACCATGCTAACCGTCACCAGGAAGCTGACCCTACACATGGTTTCGTCACGTCCGTTGCTCTCTTCCCTTTGCCCTGACTAAACTGAATTAACACGCCTTCAGATACGTCGACAGAAGCAGCGCCCAGAGAAATGGCCTCATCTCTCTCAATGGCGGATCCGCTCAAATGAAGGTCGACTCTAGCAACACTTATGATGGCAATGCCGCCTATTGGGGCATTAACGGTGTTGGCCGTCCAAGTGTCAGAATCGAGTCCACCAAGCAATGGACAAAGGGTCTTTTCATCGCTGACATCAAGCATGCGCCCACTACTAGAACCTCTCAAGGCTGCGGTACCTGGCCTGCTTTTTGGACATTGGGAGATGGCACCTGGCCATATAACGGAGAAATCGACATCTTCGAGGGCGCCAACAACCAAGGCAGCGTTCTTTCCGCGCTCCACACTGGCAACACTTTCACGGTGCTCCAACGTGATCAGACTGGTACCCCCAACGGCAATGACTGCCAGTACTATCCCAACGCTGCGAACAACAATGCTGCTGGATGCGCGTCTTTTGATCGTCGCTCCACCAGCTATGGCCCAAGTTTCAACGCAATCGGTGGTGGTGTCTACGCCATGGAATGGACCTCGGATGCTATCAAGATCTGGTTCTTCCCCCGAAATGGTATTCCCGCAGACATCACTTCCGGCTCTCCTGATCCAAGCTTGTGGGGAACGCCATCGTCCATCTTCAATGGCCCTAATGCCAACATCGACGCCAACTTCAGGAACCATAGAATCATCTTTGACACCACATTCTGCGGTAAGTCATGAGGGAAGCCTCCGTGTTGACTCTGTTATCTAATAGTTTTTCAGGTGACTTTGGCGATGCTACCTGGAGCGGTAATGGCTGCGCTGCCTCGACTCGTCAACAAAAATGCTCTGTCTATGTCGGAAGCAATCCTTCCGAATTCTCCGAGGCATACTGGGACGTCGCATCGGTCAAGATCTATCAACTTAGGGATAGGCCAGTCACCACGACCACGACCACAACCACAACCACGACTACCACAACCACAACCACAACCACGACAAGTACCACGACTACCACAACGACGACGCCTACGACGACGACGACCACCACCACCACAACCCCACCCGCGCCGACTACAACCACTACAACAACCACTACAACCACTACAACCACCACGACCACCACAACCACCACCCCACCCGCGCCGACTACAACCACCACCACACAGGCTCCCACGACCCTGACCACTACAACTACCCCGGTTGTGCCCACTACCACTCTCACAACCACCACCACCACGACCACGGTTCCCACCACAGCTCCCACCCTCCCTCCGGTCACACCTAGTCCAGGCACGACAGAAACAACCACGACCACAACCACAACTACTACCACGACCACGACCACCACTACCACAACTGAAAAGCCCGTCACAACGCCAACTACTACCACAAGTCACGGTACGCAGGGTCCAACTACCCCCCTTCCTCCTGTTCCAACAACTACTTCACACTGGGGTGGACCATTGCCCACTACCAGCGTGACCAAGCTCCCCGAGGACACGAGTTCGACCCTTGACCAATGGGAGGACTGGTCAAGCACCACTGCTGGCCCAGCTCCTACCACGACCACAACCGAGGACGACGCAATTTGGAGTGACTGGCCAGAGACCACTACAACCCCTGTAAGCCCGGTCTCGACAACCACTTACACAGACGGTGACTGGGAGGACTGGGAAACGACATCCACAACCACCATTCCTGTGTCCCCAGAGACCACGACCTACGTGGACGGTGACTGGGAGGACTGGGAAACCACATCCACAACCACCATTCCCGTGGTTCCAGCGACTACCACCACCTACTCCGACCCCGACTGGTATGATTGGGACTATGCCTCTTCGACCACGACCGTCCCCGTAAGCCCAGCCACAACCACTGAGCCAATCTGGGCCGACTGGGCCGAGACCTCAAGCACCAGCACTCCCGTCAGCCCTGCCACGACTACATCTGAGTCCGCAGTCTGGAGCGATTGGGAAACCACCGTGACTGCCACACCAGTCACCACCATCGCAATCACCCAGACAGTTACTCCCATCGCCGTCCCCTCATCCGGCAAGCCCATCTCGCCTATTGAGACTTTCACCGGAGCTGCTGGACGTGTCCAACTCACTGTCCTGAGCTCAATCGGATCTGGCGCCCTTGTCGTGCTCGCACTGCTTTGGTAGAACAATTTGATATTTTGATTCTTTCTCTCATTCTTCCTTCTTTCTTTCTCCTCAACCCCGACTTGTCCAGGCTTGGAGTGGAGGATCAAGTAGATTGAAGACGGTTAAGATTTTTGATATGACCAAAATTTTCTTTTAGAATGCATCTCTGCGCAGAGGACAAGAGGATTCTGGCCACCTCTCGTTTCGGTACCAGAGGCTCGACAAGCATGATCATCATCCGAAACCTCTACGTTTACTAGACGTGCATGTGGACCGATCTGACGTCTTCCTGTCCAGAGACCATTCATGTCGATAGGTTACATCTGTACTTGAACCCAAATCTTGCAGATCCTGCGCCCGCGGTGAACTCATCTTTCGATTTTTCTTGAGAGTAACTGTCATGTTGTATGTGATGATGATCCTATGATAGCACCCTACTCTGATCTGTGTGAATGGAACCACACAGGACAACAAGCTCCAATGACTTGAGGATGAGAGACCTCGCATTGTTTCCTTGGCTGATTGATGATGACATTCTATCTATCATTCATAATCGCATGAGACAACACCGCGCGAGCCAACATGCAGCCATCGTGGTGTATATCAAACGGCCATTGATAGTCCTACAAGTAGAGTGACCCAACAAAGTCCATGTTTTCGTCTCCGCAATTGCGAAAGCCATGCCAACAAAGGTAAAATTCGCCCAAACTCTATCAACGAAAACAACAGGTCAGGGGTATCAGTGCGCAGCGAACTCGACGCCATGTAGCTTAGCTTCTTTTCCAAGGGTAACCCGAACCAGATCAAAATCAAATAACCTGTACAAGTACCAGAACAGTGTAAGAATAATTCCCTTGTCAAACCCTCCTACCCATTTATCTACTTGTTCTTTCGATTTTCCCAACCGTTCATCGTCCGACGAACCCCAAGCGTTTTTCTCGACCCCGTTGAAGAATATCCAACTCGCGACAGGGCCGCCATGCTTGTCACGTGCATTGTGCTCGCTGGTTTCGAAAGAATATAGTCTGTCAGTGGTGCAGCGACTGCGTTCGTCCTGTTTGTTGGACTGGGTTTCTGAGCGAAGGTGCTTGGCTTGTTCTCAACTGTCTTGTCCTCACATGCTTTGTGTGTCTCTTCAAAATCAGGCGGAGGAGGGGAAGAGCTATACAAACCGCCGTAGCCCTTCCGTTTGGTTGCGTTGGCGCTTGTCTCACTCAGCGGACAGGGTTTGCTCTGGACCATGCCATTTCGAAAGTGTAATCGATGAGAGGAGAATTCTTCGGGTATGCCCTTCTCGGGTATAACCGTGGTCGTCCGTGTGAATGATGGAGGTGCCGATGGTAGTAAGGGCTCTCTTACTGGTGGTGGAGAGAACTTCTTCGCCCGTGGTGGACTAGATCGACTAGGCTGGGCGCATGCTTGTCCTGGTTTCAAGAAAAATGCAGCAATATTGCCCTGCCCAGATGCTGATTTGACCAGCTTAGGTTTCTTGGTCGGTGGCAAGGGGTCTGATGATGTTCGTGATAGTTCGGGTGGCACGGTGTTAAGATGCTGTCGGGCTGTGGTAAACCCCATGGTCATAGTCGAAGTCGAAAATGACTGAGGATCATTCATCGTAGTCATCTTCTTGTCATGCCAGGATTTAGCTGACGAGTGTGAGTCAAAGCGCTGTTCCCGCGCTCGAGCAAGTGCCTCTGCTAAGGGTAGGCCAGGTTCTGGCATTGCACTATTCTCCGAGATGGCCATTGGCATTGGACGATGAGTACCATCGACGGGCCATCGGTCATCAGCTACACTGTCCCTAGCATCAATGGTCGCCAGGCTCCGAGCCAGTTGCTCCTGCGATGGGATAGGACGGCAAAGAGTCCTAGCAATGTCGGTAATCGTTGCATCATCGAACAGGGGACCCTTCTCTACAAGATGTCGCTTGATTTCCGTAGGAAGAAACGACGAGAGTGAGGATTCAAGTCGGTCGCGAGACTGTTCGAGAGGGAAAGTCATGGTTAGAAGAGCCTGTGCCCGTGTTACTGCAACATAAAGCAAACGACGTTCTTCATCAGTGTTTTCAGCTCGTGAATGGGGGATCGACCCCTCGTAAAGCGCTGGGAGAAACACTACTGGCCATTCGAGACCTTTTGCAGAGTGAATAGTGGATATAGTGACACGAGACATATCACGATCTTCTTCGCTTTCGGTGGGGTCTGACGAGAGAACAATGTTGGCCAGAAATTGTGCAAGAACTTCATCTCCCCCGTTGCCCAACCGTTGTTCCAGGCCGTCGATTGTCGCAAGTTGGTCCTCGGGATTTACAATCATTGTGACATCGGATGATTGTACAATCAACTCTTTCAAGTTTTCCAATCGCTCTTCGTGGTCCTCTGCGTATTTGGTCTTCAGATAATTCTCGAAATCGATCGACTTGACCACGAGATCTATGAGTTGACTTGGCACATTTGCAGGCAATGCCGTCTCGACTTTGTGACGTGCTTGCATGACAAGCTTCACTAGTCGTCCTAGCTCTTGCTCAGCAGGCTTCGACAGATTTTTCTGCAACGAAATTCTTCCTGAAATGGCTTTCTGCGCGACAGCCCAAAGAGAGATCTTTCGGTCTTTGGCAACCTTTGCAAGCTCCGCGATTGTAGTCTCTCCAATCTTGCGCGAGGGTACATTAATGATGGATAAGAATGCTTCATCATTGTCTGGATGGCTGATAGTGCGAAGATAATCGATAATGATTCTGATTTCAACGCGGTCGAAGAAACGTTGGCCGCCCACCATTCGATAAGGTATTCCCGACTTTGCCAGTGCTCTTTCAATCAACAGTGATAGGTAAGCAGATCTGATTAGAATAGCAATGTCCGAGCGGTGAAGGAGCCCACCAGTCATGGTGATGGTTCGCTTGATTTCGCTGGCAATCCACAACGCTTCCTCGTTAGGGTTCGGAAGACGTCTAAGGACCGGCTTCGTCCCGTGACAATGCGTGGCCTTTAAACATTTCTGTGGTCGATCTTTGTCTTGCTCGATGATATCCTGTGCAAGCATCAGGATGGATGAGGTTGAACGATAATTCTCCTCGAGATTGATGACCACAGTTTCTGGGTAAACTGTCTTCATGCGGTTCAAGTTCTCGATCTCAGCTGCACGAAAGCCGTAGATGCTTTGATCAGGATCTCCAACGATTGTGACTCTGCGCTTGTGCCATGCCAAGAGCCTCATCAACTCGAACTGCACGACGTTTGTGTCTTGAAATTCGTCGATCAATAAGGCTTCTATGTTGGAGACGCACTTTGGGTAAGCCCGAAGAAGTTCGACACACCGTAGAAGTAGATCATCGTAGTCAAGAAGCTGTGACTTATCGAGGTCACTCTGGTACTCTTTAAATGCAGCCACAAAATCGTAATGATCGTTTCCCTTAGTTTTGGGTTTGGTCTTTGCCAAGTCTTCACAGCTCTCGCCCTTTGCTTTATGGCTCGAGATCTTCGACTTGACCTTCTTGTAGTCGAGAGACAGTTGAAGTCGTTTTATCACGCGTTTGATGATGGATTTGCTAGCAGTGTTGTCTGCAATGCCGAATTGTTTGGGCAAACCAATCAAATGGCCATAAGCTATCAAGTATCGTCGGCAAATCGAGTGGAAGGTTCCCATGACCAATTTCGACTCAAGGTCGGTCCCGACCAGTTCCCGGAGTCTCTCCCGCATCTCTCGACTTGCCTTGACGGTGAAGGTGCAGCAAATGACATTTCTGGGGTCGAGGCCATGGTGGGCGATGAGGTATGCGACGCGGGATGTGAGTGTTTTGGTTTTGCCGGAACCTGGAGGAGCCAGAACCTGCAGTACGGATGCCTGTGAGGTGACGGCGGCTTTCTGGGCTACATTGAGACCTTTGAGCAGCTGCGAATCCATCGCAGGCTGGATGATGGCTACATGTATTGTTGTTGGTCAGGGTATTGAGGGTACGAATCTCGACGCGTTGTGGAAGCTTCACGTGTCGAAGGCGAAGAGGAAGGAACGCGGAGGGACGCGGCCCTGACACGTGGTCATGTGAGCTGGATATGGAGCCAAGACATTTAGTGGGTCTCTCACTCCGATCTGCCCGATCTCGATCCAACCAATTCGAGGCTCCACCCCAGAATCGACTTCATGTCAACTATCCGTGTCTAGACAGATCAGTGTCTATGCCATACAACACCCACTTCGTAACTCACAACTCATGAAGGATGGCCGCAAAGAAGGAGGCAAATAAGGATACTAGGAAGGCGTCATCCGAACGGATCTCGTGGGATGACTCGGTGTATTGTCTAGGTCGTCATTATCGGCTTCACGTTAGTGACAGGATGAAATCTCTATAGTTTCTGTAGCGAAATTGGCAAGCGTCGTTCCAATAACTGTATTGGTATATCTCGTTGTGTTCTTTGTGTTCAATAAGACAGTAGAACATTTAAATAGCCTCTTATTATACGCCTCAAAAGACGTTGGTCTGACTTGCGAATGAAAAGTGAAGACCGTTGTTGATTGTCCATTTTGGAGGAGGCTGGCTGTAGTATTCACTAACACTGCTTTGATGTCACCTGTCCGTGACTACACTCGAGAACAGAATCCTCAGCCTCCCCTAGATTCTTTAGTCTTTCGACCCTTTTTCCTTGTCCCTCTCTCTTACTCTCTTGTCACCACACTCGATCTCAAATCTCGACCCATCCTACCTTTCTCATACCTGATCCAACACTGAAACTCATCACGATCGCCTTTCAACTACCTTGTTCACGAACTGACTCAGTCTGACTCCTGGTCACTTCACTTATCTCTGTTGTCGTTTCAACCTGATCTCAAAATGTCCTCTCCAAACACCACTCACGTTTCTGGTCTTGCAGAGGTTCCAATCTCAACTCCGTCCAGTGACAGGAGCGATTGCACCTTACAAGGCGAAGTCACAACTGCAGTCACCATGGATGCAGGGAAAATCAACCAGCCAATGTCGACGGCGCCTCGATCTGAACCAAGTTCGTCCCCTGCTCCAGTCCCGAAGACGTCCAGACACTCTTGGCCTGGCTTCACCCATAGCGACCTCATGCGCAAAGCAAAGCAGTCGAACACTCCCTGGGGATATCATGCTCGATCAAGAGACGTGCTATGGGAAATGCGCAGTACTTACAACACACGCCGACCAGAGCTGCCCAAGGGCATTGCTCATTACACTGCTGAGGCACTGCAGTTCTACACCAGTGTCTTGAACAAAACCAAAGCCGAGCACAAAGACAAAATCCAAGGCACCAAGAAGTCACCGACAACCACAGACGACAACACAAGACATCAGATGGGTTCCGTCCAGAACGGCAATGCATTGGGATCAACCGGGTCGACTCCGCCAGCAACTCCGGTCACTAGAAAGAGACCAGCGGCGGATGATTTGGATGGCTCGGAGGATGCCAGTCCATTCAAGAAACGTGCTAGCCCATCGGTAAGTCGCACACCGTGAGTTCAACAGCCTCGATGATTGACTCACATAGATTCACAATCAGACCGTTCCAGCGGCACACTCCATGAACAGCGGACGTCGCAGAAAAGTCATCATCGATTCTGATGATGAAGTTGAAACGTCCATCTCTCAAGAGACACCCTCAAAGAAGTCTGTTGCGCAAGAAGCCCACCCTCCATCAAAGACTGTCACCCCCGAGCCATATGCTCCATCCATTGAAGATGTCGGCCGTTCTCAACCCCTGTTGCTGCCCCCATTTCCGATTCTCGCCGCTCTCACTTCCGATGCCGCTGCATCCTTGACTCACATCAAGAAACGTCGCCGGGTAGGAAGTCCTTCAAACAATTCATTATGGAAAAGCATTGACTCTTGCCAGGGGGACCCAGATACTGAAGAGCCTGCCGCAAAGAAGGCACGAGACTACCGACATGTGCGGCCGGAATCTAACAAAGAGAACCGGGACCAACCGAAGAAAGAGAGATTGATGGCGCAGAACAAAGCGAAAAATATGAAAACACTTCCAGGCAAACCCCTGTACGAAACAAAAACAGTGACAAGCAAGAAGCCAAAGACTTTCCAAATTGCCAGAGATGATGATCATGATGGTGCCGGTGAGGTCGAACCTGAGAATTCAAGCGAGTCCAAAACCATTAAGGCATTCACTGCAAAGTATCGAACTCGATCAGTAACATCGGCGACTGCTATTTCCAAGCAAGCAATGAAACATACGGATGCCCCCTTCAGCAAAGCCTCATCATCGAAGACACACGGAGCCGTCGAAGAGGTGGGTTCTTCGACCTCACATTCCGGAACCCAAACAGCATCTGCTGCTCTTGCATCTCATAAGGGCAAAGTGGTGAAACCGACAAAAAAGACAACAGATCCAACCACATTCAAAGCGGACAAGGTGAATGCAAATGCTCCAGCCAACGAGAATCCAAAACTAGCACGAGGTGTCGCAGTTAGATCGGGTAGCAACACATCCAGATCCGACAGAGCTGAAAGACGTACGAGGTCAACCAAGGAGTCAGCACGCAGATATCTTCGCTTTTGAGTATGTGAGGTGCGGTTGACTCGAGCTGGCAGCGCAGGGCAGGTTGCTCACGTTCGAGTTGAATAGCGCATATGCCGCGTGGGTTTCACAAGAATTTCTTTTCAGAGAGGTGTATGATGAGTCTTGAGGGTCATCGACTGGATTGGGTTGAAGTTGGACATGATTTTTGTTCGATGAGCATGGCCAGATTGACGGCAAAGTGTTGGAGTACGAGAATGGTTGTTTTCCGGTTCGAAATGGTTCAAATGGTAGCAAGTTGGATGATTGAAGCTGCTCGGCCTGGTGTACTGAGCAAAACAGGATAGGATCATTCCACTCAGGAGGTATTTGTCTATTGATCAATCGTCATGGCTACGTAAACTGCGGATTGGGTAACCATACTACTTGTTTCCTGGATGCGGGGATTCTTAGCGAATAAGGCGACTTCACCCAAGGACGAAGAGGGGTGTCCAATTGAGACCCTTGAACATCACACATATACAATTGTCCCTACTCTGCCTTCCAGCAAGATCCCTTTTCAAGTTGAAATCCCAACCTTCTTGGACACAGTATCGACACATATCGGCGATATTGTATTAGATCCACCAACCCACCATCTTACCACTACTTACTCTCTCTCTTCTTCCCCACCACTACTTACAGTCCTCATCAGCTCACCGCAACCCTCACACTACCTCACCACTTCAAACCTAAAAGCCAACGACCAAGCCACCACTCAGGCACAAAACCTCAAAATGCACTACCTACAATCCGTCGTATCCGTTCTTTCCATTCTGGCCTTTATCGCCACCCCTACCGCCGCCATTCCCGAAGGTCTGGAGATCGAGTACCTCACCCCCGAAGTAACATGCACACGCAAGACAGTCAAGGGCGATAAGATCGACGTGCACTATGCGGGTACCTTGCAAGATGGAGGTAAAGAGTTTGACTCGAGCTACTCGCGAGGAACACCGTTGAGTTTCCAAGTTGGTAGTGGAAGGGTTATTAAAGGGTGGGTTTGACGTGAGGGTTATCATGGTGTTTGTTGCTGACTAGTATTGCAGATGGGATGAGGGTCTTTTGGACATGTGCATCGGTGAGAAGAGACGATTGACTATTCCCCCCTCTCTGGGCTACGGTGCTCAGTCGGTTGGTCCGATTCCTGCAAACAGCGTTCTGGTCTTTGAGACGGAACTGGTCGGCATCAAGGGCGTCAAAAAGGATGAATTGTAAAACTTTCATTCGACTTATGGTGATTTACAGCATGCTATGCCATGCCATGCCATGGAACGACACGGTCTGTTCTCGCCAGCTAGAATCGCCGTGGTATAGCCGCAGGAATCCATTCCCAGCTGGGTTGATAACACCCACACCCAAATAGACATGACATAAAATGGGACAAAATAAAGATACTTGACACACCGACTGCTAATGATAGTATCCGTCTGCTTTCGGGTACTCGAAGCCAATAAAGGCCGAGTCTATCGCTTGGTGATGGCCACCAAACGTCTGCCTCTTCTCAGACTGTCGTCTAGATTTACCTTTCTATAGGGTATCATAGGCCTTCCCTTGAATGCTGTACATGTATAAAGTTCGTTACCGTCGAGATGCAACCATTCCAGGCTCTCTGCTCAGTCCATTCCATCCAGATCGGTAGAACTCTCATCCTCCTCTGAGACGAAAATGCCCACAAGGCACTCAGAGAGCATGCCCTCCCAGTTGACCCAAGGGTGAACCTCCATGAACAACTTGACCGAGTCCTTGCCAGCGCCACGCATAATTTCACCAACTCCACCAGGATGGAAGGGAAGATAGGGCGTGATATTGTATACTTTGCCGTGATATACAGTCCACGCATCTCTGCCTTTCCTTCCATTTTGGTGCTTCAGCTGGGCCGGTGTTACGCGAATCAGGTTAGGTGGTGCATCTTTGCCACGTAATTGCGCTGTCGGGTCGTTGGTCAAAGCAGCCCAGTCGAGTGGAGAATGACCGGGTTCGAGGATGACTTTGCGAGAAACCTGTTTGCCCGGTGGCATGATGGACGAGGTCGGCGCCATGGAAGTGTTTAGCAGGGCTTTTTGAGGCGGAACTCTTAAAGATGCTGCGGCAGAAGGTGGAGGACGCACGAATCCGTTGCCAGGACGAGGCGGAGCAGCCATGGACCCAAACGAGGCCGGAGGATTCAGTCGTGGCGGGGAGGACGTCTTGTTGGTGCTGGGTGGTGGAGGGGGTGGGGGTGCCATCACTGGCAGTTGTAAATTTGGGACCTGTTTTGGGACCTCCTCTTTCACTGGTGTATTAGACACGGGTCGAACTGGTTCCTCCACCGAAGAGGAATCACTGGGTGGAAGGTTTAATTTAATGGGAGGTTCTGATATGGTGCTGTTGTCGAGTTCGGCTTGGGCATCGGTGGTCGAAACGACGATCTGGGCCTGCGCATGGTTGGGTTTCGATGGTAGAGCCTCAAAAGTGTCTTTGGAGTCTCGTTGCGGGTCGTTGGACGTGTCCTGTAGTAGGAACTTGTAGACCAAAAATCCAACGAGTAGGGTGCCTCCGACGGTGGTGATCCAGCCCATGTTATGACCGAATCAGGGTCGCCACCACGATGAGGAAACTGTGTTGGAGATATGGGGATGTGATGTCGACATTGTGACAATGTATGAGCTTGGTTATCGCATGATCACAGACGTGCAGAGTCAAAACAGCAAATAAAAGCAGTAATAATCTATCAAAGGGAGGAAAGAAAAGGGTGGGTGCAGTTGACAACGAGAGAAAGAGGTGACAGATGGAGGATCAAAAATTGGTCACGTGGCATATGCTTCTTCGGTCCTCGTCAAAGATGGTCTTCGTCGACTTACGGCTATATCACGCATGCTAGGAGACATCTTGCTCCACGAAAGACAGATGCCGCTCCATTAGGAGGCAGTAGGTGGTTCATGATATCCGAGTTGGTTGCATTGTCTCAGTTGGTGAGGTGAGTGTGTATAACATTTTCAAGCAGCACGTGATTTGCCTTCACAATTACTCCGAATGGGCGAGGGGGATCCCAACCTCGTAGGCGTAGGCGACAGCCTGCAACCGGCGTTCATGCCCCTCGGCCCTTGTGCTGCTTGAGAACCCTGAGTCTGAATGTATTCGTACAACGAGTGAGCGATAAATCAGATCCTGCGTTCCCCGCGTCGGTGGTTCCAATTGACTTTTAAAGTACCTACCATACCTAGGCTGTCATAGGTAATCAGGTCCTCGATCACAGGTGAAAAGGTCTCAGTGATCGAGGGGTCCATGCCCAAACAAACAGCCAACGAGCGCCCAAGTGAGTGGCGGTTACAAGGGTTGACGGGCTGGGCGATGGGGTGGCTTGCATAAGTGCGCCCCCATGTTTCTCCTCTTGCGTATGTTTTTTTCAACGTTCAACACATGCGTTGACATGGTTTGTCCGTTGCCAAAAAACCTCGTTGATCGGTGGATAACTCCAGGCCCACGTCCAAATCTTCATGTTACAATGATGTCGGCCAGCACCAGCAATGGTCTCGATCGCTGCAAACCGCCGATGCCATGCATGGTGCTAAAAGTAGGTGAGGAGAAATGCACCAGAGCCACCGTTGATGACAGGCTCCTCGGCCCCGTACCCTGTCAGTTCCTGTCGGCCAAAATCCTCTGAGGCACGCGTCAATTTTGATACTCCTTGGATGTTTCATATTCAACAACGCTTCATCATGCTTCCTCTTGACTGATCTTTTCTTGTCTCTATCTTCTTCATCCTTTGAACCTATCGATTCTCTTACCAGCATTTCCAGTCTTGACCATTCTTTGTCTGCTTCTTCAATTTCCTCCCTTATCCCCTAACACGCTTCAGTCCTCCTGTTTACACCCCTGACGCTCCTGTCTGTGGTGACCCAAGACCATGAACATCGTTGCATGATTGTTACGCAGCCTCATCAACCTCCATTCTGATCCATATACACCCAACATCATGTCCAGCGCCATTTTCCCACGACAGGACTCTGCACCTGATCCTAATCTCTCTCCCAGCGAGCAGGTCTTGCAACTCATCTCAAACCCATTTCAGGCTTCGGTAAGTACTTCTCCTGCCTTCCATTTCCATTTCTGACCGTGACGCAGCTGCAAGTCAATGCATTCTGGGCCTCTCTTGCTACTTCCTTCGGTATCAGCGCAGGTCTCGCTCTCCTCTTCTGTTTCATCCGTCCTCGACACGCCCTCGTTTATGCCCCCCGTTTAAAAAATGCAGACAAGCAACATGCTCCTCCACCTCTCGGCAAGGGCTTGTTCAGCTGGATCAAGCCTGTCAACAAAGCATCAGAGGACTTTCTGGTTGATAAAATCGGCTTGGACGCCGTTCTATTTCTGAGATTTACTCGCATGCTTCGCAACATCTTCCTCGTTCTGGCTTTGATTGGCATCCTGATCATGATTCCCGTCAATGTCACGCAGGGCTCGGTGTCCGGCTCCGTCTCTGCATTCGCCGTCATGACACCTTTGTACATCTGGGGACGTGGTCTATGGGCTCAAGTTGTTTTCGCCTGGCTCATCGATCTAATCGTCATCTATTTCTTGTGGTATAATTACCGCAAGGTCCTTCGCCTGAAAAGAAACTACTTTGAAAGCCCCGACTACCAGAAGAGCCTGCATTCACGCACCCTTTTGGTGCGTGACATCTCAAAGCAAGACCGAACCAACGAAGGCGTAGCCCGCGTTCTCAACGAGGTCAATCCAACTGGCGTTACACCCAAAACCACCGTCGGCCGAAACGTAAAAGTCCTGCCAGACTTGATTGAAGAATATGAGGAAACTGTCCGCAATCTCGAGTCCATCCTCGCCAAATACATGAAGAACCCTGATCGCTTACCTGCCAAACGACCCATGATCAAGCCTTCCAGCAAATACAAGGGTCCCACCACGGGCGGCAAAGTTGATGCCATCGATTATCTGACTGAGCGCATTAGATCCATGGAGAACGAGATCAATGATATCCGCGAACGAGTCGATAATCGAGACCCCATGCCCTATGGGTTTGCTAGCTGGGACAGAATTTCCGAGGCACATCGTGTCGCATATGCCTCGCGGAAAACGCGTCCAAACAACGTAAAGATTCGATTGGCGCCACGGCCCAATGACCTCATCTGGGACAATCTGACGCTGTCGAGATCTTCCAGGAAAAGCAAACGTTTCATGAACGCAATCTGGATCGTACTCTTGACTATTATTTGGACGCCTATCAACGCAGGCATTGCCGTCTTTCTCTCCAATCTTTCCAACCTCGGACTTGTCTGGCCATCCTTCCAGCGACAACTCGAAGCACACCGTACCTGGTGGTCTGTCGTCCAGGGTATTGCGGCTCCCGCACTCACCTCAATCGTCTATTTGGTTCTCCCCATCATTTTCCGACGTCTGCAGATTCGAGCTGGTGACGTGACCAAAACCGCTCGTGAACGTCACGTGCTGCGAAATCTGTACAGTTTCTTTACCCTCAACAATCTCATCGTCTTCAGCATTTTCTCCGCGGTGTGGCAATACGTCACCCTTGTCATCCAATTCAACGAGCAAGGCAATGATACCTGGACCTCCTTGCGCAGGGGCAACTTCTTCTTGGTCATCACCACCGCTCTTTGCCAGATCTCCCCCTTCTGGGTCATTTGGCTCCTTCAGAGAAATTTAGGTGCGGCAATCGACCTCGCTCAGCTATGGCAGCTCACCTACGTCTGGTTCGCTCGAACTTTCATGTCACCAACTCCTCGACAAAACATTGAATGGACCGCACCTCCTGCATTCAACTATGCCAGCTACTACAATTATTTCCTCTTCTATGCCACCATCGCCCTCTGTTATTCCACCCTGCAACCCATCATCCTCGTCATCACAGCTGCATACTTCGTCATGGACGCTTTCATGAAGAAATACCTTCTCATGTATGTCTTTATTACCAAAACTGAATCAGGCGGTCAATTCTGGAAGACGTTGTTCAACCGAATTATTTTTGCCGTCATGCTTTCAAATGTCGTCATTGCTATTGTGGTCAAGGCGAGAGGCTCCTGGACTCTCGTTGCAGCCATTGCACCCCTGCTGTTCATCATGGTTGGCTTCAAGTGGTACTGCATGAAGACATTCGACATGGACCTAAAATACCACTCAAGAACAGGTATGATGGACACAGAGCGCTTGCCAGATGGCAAGCCCCATAAAGCTGAGAAGATCTCGTCCAAATTTGGTCATCCGGCACTTTACAAGCCGTTGATTACGCCAATGGTTCATGCAAAAGCCCAACACGTTCTTGCCGAGGTTTATCGTGGACGTTTGGATTCTGCTGGTGGGCAACCGATGGCCTTTTCCGACATTGCAATGCAGCCAATGGCTCAGACCGGTGCTCCCGATCAAGACATGCCGTTTGAGATTGTGCCAGAAGCTCAACAGGACTTTTCCTACTACAGAGGCCGCTCTGACTTTAAAGAGGAAGCGGGTGAAATCTTCTCCGACTCCAGAAGTACTACTCCAGTCTCATTCATGGCTGGAGGAAAGGAGGATTTCAGCTACCCAGGGACGGCTGCTTCATCGAGGGCGAGCAGCCCAGTCTCTCGTCCTCAGCAGCCTCGCCCTGTTCAACGGAAAGAGTTTGACCAGTCGCGAGTCCCAGCTCAATTCAGGCTGTCACAGCTCGAACCCCCTACTGATCAGTACAGCGATCGTGCAAACCTTTTGAATAATGTCGGTGACATCCGTACGCCAAACGGTGAATTCATGTCGACCGATCGTTGGCAAGCTCCAGGCTCTGCGTACAGAGACACCAGCAGAACCAACACTCCTGACGAATCAAACAACGGTTACGATTACTTCAGAGGAAGGAGATGATGAAGCATCAAAATGAAGATAGGTTTTCATCGTATAACTTGTCACTTTGAGGAGATGTCCATATGATGAAAATCATCTCCATACGTATTACGATAATGTTACGCCCAGGATAGAACTACATGAAAGAATAGAACATCATTTACAGCGACTCTAGCCTCGGCAACATGGCCTAGTCCGATTGAATCAGTGATTGTTTCACCCTCCATTTACGTGTGGATACAACATGAGGCTGAAAGAAAGACCGTTTGACACTTTGATACCATGTCTTTGTTATCTGGTCTGCTCCTCTACCACCATTGGTCTAAAGATAGCTCAATGTCTTTACCTCGATCTCCCCCGGCTTGATGCGGGGTCTTTGCTCATTATGTTGTGTTTATTCATAGTCGTGTGGCGATGCTTCAACAGTGCAACAATCAACAACAAAGCATGTCTGTCGGCACGAGGTCTGGATATATTGAATGCCTCCATCACAATCTTGGTCTACCAGAACATATTATCCAAGACCCTTTGCTTGTAACACCAGCTCAATACGCCGGCATTTCATATTGCAAAGGCAACGAATAAGTATTCATGCCATATACACATCATCAAGAAGACCCAAAAGTCACATTCATATCATTGCCATCATCTCGCTCGACTCACTCCATCTCAACACCAGTAACTGCAAAACATCGAAGAATGATCAAATCTACTCGCATGATGACCGTCAATGAAGCGCCAGAGCATATGGCTCCATCGCCAACAGTCATTTCAACGACACGTGAGAATCAGAATGAGAATGAAACCAAACACGATATCCCAGCCCGTGATCTTGAATATGTGGCGCAAATCAGAGCAGCCATTGCGAACCAGAGCATCGCAGCGCAGGCGCGACGAGAACGAGAACGCCAACACCAACTGGAGAATGAACTCAGTCCCGTCCCCTCTGAAATGAGGGCAGACGGGATCGTCGCCCCACCTTCTTCACCATGGAACCCTGGTGAGAAGCGATCATCGTCGCCGACGACATCGTTGAATGTCCTGACGGTTAAGGCGAAAGACGGAGTCACAAGTCTGATCAATAAAGGGAGGGGAGCAATTTCGAGAAGAACGGGTAGGACAAGTCGGCGGTCTCTCGCTAGCAAGATGTCCAAGACGTCGAAGGTACTCAAATCCAAGGTTATGGGTGCGAAGAAGAGACCGGTATCCTTGTCGAGAAGACAATCGAGTTTGTCGATTACTCGACCATCCAACCCGATTGTCACGATATCTCCTCCTCTCTCCCCTTTTTCTCGTTTGATTGACGACGTCAATCCATTCGAAATGGATGATTCAGATGCCGCAACTCTGATAGGCGATACTGACAATGTCGACGAAACTTCCCTCCTCCTTAAATCCGAGAAGACAGCTTCCAAATATGATTTACCCACCGGAATGAAACACCATGAGACTCGGTCCTTACCAGGTCAATTGCAGTCCAAGTTTCGCACGTCGATGAGCCGATTCTTGAACGGAGCCGAGATATTATCGGTACATGCGAGTCATGGTCTTTTGGGTCGAAAGTCGACGTTGCGTCGTTGGTCGAGGTTGTGATAAAATATCTTGATCTTGCGTCTCAGGAGAATAGATGGCCGGGGGTTGCTGTCAGGGTATCTTATAGTCATAATAGTCAAACGGAATTGTGAATCAAAGAGTCCACTTCAATGCATCTCGTATGGGACTGTGTCCATAGAGTAGAGCACTACTTGTGTCGATGTTGAGGTTTGATATCGATGACATCATTTCCACAACCCAATCTGCATCTCCATCTCACCTCCAAAGTGCCTTCGATTCTAATAGGTACTAACCTAGCTACATCACACAGAAGTACATTTCAACTCAAGCCTGGACGGAGAAAGCCTCCACACGACACGTTCCTACACTCTACCATGCATTGATATTCATTCCATCATTTGTGCATGTCTTTCACACATCAATCCAACAATCCCTCTCTTTTACCGTAGGTTCACGCAAGGCACGTAAAGGCCGACGAACAAGTCCCAAGAAATGTCATGATGCAGATGAGCGGAGTAAGCGGAGAGAACACACGGCGAGCGGAGTTATTACAAGTCTGTTACGTACACATACATAAGCTACATGGAAGGATATGATGTGATGTAAGTAGATGGGAAGGTAATGATGGACAAGATAGACAAGACGAAGACCAAGATCAAGACCAAGATCACACCACACGGAGGAAGGGAAAGGGCACGGGGGGAAGGTCTGGGAGGGGAGAGAGGTCTTGTGCTACTCTACTCTATGCTACACCATGTCGTTCGTAGTTTGATCTAGACTAAGGTATACTATAGGTTGGCACAATTGGATTCGTTGGGTGACGATCAACTGATTTTTCGGTTCTTGGGAGAGATTCTTGGAGAGGGGGGCAAGTTCCCTTCTTCCATTTTTCCATCTTTCTTGGCTTATGCCATGCAACTACAGAGTACTTACCGTATGTACAACAATCGATCACACGGCGCCGCGCCTCGAGGTGAGGGTGGAGAGAGAGGGGAGGGACAAGGGGGAGGAGGGAGGGAAGGTTGTATCGATAGGACACGCGCACACACGACACACGACACACGACACGGGAGGAATGACTGGGCTGGGCGGGTTGGGTTGGCACGGTTGGATTCTTTCGCCGAGCTTGGAAGGCTTGGAATTTTGTGGTGCGGTGGCCATCGGTACCACGGGTACATAGATGGGACTTTCTTGCCTGGATTGGTCACGGGAGGAGATATGAGAGGGGAGAGAGAGGGCGGGAGGGGGGGTTCACTGGTGGTTGAGAAAGAGATACAAGGTCCAAGGAATTTAGTGAGACATCTTGATCGACAGTCCAAGATGATAATGTATGCAACTATGTCTTTTATGTGGGCACGTGGCTTGACCTGTCTATCGATCACAAGGGTATCAACTACTCCGTATGGAGCTGGAGCGTGGCATATGGAGCTTTGTTATCTGCTATCCACGTTGATACTACTTAATAGTGTTGATATGATATTCAATAGTAGATACGTATGTCTTTGTCTAGTAGAAGATAAGTTTGATAAGTTTGATAGATGAAGGTTTGCTTACTATGGCACTCGTCTAAATTCACTGCTTAAGATTGGAATGGGATTTTTGTTAGGATGATATATCACAATATTGGGCTGTATATGCAATTCTATAGATTTGATAGCGATCACTGGCTGGTATGCTATACAGCAGCAACAGCAAAACCTTACAAAAAGACTCGACTCGACTCGACTCGACCTTGGATCTCGTTGAAAACGGTTCTTCAGTTGTTTTGGTGTCGAGTTACATTTCTCTAAAAGGTGGTGAAACAGCCTAAACCCTACCCAAAAACACCATGAAAGCGCCACCCAGTAACATCTACACACACATTTCCAAGTCGGTGGTTTGGTTGGATAGGTGCTGTTGAGGCAATGAGCTTCTTTAGATTCACTGGGACAAAGGTTCATCACCTCTATCCAGAGACCTCTCGCTCTCTCGCTCTCCCACCCCCGCTGCATTGCATTTCGTGTCGATTCAATTCACTCGCTCGCTCGCGCAAGGATGAACGATTGCTACATCATCACTCGTGGACAAAGTGTGAGAGCGTATATAATATGTAAAAGTGTAATGTTTTGTGCATGTGCATGTGTGTGAGTGTGTTTGTGTTTGTGCGTTATGTGTCAGTCATCAAGCATCATCAACTAGACTTGTTCCAACTTGTCTGTAAACATGGTCTGAGAACATGTTGTATCATCACACAGAAAAAAAAGAGAAATAATTTGGCCAAGGGATCTTTCTCTGCGCCCAGGAGTTGATATCTTTACACTTTCTCGCTGGCATCGCTGATCTCGCTGTGGGTATCATCGTCCACTTGGCCCGGGTTGATGCCGGCATAGCCATCAAAGACAACACTGGACAGACGGCGGGCTCGTCCACCACCAGCCTTCTTCAGTTGTTGTCGGAAATAGATTCTCTTGCCCCATTTCCAGGCTTCGATACCGCCGAAGAATAGAATGGCTTGGATAAACACCACAATCCACTCCCATGAGATACCGGTGTGCTTGAACACATCATGGTTGATGACAGGTACGTACAGGATGACGAAGATGGACACGAACCCAAACATGACAGAGTAGAACAAGAACTTGTTTCTCCAGACGTCGTGGATCCATTGGGTGAAGTAGAGCTTGCTCTTGGGTTGCATGCGGAAGAAGCTGCGTCGGAAGTTGAGCAACTCCCAGGCAAGGAAGAGAGAGAACCAGGTCATGGAAACGAAAGTGGTCGCACGAGCACGGAATACCAGGTCGCACTCTTCGCTGTAGCTGTCATTACAAGTGCCCTGTCCGAGGTTGCCGTCGCCGAATGCAAACATGACAATGGTGAAGGAGGAAAGACAGAGTGCGGCCATCCAGAAGCCATACACGAGCATGTCGATGATGAGTTCGTTGGTGAAAATACCACGCTTAAGGTTCTGTGGTGGACGTTGAAGAATATCGGCCACGGCGGCTTCGAGACCAAGACCCATATCGGGAAGACCTGATGTGACCATGATAACCCACATGATTTCAACCTGGTGTCATGTTAGCACCTATACCAAGTTGGATGAGCATTTCAATTTCAACTTACAGGGGAGAGGGGGAAGACCGAGACACCAGTGGTGTCCTTGAAGGCCAGACCGATCAATAAAGTACAAGCCTGGGCAATGTTCTGAGATAGCAAATGCAGCACGAACTTTTGAATATTGTCGAAGATTCGGCGACCCTCTTCAACGGCGTTGAGGATACTGGCAAAGTTATCATCAGTCAAGATAATGTCGGAAGCGTCCTTGGCCACATCAGATCCGCCTTGACCCATAGCAATACCGACATCGGCACGTTTAAGTGACGGAGAATCGTTAACACCATCACCAGTCATGGCAGCGTACATTTCTCGTCGGTGCAAAGCGTCGATCATGCGTACTTTAGTTTGAGGTGCGCATCGAGCAATAACAAGTGGCAAAACCGGAAGAGCATCGATCTCTTCATCAGAAAGACGATCGAACTGGGCAGCAGTGGTAACCATAGCATCAGACATTTCCTTACTGACGCTTGCCAACTTGTCAGGAACGATTCCAATCTGTCGGGCAATGGCGAGAGCAGTTCCAGGGTGATCACCAGTAAGCATGTGGACGCCGACACCGGCACGGTGGCATTTCTTGACGGCACCTTTGGATTCAGGACGAGGAGGATCGTAAAGACCAACCAAACCACGGAATGTCAATTCGGATTCGACCTTTTCACGGGCACTGCTGTCCGTGGGACCATCGTAGAATTTGGAGGCGAGGGCGAGGACTCGGAGACCTTGGGAGGCAAGGCTTTCCATGTTGGCGAGGATGTCATCTTTGATTTCCGAGGTCAACTCAACGAATTCATTGTTACCGTCCATGTCGATGTTGATGCAGCTCTCGATAACTCTTTCCACGGCACCCTTGGTCATGGAGACGATTTTTTCCGAGCCCTTTTGTTCAAAGATGACAGACATCTTCTTGACATCGCTCGAGAAGGGATACTCAGTAATCAGATGCCATGTGGGATTATCGCCTTCGGTAAGTTTGCGTCTGTTCCAGTCAAATCGCGATGCAAAGACCTGGATGGCAATCTCGGTGGGATCACCTCGGGCTGTCCAGCCTTCGCCTTCGGTGGATTTGTACACGGTAGCCAAGTTGGCGAGGGAAGCGACTTTCAAAAACTCTTCCAGGGGGACGTTGTTCTCAAGCAGTTGCTCAAATGGTTTGGCGTCATCTTCATCAGGAGCAAGCTCGTAGTCACTGGCACTGTCTTCGTCCTTCGGCGGGACAATGGTGTGGCTAAGATCTCCCTTGGTGGGATCGAAGGGGTCATTGCTTTCGCCGACGGAGTAGGTGCCCTTAGATGGGATCCACGCCTTCTTGACCACCATTCGACCTTGGGTGAGAGTACCGGTCTTATCAGAGCAAATATCGGTCACAGCACCAAGGGCTTCCAATGCATTGAGCTTTCGCACAATGACGTGACGTTCGACCATACGTTTAGTGCCAGCAGCCATGGTAATGGTGAGGACGACAATAAGGGAAGCGGGAATCATAGAGAGACCAGTGGCAACGGCGTAGATGATGACTTCACGGTTGTTGGAGAAGTCGTTGGCTGCAAGCACAATAATGGCGAACACGACAGCAATACCGAAGAGACCAATGGCGAGCTGGGACAGCTTTCGTTGTAGAGGGGTACCAACGTTGACACCAAGGAAGGCTCCAATAAAGTCACCAGCAGTCAAACTCCAGGCCTGGGCTTGACGATGGGGTTTGACCTTTCCTTCGGGCGTTCGCTTGGGCTCACGGACCTTGGAGTTGGTCTTGCGCAGCTCTGCAGCAATGCTACCAATTTCCGTAAACATACCTGATTACGTTAGCTTCGGATCGATGCAGGAATCAGCTTTCAGCTCACCAGTTGCGAAGACGATACCACGGGCTCGGCCCTTGGTGACATTGCTGGAAGAGTAAGCAACATTCAAACGATCACCAGGACCAGTTTCAACATCGAAAACAGCCTCGGCATCTTTGGTGACAGGAAGCGACTCTCCGGTGAGAAGAGCTTCGTCGGTCTCAAAGTTCATGACTTCCATGAGACGGATATCTGCCGGAATACTGTCTGGACAAGACTTAGCTTGATTTGGAAAATTCAGGGTTTTTGCCAGGTCTTACCGCCAGTCTTCAATTCAACCATATCACCAGGAACGACGTGAATAGTGGGAATGACCATGGATTCACCATTGCGAATGACGGTCGACGTTGGGGAGGACAGAGATCGGAGGGAGTCCATGGTCTTCTCGGCAGAGTATTCCTGCATGAAACCGATGATGATGTTGAGGATGATGATGCCAGTGACGACACCACCTTCGATATAACTGCCGATACCAAAGGAGACACCCATAGCCAAGATTAGAACCTATCGCAGTTAGCTTGCGCGAGAGACAGTAGATGGTGTTTACGAACCAACATCATGGCGTTGGCAATCTGGCGGACAAGAATTTTGGCCGGGTTGACCCCGGGGCCATTGTCGAGCTCATTCTTGCCAAATTCCTCGAGCTTTTTGGAAGCCTCAGCCTCGGACAGACCATTGAGGCCACTGACGCCCAGTTCTTCAAGAACTTCCTTGAAAGTCAAGGCATGGGCGGGTTTGGAGATGGGTTTGTTGGACTGTCCGGACTTGTGGTTCGCGAGGAGCTCGGCTGTCTTGTTGCCCATGTTGATGATGTTTATCCGGGTTCAGGTAGCTGCATCAAGACGATGAAGGGCAGCTCAAGGGCGGATAAAGGGTGCATGCACTGTCACAGTGGGCGGCTTGGGAAAAACAAGGGAATGTTATCTAAATGGGCAAGCATTGATATTATATGGATCGATAATCCTCCCCTCGTTGCAAACTTCCGTCATCGAACGCGAGAGCATTGGAGCAGGGTAGGGCCAATCCATTCGGCTTGGTACGAAGGATAAGGCAAGGCCGAGCCTAAGACGCTGAGAGTTGGGGTTTGGCGTTGTCTTGGGTTTCCACTAGCCAAGAGGCTGATACAAAGTTCAGCAATGACCTACCCGTTTGATATGCAACCCTCGGTTGGGACTAATCATGGGGAGCTTTGGCCGGAGTTTGCCCCCAGTCAGATGGGGCTGGACAACGTCCAGCGTCCAGGGTTGTCAAATAGTGTGTGCGTCGATACCACGGGTGGAATGCCACAAGATCCGTTCGAGTTCACCTGGTTGATGAGCAGCGCTCAGCGTCAGCATCAGACGAGAGGAAGCGCATGTATCGCAAGGAAGGATCGGTTTGGTCGGCGGCCATCGTAACGTGCCAAGGATGAAACTGGACCAAGGCTTGGCCGACAAGACGCGCAAGGCTCGGCACAGTTGGATTGTGGAACGGCCAAGACGCGACCAAGACTCGAGGCAAGGAAGCAAATGCACGATCATCAGCAGCTGTAGATTAGAGATGATATTTGGGTTATCATAAGAGGCAAACGGATGCTTGAACGGCAGACAGACTGGGGGAAAGTAAGCTCCTGCCTCTCATTGGATGTCGCCTTGGATGAATCGACAGTCGTAAATCTGAGGTCGCAATGTAGGATCCCGCCGGATGACGTAATGATGATCGCCGCAGTGTTGATGGGCTGGTGATGTGCTTCTGCCGTCTGGGGCACTTACAGTTTTCACAAGGCAGAGCTCTAATTCGTATGCGAGCGCAAGCAAGGCGGCGAAATGCTGCCCACCAGTGCCCACCCCACCTGGGCATTGTTTGTTGCTAGTGTGTATTGGGTTTCTAGACAGCCTTGTCGGCGATAGACAAGTCCGTGGACGGCATTGCGTATTCTGGGCTCCCACCACTCGGAACAAGGTCGAAAGTTGTCGAAGATCACAAAATGGATGCCGCAGAGCTCGCCGGTCAACACGGGCAGACGATGGATCCATTGTATGGCAGATAACGTGTGTTGATGAAGGGCTTGTTGGCTTGGGAGTGGGACGAGTGCGGCTGCCAACTGGTGCCAATCTGCGGCGCCATGTACGGTAGCACTCGAACGGTTAGCCCGATCACAAACGTAACAAACGGGCAGTCCGGAGTTGACATGCACAGGCAGACAGGCACACAGACATGACAGGGTGGATGGGTGAATGGAGGGGTCGTGTCGCCATGAGACCCAAGAGACCCAAGATCGCGGCGAGGTCTCAGCAAGGGCTCCGATAGGAGGATGAAACTTTCTGGCGTCAATTCTGTGACTTTTGAGTGGGAAGAGCGAGGAGAAATTGGAAGCTTGATCCTGGTGTGGACTTGGCCGACTTGGCAAGCCTTCCTCACGTGGCGAATTGCACAAAAATTCCAGACTGCCGTGACTGCGTAACTGCGGTGGCTACGCAGTCTACGGTGGTTTGACTGTGGACGATGTCTGCGTCATCTCTCAGAGGACTGGCTACCATGATCACCTACCACTCTTTCACGTTGTTTGTCCATCAAACCTGATGACCTTCACCACCCAGTCCTGCACACTCGTGCTCAAAGGGGCCCAGACTCTTCCACTACTGACTCGTCTTCGCTCCTCGATTCTCTAGCCTACGATCGAAAACACCCGAATCATCCGGTGGGCTTGTCCTTGGCGATAAGTCTTCAAACTCCAGTTCATTGCTTCTTCCACAGTAGCTTACGGTTCAGATGTTGTTGACAGTCTGCACATGCAATTTCGACTTCCTTTTGCGTATGAGTCCAGACCGTGGTTGACAACACCCTTGATAACAGGGTGGATCGACAAAAAGCAAACAGATGGATTTCAGCAATCTTTGATTCTTTCCTACCTATCGTACCAACTCCGTATCGAGCAAGATCTCGGCTCCGCGCTTCAGTCATAATCCATAATCCTTATCCACCTCCCGCTTCCACCAAGTATGCCCTCCGTAGCCGAGTTCCTTCACCTGCAAGGCCGTGTACCTACCAGAATCTGGGGCCTGGGGCTCAAACTCGGAGCTTATTAGAGCGATGCTTCAGCTAGACCCCTCGTTGAAAAAAACACCCAACCACAAGTGGCATACCTATACATCTCGTAAATAACCTCGGGGTCCTTTGACTCACCGTGCTTCACTGAAACGGTTTTGGGACATTTCCTTATCGCACTTCTTTCCCATACTTTGGCAGCAACAGCCACGATTGCTTTTGGTGTATCATTAGTTTCGGCTAAATGACACACAATACGAGCCCAACTAATGCTTTGACAAGTATGCAGTCAATCGTTCATTATTAGACTTCAACATATCATCTTCTCCACCAAAGTTATACGCGTACAAAAGCAAAACGTCGGCATGATAGTCCCTTTCTCAATATGGCCATGAGGAAAAGGAATAACGGTGAGACGCTCGGAATATGTCGCAGTTTCGGCATCGCTAAGAAAATGTTATCGGGTGTTGGAGAGCAAAGATTGGGTTCGTTTGAGCTCTGCCTAGAAGCCATCCCCGCTGTGAGATACGAACTACCACGACCGATTAAAATCGTCTCACTTGGTGTGTTCCAGGCTGGTCCACCTGATTGGCTCAGCGCAGGTGTTTTATCAGATCATTTGTTCTGCTGGGAGACTTCAGCTTTGGACGCTGGGGAAAGTGAATTGACATGTAGACATTTCAGGGGTCTCTGCAACACCCCGACAAATCTGCAAAATCTTCACAAGAGGTTGTAAGAAGATTTTGGATGACAACATCTCGAGATATATGGTAAGTTTGCGTTGCTCCATCACTGTACCTACCTTAGCTACTTGGCAGGGGCAGTGCAAATCAGAACTCTACAGAAGTACCAAGTACTACAAGACCACGCAAATACTCCGTACGTACTGTTGTATACCCCAGGTGTCCAGGTAAGGATATGATCAACCAAGCCAGCATGATAACACATATCTTGCGTGATATCAATTCATGCACTGCAAATCAATTTTGCTGGGCAGGAGCAAGTTCCATGCAGTATATGGACGGTTTGGGCAATAGTTGCCCTTATGTCCCAGGCTGGCGGCCACAACGCATCTCTGGAACATTGCCATATCGATAAACACCCCGCTGAGATGCTGCCTTGGCCAAATACGCTTGGCTTTCTGCACACAATCACAAGACATTGGCAACGACAAATGAATACGGTGCGGACATTCCTCGGAAAGACCGCCTTCAATGTTGCTCAACTCTCAGATATCGGTTCTAACGTCGTTTGGAACCTGGTCATCGGTCACGCGAGGCGGGCCGTCCCCATTGACTTCATACAAGGCGAGACCGAGTAGCAAGGGATCTGGCTCTTGGTGCTGCAACAGACCATTCGGGTTCCGATACTTGACGATTCTGCTAAAGTCGGGCAAACGGGTCAAATGCTTGTCAAGGACGTCCTACGTTGCATCGTCGGCGGCCTCTGTTTGAATATTCAATAGGAACTTTGCCCTTGCCGACCCCACGCCGCGTTCTTGGAAGGCTTTGCCGACCTCGAAACTCCTCAACCCGGCGTGCCAATGGTGGTAGGGGTTCCCCAGAGCGTCGTTGGTCACGAGTGGTATGTCGAGGACTTCCTGTTTTGTCAACCACTGCACATCGGGTATACTGGTCAATGCAAGAAAAGGCCAGACCGTATGAGCGATGTTATTGATCGATGCGGTCGACCCCTCTCCTAAGGCGAATTTCGGGTCTCAATATGCGTCGATTGACTTGCCCATGGCTTTATACCTCAGAGGCAAACCCCCTCCATTTGCCTTGGCGTGCAAGGAAATCTACGATGTGCTCTTCATACCAAGCATCGAGAAGAGACGGTGTAAGGTTTGGATTCATGATGCTGCTTGTGATTCATAGAACCCCGGCAGATGGTGTGATTGATGTTGCTGTTGTGGAAGAAGATGGAGGCTTGGCCATCGGCCTTGCAGGTGAGATTGACCACAAAGAAGACTGAATGCTTCGTTGTGCTATCATGACGCCAGCTGCAGAAGACTCGTCGGGCAGAAGATCACACAAGAGGTAAGCAAGAAAGCAGAAGAGCAGAGCTTCACATCTACTGAGATGCTCAATATGGCCTACGCAGTATCGTTTTTCTTTATATTTGCGACACTATGCCGGCCGCTCTCAACAGACAGATTACTTCTTTGTGTCAGTGTTAATGATACCTCATTCCTTCTAGAAGTTCTTCCGGATCAGGATCATCTCTTGGTACTCGTTGGACAATCTAAGTACTGTCCATATGTCATCTATAAGGTACGCTGTATGCGTGTCTACTTCATAACGATCATGATGGAGTCAAAAAGTCAATCGACCAACGCATTGACAGGCAATAATACTCGTAGATCTCGAGCCAGGCACCTCATTGCATAGGTACCTAGATGTCCGGATATCCATGCCATCATCTCCGTTTCCTAAGGGTCTACAAAGTAAAATACAAATGTCCCAAAACTAACCATTTCCCGAGACCCTCATTATTGCCCCTCGGCCGAGGGGCCTCTCCCTTGGCTCTGTAGGTCTCGAAGACCCCTCGTGGCCCTCTAACTACCAAGATACCTAGGCGTGCTAGGTAAGAACTAAACGTCTGACTCTCAGGCCCCTCGGCCCCTCGGGCCTCTACTCCATAGCCCCCCTGAACCCCACTAAGTTACACCTTTTGTGTGCTCTGAGCTTGTTTTGGTTGTACGGAGTAACACAGTCAATGACCCATTTGGAATTCTCTGTGCACAATAATAGGTACCTTACTTATGTTTTTATGT